AGAATTTGTGGGTCCTTTATCTTCTTCAAGGAATATGAATCCCAACTCTTACACGAGCAGGCTTACAAACTCAATGCGTTCAGTCAAACCTGTTTCCACTCAACCGCAATCGACCATTGTTTTCGTTGAACCTGCCCTACGATATAATGCACACGTATTTGTACGTCGCGTCTCACTTCCATGACCACTCGAAATGGCATACGAAGGATCTTTCAAAGTCCTTCATAGTGAACCTATGTACTATACCATCTACAGAAACAGAACTAGCGATGGCATCAGCATCGATCGACTCGAAGCAGCGTATTTAGAAGGAAACCATATTCACGTTGATTCTCCGTCGGTACAATCGAAAGACACTAGTCTCACAATTACGATACTTCACCAGATAATCAACAATCACGATGATATTTTGGTGGTATCCGACAACCAACTAGAAATAAGGCGTTTTGGAAGAAGAGCAGGGTTTCCAGAACACTTAAATAATTACTGTTAGAGTGACACTATATAACATTTTGTTTCGAATCGATTTTTTTGCATTATTATGTCCAACAAACGAAAGTTACTTTCAGTAAGCTCATATATATAGTTAGTTTTTTATTTAAAAAATCAAAACCAAAATTTTGTTGTTGTTAGTATGCTTGTAGTGGCATTGGACCATGACCACACAATCTTCAAAGCTGAACACAACACTACTCGGAAAATAGATATTCAATATTTGACGCGGAGAAATACCTAACGATGGAAAAGGCGGGAACAGTTAATTGAATGAATGGGAGTTGATCGGATTGCATGGCTCGGCCCTGCAGACGTGGTCCCTCTGAATGTCACCTCATATCTTCTATTCATATTAAATATATTGTTCCTTCTCTAGCCTAACCTTGTTCTTCATCATGTATTGGTAATTGATACGACACAATGAGTTGTTGTAGTCGATGGTGTGACTTCCACGTAAGATCTTATAGATTAGGCAGTTATATCATGACGAATCTACAATTTTAGGATTAGGTCTATTATTAGAGCAGTACTAATATCATAGCAGACCATAATCCTACATGCTCTCTTGTATGTGTATATTCTCATTATTTCGATAAGAAACAAGCAAAAAATCACTTTGCAGAAGTCTTTACCACGCCGTTGAATGTTTACGAAACGCATGTATATAAGTTTATTTTCCTTTTGCTCACGCACGAGTGTAATTCGACATGCACTTGAATATCCTTTTCATCTTTTCCAGCCGTCCTGTAAAAATCCGTATAATCAATACATGAAAAGAGCGGCGAAGTTTACGATAAATCGAAATTTCCATTTTTACCAGTTTTACACTACTTTATTGTATCACATGGTTTCTTATAGTGAGCAAAGGCAACCAGACGCTGCTGAACACTGCAAGGTATCAGAAGAGTGTTTAACAACGACAAACTGGTTGGGTTTAAACTTCTGGCTGGCCACGTCTTAGGGTCATCTTTGCGCCACTAGAGAGTAATGATCTGGAGCGATAAATAACCCCCCGAAATCAATGGCTCTGTAAGTCTTCGATATTTAATTCTGACCGCATCAGTTTTAATGTACTCACCTAGCTGAAGGGCTCGGTCATGCATCCGCACCAGATTACGAGTGGGCACGCCATGCTTCATTTCTCTCACAACCACCAGCCAGCTTAGATTGATCACTTTTCGACATATCGATATTCTGTCAAATATATCTTAAAACCTCTTCGCTTCTGGCTTTTGATTGCACAGGGCTGGTACATTTTGATTATAAAAAGTGTTACTGGTTAAGCCGTTGTCAAATTCCGAGTACTTGTTGCATCTTTACCACTATTAACGTCGCTGGTTTTTGTGGCGACACAACACTGTTGTCCGTAACACGTTTCCAATCAAGAATCGGAATATCAGTCGAACAAGGAGTCTGTAAGATCCAAGCTACGTTTGGACTGCTGGACAGCTGTCTGGATCCTTGACAACTCGGTAAACGAAGTACCATCAGGAATTCTATGAACCTTCTAAGCCAGGCTACGGCCCTGACTAATTTCAACCACTCGGAGTAATAAGAGAGAATAGGTGACATGTTGTACTTTATACTACTCAAGTTGACCACAGCAGTTTTTCTAAACTCACTATCGTCAGAGAATATTTGTGCGGTCTTATTGAAGGCAAAGTTCGCACGAAACGGCGATGATGTGGTACCAAATGCATGATTTGTCATTTGAAACTCAGATGGTTCACTCGACATGTCCCCCTCCTGCCACCACAGAAATCTTGAAGCTCCTCGACCAGACTCAGGGAACTTCACTTCCATGAACATTTCCTCAACATCTGCAGGGATTGCAACTGTCTCCTCGCGAAAACTTAATAATATGCACATTAACTCAGCAGTGGTATCGGGTTCTTGATAAATCATATCATTCATGGAAACCCCTGCAAACTCGGCGGCACAATCAAGGACCACTCTAAGTTCTTCTGGTTTCTTCATGTTTAACACTGCATGATGAGATGAATACCCTCGAGGGCGATAATTAGGCTGCAAATATATTTCAAGGACCCTCTCCGCATAAGTCTTAGTAAATTTACTCTCAATACTGTTGATATACCTGATGTGCAGACTGACATCCTTCGACAATATACCCTCCAAACCTTGTAATCTACGGTTCGCTACTTCATAATTATCCACTTTCATATTTGGATTCTTTTTCCACGGTATAGAAACTACAAAATGACCGTTGTCGAGGCGCGTGCCCCTTTCCACAATCTTTATAGCCGCCTTGTCGTCTACTGATAATGATTTATCACTTGAATAAGCATCTGAAAACTCTACATCATAAAGCTCACGTATTTCGTTCTCTAATGTCTGTACCTTACTGGTATGGTTAACAACTCTTCTCCTATATTCCGGGCATGATGGCTTATCATTTACGACGTTGCTTGTCGAGTCAGTATGCAGCAGAACGTGATGTCTCTTCTCACAACTGTCAACGTTACAGAGCCTTGTCATCTTACATTCATTAACTTTATGCCCTTGCCTAAGGCAGACAAAACAGATGCCATTAACCTTCGCGTGAGACCATCTCTCTTGAACGGTAAGCGCTAAAAATTTTGGACATTTATAAATAGCATGGTCCAGGGAACACACACTGCATTTAGCTTTCTCTTTCGAATTATTCTCCTGCTCCAATTGCAAGTGACAATTTGTCTTTAAGTTGTGTCCCTTTCTCGGACGATTCGCTAACCGTCCAAACCTACTATTAGCTACTCTCGCGCGGGATGCTATAAATTGAGTAAGCTCGTCAAAGGTTGGTTCTCTATTATCTTCAGTCAATTCATCCACCCGGTCCGCCCACTGGGCTTGCATAACTTGAGGTAAGAGTCCTACTATTCTCTCTAAGGTAATTAGAGAATTTAAGTCGGCAGTATACTTCATCTGTTTCAAAACCATAGAACAATTTTCCATCCTAATAGCTAGATTTGTTAGTTGCTCAGGATCACTGTAATCAACATTTGTAGTTTTGAATAAGTCCTCTAAAGTTTCCCGAGCGATTACATGCGCCTGTCCGAACAACCGTTTTAGAATTTCTTTGGCCTTCTTGTAACCAAAAGAGGCTTCCAACATAACACAACCCTCAATGGCTGTTTTCGCTTTACCCTTACAATAATGTATCAAATAAAGCAAGCGTTGACCATCATCCTTGACCCTTGATTCCACATAGGTCTCAAACTCCCTTAAAAACTTCCAGTAACCTCTTGGTTGACCGTCGAAATAACTTAACTCAACCTTTGGTAACTCTGGACCTATGAAAAACGCCGTAGGCCTTACGCTTTTTGCTTGCTTCACGTCTAAACTAAGGTTTTCTATGCCATCTGCCATTATATCACAACTAGATTCACTATAGTTACAATCGTCCCTATTAGAATATGAACCATGACACATAGAAGCATCAGAAGGCACTTGCCTTGATTGAGGGGATCCATCCTTTTGTTCATCTCTTTTAACATCCACGAGCCTTGGGCTTAATTTCCTTCGACGATTGTTTGGCATCGCAAGCGAACGACCAAATATTCCCAGAGACGATGATTGGAATCAACGAAACGTAAGCCAAACGAATTCGACCAAATTATTTGTTTAGAACTGTAAGATCCAAACTACGTTTGGACTGCTGGACAGCTGTCTGGATGAGTTAGATACGCGCCCTCGCCCGATTGAAACCAAAACAAAGTAATTGGGTAAGATAGCGGTTCTAAACAAATATAACCACTCAGCTATCCAACCAATAATTGTTCAATTGATCAAATCAATCACAACAAATCAACGTTATTCTATCCTGGCTGGATAGATCACACACAACAGGAGGAACAAATCAATATGGCTACCGCCAAGAACAAGTGTCAAGTAAAACAACACAGATGCAGTTCAGGAAGAAACACAAACTTAGTGAATGCGTAAGAAAAACAAAAACTATAATAAAAAATACAAGTATTAACAACTCAAATGTAATCAAAATACAACAATGTACAACTAAGGGAATCAGTAGGAACAAAGTTCAAGTATATACATGGAGGGATTTTCACAAACACACAAAGCATTCAAAATGGATCTTACAAAGTCTTGTCTTGAGGTGTTCGAATATATATATGGAGGATGGTCGATGTGTTGAGAAACAGGTAATTTGAGCAAACCGATTGCTGCGCGAAGTGTGTGACACGGTATACTCAATTATGATCAGGTGCGGGTGCTTGACCGAGTGCCTAGATAAGGGGTGTATCCAGTGAAACTAATGAGTTCAGCATTAACAATTACGACTAAAAGAATGATTTATTTTGGAGACTTTTTTGCAAATTCATGTCTTTTTTAAGTCAAATTGACTATAAGTACATCTGGATGAGTCACACGAAGGCAGATTAAAATAAAGTTCCTTATGGGTTCTTGGCAAATTTATTTGTCAAATAGTTTTTTGTCCAAGACGTTTTAATCAACCAACTCCATGATCTACTGCTTGACCTAATCCCGCACTATTTGAACTTCGGGAGACATGACCAAGTCCAGTGATGGTAAAAAGGTTTCGAGTCAGTTGGTGAGTTAATCTCATGACACTTAGTAGTTTGCTAAACTTTTTGTTACCTTTGTCTATATATTACACAAGTTTCTAAGGTATAAGGATCTGCATTCATAAGCCAAAAGCTAGAGACTCGGCTTACCACGAAGTTTTATATGTTGTTAACGTCTAAAATGCAGATTTGTTGTACTATGTGGTCCATTGACTAGTTACTGTCAAAAGACAATTCTGTTTCAAATATGAATTTTCACTAAACAAATGTATCTATCGATTACCATATGGCATTATTGGATTGACTACTCCGGAACATTCATTCTGTGAAGTTACCCAATGTTCTGTCGTAAGACATCCGAATATTCTGCATGAAATGCTTGAAAGTGTGTTTTTACGCAACCTGTGTAATAACTAGTCTTATGAAACACACGGAAGCTAGGCGAACTGCATGTATTATTCACTGATTAGGTTGATGACGTATCAGTATCATGTTGACAAATACGATCTGTATTTTCTGTCCTCAGTGGTTTGTGGTCAAGTTTTACCGAAGTAAACTTTATGGGAAGATATTCTGTGAACAGCATGACTGCTTTCCAATTTGCCATATTTAGCGACGACTGCAAAGTACGGTCAGCACTTAGCCATAAATAACAACTTTAATACTAATAGAGGTAAAGGTAAATCGAAATAAAAAATTAAAAGAAACGTACGGAAGATAAAGAGTTTGAAATAGTACCGTGTTCATTACTTCGATAAAGATAAAAAGTTGTCTCTCCACGGCAAATTTTTCTCCAACTCTCAGTTGTGATGGTCTCATGGACACCTAGATGACCTGAATAAAAGGAAAGTGAATTCGCTGTCTTCTTATCACCACCATCTTGTTAACTCAGTTTTAGCCAGTCCATTAATGCAAAAGGTAGATCGACGTGAGGAACACCTAATTATGTCGGTTTATCAAGGTTCATAAACCAACCAACCACTTCATTTATTGCTAGATGTCTTGCAACATTTATCACTATGGTTTCATTATATAGGTTAACACCGACTAAAATCTTGTAAATGGATTTTTGACTCTTTTTCACTTACAGGCATCAGGTTTCATTCACTGTAGACCTAACTTAATGTCATATACTAATTATCTAGCCTTAAGTTAGGTAGGTTCAGGCTGAAAACTTTCCGTTACTTAGTTTAATAGTTTTGTAATCCCTCGTCTTCTTAACGCTTTATTTTTGACTTGAATTATTTTGGCACTTAAGTTTTTTGCAACCAAGTTTATTTAATTTTTGTGTGAGACTATCATTTATAGACAAACCAATGGCATTTAAGATAGCAGGACTTGGATTTTGGCGCGAAATTAATTCATCCAATTGGTTAAATACCATTTTAGTATTATAGCTGATGTACCCAAATGCCCTGGTACGGCCGAGAGTGAGGAGAGTCCGCTCTCCCTCTCGAAATGCTCTCACACGGCCACGCGTATATAGCTTCTGCCAGGGAAGTCCTACTCACTGCCTTCTCGTGGCGGGGGGGGTTGTTTACGAAAATGAGAGGACGAAAAGCGAATGTCCGGCGCTTTAACCGGATTCAAAACCAATGGTGCACATGGGCTCCAGTATCCTGCGGGAACAAATGGCGTATGAACCAATTGCTGGTCACCGGCTTCCATGGGAATGCATCTCCTTACGATGCTCCACTGCCTTGTGGATCAGACCATTAGGTCAAAGGCTCGGAGTGTGGCCCCCTAAGAAAACCACCTGCTTCGGTCTGGGCACCCGGGCAGTATCATAGCCCTCACACATATCGAATGAGATTTGTGTGGCGCACATGTATTTGGTGCCTCTTTGTACCATTATCTATGTGTTGAAATAAAAAAATAAAAAAAGCTGATGTCAGTTCGCAACCCTAACATTCAATTGTAAATCCTAATCCCAATTCCTCGCACTAATTTATAACCCTCATTTAACCACGGTGAGCAGGTGGACATTCCGAGGTCATTTTAGCGTTGCTCAAAGGTCGTCCATAAATTATAGTCTTACCAATTTTTCTCTGCCGAAATTCACTTTGTTGCATCTGGTTATAACATAAAACGTCAAGACATACGTTTCCCACCTTATCTTCCTGATGGCTCATTCGCATTTGCCGTTAAATAACTAGTTTGTAGAACTGTCACACCTAAATGTTCGCTTGAAATATGCTTTGTCTATCCAGGGTAGTCATATTTGGATTGACTAAACTTGTCATATATTGGTCCATCTAGGGTTTTATACGTGTGCTAATTTTGTTACTGGGCCATATTCTAAGCATTTTATTTTGGTGAAAATAATATCTATGAATGACTGAAGTATAATTCTTAATAAACTCGTCTTGAATGTTACACGACACAACTTTGGATTGTTGTTTAGGAAATCTGACTTCGGATCACTCATACAGAATCCTTCTGAGACAATTTAGTTAGGGGTTGTGTCAAAAAAGGTAACACATTTTGTCTGTGCTCCCGCGTTCTGCAGTTACCACACCAATTAAATTATAGGTGTTTTTGTACTTAGTTATACTGTAAATTAATAAGTGGAGATGGTGTCGGATAAAATTGATATTATCATGTTTAGGGATGTTTGTCGACATATTGGTAGTTTTTCTATTGGTGCGCTGTTGCGTCCATTCGATTTTTAAATTTTTGCCGTAGTAATTTTTTGTAATGAGATGTGAATTTTCGGTAGATCAAATTGGGAAGTGGGAATTTTTAAGGTTGCTAAACATTTCGGTTCACACCAAATATTTTGGCAAACCTATTGTCCATTTGTTTCTTTACAGAACGAAACTGAGCAGAACTTCTTACGTGCAGCTCGTGCTGGAGATCTGTCAAAAGTTGTAGAACTTTTGAACGCTGGTGTACACATCAATTTATCCAACTCGGTAAGTATATAGATTTAATATTGATAACGGTATCAAATCTTCATAAAATTAAAATTTGGATAGAATCGGTTAATCGTTTTCTACGTTAATGAAATCAAACTAGACTAAGCATTTAAATTCTAGATTAAAATATCGGCTCATTTTAGATAGGTTCACTTGCTGTGAACTACTTACTGTATGCTATTTGTTTATGCAACCAATGTCAAGATGTAAGTTTTATCACAAGCTAAGGCAAAATTACAACTTGTTCTAGCACTTGGGTTTTATGTATTGGGTTCAGGGTCCTCACCGCTTTACACGTAACTTGGTTTATTATATATTGTGCATGCTACCCCTCGTGTAGCGTAGGCTATCGACTAGGATTCTCCAACCTACCGTGTTCCTTAATTTCCTTTCCAGTTGTTGTCAAGTGCTGTTCGTTCACATGTCTACCTTCAATTCCTGACACAATGCATTATTTGGCCTTCAGAACTCGAAGTTTTAACTTGCCTCATGATGTAATTTGTTGATTCGCTCAATGTATGTCTTACCCACCTCTAGCGTCTTACCTTAATTTCCTCTTCAACTGAAGGCTGGTTATTTGTCTGTCACAGTAGGTTGTTGCTGGTGATATCCGACCAACGGACCTGGAGTGTCTTGCACGGACAACTGTTTATAAATACTTGTACTTTTTTTGATGATGGTCGACAAATTTCCCTGGCACTGATAATAGTGTGATATCCCTTTAATTCTCACACTAAAACCTCTCTCCTTTGGTATCCTTCCCGGTCTGTTGATACGTGTTTTTCCTTCGAAATCTTTCTGAAGAGAGTGTGGAGCATGTTTGTAGTTACCTCTATGTCTGACTTAAGTGCTTCAGCTGGTGTGTTGTCTGGTCCTGCTGCTTCCCCATTCTTGATTTATAGGATGGATACGCTAATTTCTCCGATTATTGGTGGGGTAACTTCTACAGTAAGTTCTGTGGGGTATATCGATGTCCAAAGTGTTCAGTGGAGCTGATATACTCAAGAGTTCTTTGAGGTGCTCTAGCCACCTGTTCCGCTGCTCTTAGATCTCAGTGATTGGCTTGGTTTCTTTGTTCTTGACTGGTCGCTCTCTTTCACCAAATTCCCTAGGTAGTTTTTTCGTTGTAATATAAAGTTGTTTCATATTTTCTTCTCTTGCAGGTCTTTCCGCTTTGATTACTAGGTCTTTCACGTACTTCTGCGTGCAAGTTTTAATGCTCTTGAACAGGGTTGAATTGATTGAGTTTATCAGAATCTGAAAGAAGAGTTGTATTAGACATTTGTAATGCTGTTTGTGCAGTTGTCCAGCACTTTTTAAGTTCCAGGTTTAGCTTGGCCACCACTGTGCTGATCTGGAGCTATATCAGTTTCTTGCCTTTTTCCTGCATCCTTTATGAAACCCATGTAACTTAGTGTATGCGTTTATGCGGGAATGTGATGCCATCTGTAACCGTTTTGTCGAAGGCACATAGATTTGCAAATCTCTCACCACTCTGATTCCTTTCTGCGAATACATGTCGTCCCATGATGTTTTCATACCCGATTGTGTCCATTCCGACCTTGGAGTTTAGGTCTTCCATCAGGATGGTCAGGTCATATCCTGGGCACTATTCTACAATCGACTGCAGCCTCTTGTAAAGCTGATCTTAATCATCTTCATTGTTTTCATTGGTGGGTGCATCGCACTGGATAACGTTCATCATAATAGCCTTCCTCTTTGTTTTGTAGGACACTTTGTTGATCCTGGATTCATGAGATTGCTATCCTATAAGTGCTTATCGTGCTTCTTTGGAGGGTGTCAGTGCAACTTCTTGTGTGTACGAAGCATCATCTTCTTCATGACTAGAGTGCGACAGAACTTCTCTCGAAGCTGATCTTTTTTGTCCAGCTTCCGTCCAATGGCCTTCACTTATTTCGAGTATCGACAGTTTGTATGTTTTTCATTTCTGCAGCTACTTGAATGGTCTTATCTGTCTCTCTGATTGTGTGGATATTCTATGTACTTATGTTAATTGTTGCTCTGGTTGTTAGAAGGGGTATCGACCTCATGATTTTTGAAGAATCTCGGCTTTCACAACATGGCGTCATAACAACTGTCAGCACAAAGCCTGGGTGGTTTCAAGGATTTTTCTCTAATTAGCATCTTCTTAGCAAAATAGCTTTTTATAGGATGGGTTTGCTGACCCCGTGTCCAACCCTTCTCCTTTATCCGGGTTCTGGGCCGTCGGTAACCCTAGAAGGGCTCCAAGTGAAATCAATTGATTTGGTTTACTCATGGATTTTTATGTATTTGTGATTTTTTTAGTTTTAGTATTTGGTTACTGAGTAACTACTGCTGATTTTATTATTATATCCACCATACAAGAAACATTATGCTACTCATAGGAAATATTTTCATTTTTTTAAAGATTGATATACAGTTTGCTAGTCGTTTTATTAGCTGAACAAAGTTAGTGATTACTGCGGGTTCAACTTATAACTATATATTTACAATCTATATAAACTACCAGTCACAGTGTTCGTGAGCATATGAGTTCAATTCGGTAGCAAACGCGTACCAAGTACAAGTTTATGTACTTGTCTGTTGGACGCACATTTCAATGAAAGCTATTGATACTACTACTCATCCTCAAATGGAATTCGTTGGAACGGACGTTTAAGCTGTGTACTGAAATCATTAATCCTTCTACCTTACCTTTTTTAAATTCAGTTTGGGTTTATGAATTTTGGTAATGAATATCTTTAATAAGATTGAAACAGATCTGTAAAAGCTAAAAAGATGGTAATGTAACGTATTCAGTATTTAAACTTTCGAATGGTGAGGATTTTTTAAAATCAGTGACTAAATACATTGAAACATCAAAACTATCAATAGCCTAAGTATGTGTGGTTACTGTTTGTCTGGTTCACTGTTCTCTCCAATCATTTAATCTAATTTTAGCCTTTTTAGATTGCTAATTATACTACTATTTTTTGCGTAATATATTTCAGATTGGACTTACTGCACTTCATTTAGCCTCAAAAGAAGGTTATGTTCATGTTGTCGATGAGCTACTTCGACGTGGAGCAGATTTCGATGCTCCTACTAAGAAAGGAAATACAGCACTTCATATCGCAAGTTTAGCTGGTCATTTCGAAGTTGTCAAGCTACTTTTGGATGCTGGTGCCAATATAAATCGTCAGTCAGTTGTAAGTTTTAGCGGAAATGGTTAATTAATTAGCTAATTAGCGAGTATTGTGAGAAACTAGCTATCATCATACTTTATCGTGAAAGCGAACAATAAAATTTGTCGAATTAATAGATTTCTCAGGAACTCATTTTTCATCGAAGAGTAACTTAATTGTAGCTAATCGACGCCAGTTTAGTTATGTTGTGACATTTATCAGTCAGGTTTACCACCAACTATTTTTAATATTGATGCACTGTAAAATCTATGGTTTAGCTTAGAATATAGTCTTTTATTACATTGTTCAATCTAAACTATTTTTTTTCATGAATGAACTTGTTTACCATTTAAGTAATTATTCATAAGTTACAAGATATGTTTTATGCATGTAACAAAGATGGTTACCTGAGTGTATTCTTTTCGTCTTCCTTGTACTGATCTGATAGTGTCGACTTCTGATCACCACTTTATGGACTCATGGATAACTTTTTTCATGTGCTTCATAGTTCCTTTGTTCAGTTCAGAAGTAATTAACGTTATACGCTTCTGAATACTGAATCAGTGTAGAACCCTACTTTCACTAATTACTGTTTATTCATAAATGATAAAACTGATTATTATTAGTTTCTGTAGGTAGCTTGTTGTCGATGTTTCTAGAATTTATAACTAAATTTTCCAGCTGGGTTGCGTAAAGACATGTTTCAATTCATTTGTAAGATATCAACCAACAAAGAACTTGCGTAGGTTACGGTTTAAAAAGCAAAGTTATGCATAACTCCTGACTTACGTTTATTTATACAGGGTGGTCACTTGGTTAGAACACTCGTGTTTAAACAGATCTCCTCAGTTCCAAATTTGGTGCTGGGACAATATTACTTTCCATTTGAAGTGTGGCTCTAAGTCAGATACGCGAATCGTTATACGCATATATCAGTACATTTTTATTTACACACACCATGTTATACGTTATTAACTCGCCATACAAACCGATTACATGGCTACTCTCATATTACTGAAATGGAATGTCAGTTTGACGAAATATATTTATTTATGGTATTTGTATTTGAACACTAGATTCTATCTGTAAATCAGATACTATTTAGGAGTTACTCATTCTAACTCTGAATGTTGTTGGTCGGTTTGGTCGTCATTATTTGACTTACTAATATTTATTGATGAAAACTCCCTTCAAACTATAAGAAACACCAGTAATCAATAATTGTATGACTTTTTGAGAAAGATTTCTTGGAGTTCTGTCGAGAAGCCATGACTTATAGGATCAGTCAAGTGTGATGCAACAGCTATTCTCCGATGACTTTCTTATACGCTGTTGTGTATCACAAGTTGATTTTAGTCAAAGATTGGGTTTATCCAATTTTTACTTAATAGCTTAATAGTTTTGTGCTCACTGGTAACCTGAGTTTTCTGATTTGAATTCTTTATCAGATCGTGAATGCGTGCGCACGCATTATCCAGAAGTCATAAACGCCAATGAAATAGCTGTCTGGTGCTTTGTACTTTTCAGTAGATCTTTCCGTCTGCTGTCAGTTCATTGTAGCAACCAACTTCAAGTTGTACAGAATCTACATAAAACCCCCATTATTTAAGTGTTCATGAATTTGTTTATTTCTTTTTCAAATGTTGAATTGTAGATTGGATTTACCCCATTGTATATGGCTGCTCAAGAAAATCATCTTAATGTAGTTGATCTTCTACTTCAACGTGGTGCAAACCAAGCATTAACTACTGAAGTAAATCTTTGTTTTCTAAAATGATTTTTTACTGCTAAAAAAGCTTCCAATTATTTTTTTGTGTTATAGAAATATGGTAATTTTTGTTTGCTGGGATAATAGAATTTTCTCTTCTATTTTTGTGAAAGTATTTCGTGTAATGTAATTAGTTTGTGCTAAAGAATCCGGTCATATTTCAATCGTTATTATTATTGTTGCAATAGGAAACTGTGGATCCGGTAGCTCCTAAAGTCATATCTAAACCATTGGTTTGAAACTTCTAAGTATTCTTCCATCTAATGGTTTGCTGTTGGTTAAAATTCCATTGCACTCAACTGGTCTTTGGCAGGCATGTTACATTATTAATTAATCACCATAGTAACAGTTTAACTCGAAGCTAAATAAACTTGTACTTAATAAATGCGTTGGATTAGTTTAACTTACTAGATTCAAAATCTGTTTCATTGATTTCCATCGCAGCAGCTGGATAGTATGTCTCATCTTAGCGTTTGCTGATCGATGCGCATTGTTGTCATATAATTATAACTTATATGTTACAACGTACTTGCTTACTTACGCCTGTTACTCCCAATGGAGCGTAGGCTGCAGACTACCATTCTTCATCCCATGTCACAATGTAGTTCACTATTAAATAATATATTGCTGGCTTTGTCATATTGATTGATCTTTCTTTTGTAATTATGTTGTGTAATTTCCAACCTCAACGTCAATGACAATGAACTAGACTACTTCCCATCCTTTTTTCTACCCATTAACTAGAGATAAAATGAGTAAGAGAGAGACGCAAGATTATTAATTATTTGGCTACACTCATTTATACAAATATTTAATCACAATCATTCAAAGTTTGTCATACCGAGCAAACTTCACACAATTAATGTAAATAAATGTCATAATAAGTTGAAAAATTTCTGAATTGATCCAAAAGTCAAGTGGGGATCTCACTGAATTAATGGAGAGTTTAACTGAGTGAACATAATCTTACACTTGTTCACCTCTTAACTTTTGAAATATTGGTTGTCTACCCAATGGTCTACATACTTCTCATATTAAGTTCTCGTTTTTTCCTCACACACTTCTGAAATTGTGCATAAAAAAACTGAACATTCCCACAATTATCTGAGATTTCCAGTAGTGTTATAACAAACTGATTCAATTCTTACTTAGATTAGGCGTGCAGTGAGTTAAAGCATAAGAGAAGAAAAGTGTAATTCTTGTTTATTATTACTACTGTGATTAACATCATTCATACCTTTTCCCAATAATTTAAACTGTAATCAGTAAGTTTGTTCAATGGTACTTTGTTCTCATCATTTATTAGGAAAAGGCCGAATAAAGTAAGCGGAGTTTCGGCAGATAAATAATATCGGTTTCCTTTCACCTAATTTTTAATATTTTTGTTATCATGAGACCAACCAAAAGTCGATAACCACTGATGAAAGATGTTATGATTCTTTTTTTCTTAAAGAAAATGCCTATTATATATGATCATATAAGAATGTTCATGTGTTAAATATTTCTGATTTAAAGTCATTTACTTCAAAGGTATATAAACTAGTGTAGAATTTATTGCCTGTATGTAAATATAAATTTTAGGGAAATTGTTAGCGGGACATAGACTAGACTAAAGCATGCTCAATGCATGATTGCTTTGGTGCACGCTGATTGGCTAATTCTTATCCAATCAGCGCTAGTCGATAGTTGGAGAATATTCTGGATTCTTCTTATGTAAAAACTATAAATATACCGACGTTTTCCCCTATTGTGCTTCCTACTGGCTTCTGACTTCCATCTAACCTTGTTATTTGGAATATAATCTCTTCCTGTTCAACCGTGTTTTGATTTGGGGACTTGTCGAGTGAATCGGTGTCCGAGAATACTAAGCAATAGGAATAGCCGGGTCATTAACCGTAAGAAAACACAGTTTATAACAGTGGCGACGGGGAAAAACTAAAGAAAAATGGCGATTTCTTTAGAACAGTTGCGGTTAATATTACAGCACCAGCAGAAGTTGTTAGCCTTGCAACAACAACTATTGAACACACTTTTCACTCGACCAGAAAATAAGAAATCTGTTTATGATGCAGTAACAGACATTTCAGAAGCATATCTAGTGGAGGGTTCAAATCCCTTTATACCTGAATCAGAACGTAATATTTGTAACGTGTCCGGCTCACAGCAAGAAAATACTGTGCTGAATGCACATGAAGTTGTGACAATACCAGATGATCAGGAGCCAGATCCTGTAGATGAAGCCCGGAGTCCAGAATCAAATGAAACACTACTGGTACTGTCTAGCTGCAAAAATAAACGTCAGCTCGAACAAAATTGTGGTCCACGTGCTATTAGTCGAGAAAGCTATGGTGACTCGTATTCAGAAAATAACTGGAGCAACACGATGAACCAAATTGCACCAGATGTTACTCAAAATCACCGGAAGACAGAATTTTATATTGAGTCAACTTATCCCATTTCTAATGACAGTGTACCAGATATTGATTCTCAGAATAATGCATATGATTTTGATGAACCTTCTTATAACAATGAGGGAAATATGTCAGCTGAGTCGAATGATGGCCAAAAATCTAATCTAATTCTGTTAGACGTTGACTTTCTTAATGACTCGTTATCTGCTAACGAGATTCATAATAAATTTGAAAATAATGAACTCAGATCAAAGGTTGTTCATCATCATCTAGTCATTTTTAGTGGATTCCCCAGTCAATACGAGAAACATGGTTTAAATAAAGTCCTACTAGTTATAATTTGGAGCCATAAGGACTCAACATTATTTCGAGGAGGAGGAGAATGTTGGAGAATTAAAAGTTATGCATACTTTTTTTTAAGAAAAATCAAAACGCCGGGAACAGACATGTCAGTCTCTGTGCAAGGAAAAAGTGATAATTCTTCATTGCCTCGACGATGGACTAATCGAAAGCGCAAGCCAGTCACTCAGTTGCAGTTGGACCCTAGCACCAGATCCTACGAATCTGCTCAGAGGGGAGGTGTTAGCGGGACATAGACTAGACTAAAGCATGCTCAATGCATGATTGCTTTGGTGCACGCTGATTGGCTAATTCTTATCCAATCAGCGCTAGTCGATAGTTGGAGAATATTCTGGATTCTTCTTATGTAAAAACTATAAATATACCGACGTTTTCCCCTATTGTGCTTCCTACTGGCTTCTGACTTGCTATTTGGAATATAATCTTTTTCCTGTTCAACCGTGTTCTGATTTGGGGACTTGTCGAGTAAATCGGTGTCCGAGAATACTAAGCAATAGGAATAGCTGGGTCATTAACCGTAAGAAAACACAGTTTATAACAGAAATATTAGCTGAAATTCTCTGTCGCACATTGGTTAGATTTATTATTATTGTTGTTGTTATTACTACAGAAAAGTTGACTTTGAAATCAATCATTTCTTCCACATTTTCTTGGACAGTTATGCATTTTTCTGGTTTTATCTTATACCTTGATTTGAACAAACGAATCATCCCTAACACTCCTATTCATTATCTTGCACAGATGTTTTTTGTCTGCATTATTTTGATTTTCAGAGTTGATATTTGACCTATTGATTGATGTACGGAAACACCCCTTAAATTTTATTAGACTAGAATATTAGTAGTGATGCTAATAGTAACCAGTGTAATTCAACACTAACAATTTTTCTTTTAGTAAAGAATTCTTATCACTAATTTTCGTAATATTGCAACAATACTTTGTCATTTCATAAGGACCACTGACCAATATTTCGTTCCAAGTCACCAATCAGATACTTATTCCAATTTTTCTCTATTTCAGCGTCTACCATTTCCTCTATAGCATATTACACACCTGAGCAGTACTATTGTCCTTAAGCGTATGCAGCTAAGTTGCCATCAGTCTGTTATTCGCAAGCACTTTGTGCCCTACCTTTAGTCCAGGAATAGCAACCAGTTGCAACTATATCGATATTTCAAACGGACGTGGTTTATATGCAGACATATCGAACCGCACAATATTATAAAATGAAAAATAACAATTATACATAAACAAGTCAAAAGTGGTTGTGAATAGGGGGAAAACTGTGAGACTTGCAAGAAACTAGGAATAGTAATTCGTATGACAGTAGTTTGTGAGTAAACCGAAAGCTTAAGATAGACGGAATGCTTAGATATAATCTAGTTACCTAATAATTATGTAATAAGACTACATATAAAAGTTATCCGTAAATCAGTTTTAGGGGTCACCATTCCTTCAGTCTTCGTTCTGATATAACAGTTTCTGTTTAGCTTATGATTCCCATTGCAATTATTTGAAAGTACCATTAATAAAGCTTTTTAATCGTTAGTATCTGCCACCCATCTTAAATCATGAGTTTTCTATCAGAATAGCTGCTACCAATAAATTTTTCCACCTATTGTATATAAGATGCATGAACCACAATATATTCGTCTCTTGTTTTTACACAGGATAGATAGTGAAGAGAAAATTCTCACAACTTCAGGGTTTCTGTTTTCTGATATTTCACGTCACATGTAATCGTAGGCCTTTTATAACAGCGCGTCAGTACATAGTTATTATTTGTAATTACCAAGCCTAAATAAATCTAAAACATGAAGATTGATTGCAATGTTTTCGCAGTTGGTAATAAGCACATCAAATCTCTAAAAACGCCTTGAAAGGGCACACACATTACAGGGAGACAGGGTTTTTACAACCAGGCTTTGATACACTTCTACCATATATATAACCTGTTATTAACCGTTGAATACGTATAACAAAATAAAATGTCAGTAGATAAAGTGGTACAGCGGTAGTTAATAGTTAAACTAGTTGCATTTCAATCAGTGAGTCACAGGATCAAACTTGCTCCCATCTACGTCAGTTTAAGCAGTCACGCAGCATTTCTAGCCCCTCACATAATGCTCTTCAATGCCAAATACATAAATGAGTACTTGGCTAGTGAATTACATTAAAGCGACTAATTAGGAAAAGGTGAACGCGACGACGGATTACTAAAACAACATAAGTGAATATTCCATTCTGTTTAAAATGAAAGATTACTCGTCCACTAAATTCCCTTATCAGTCACTTCTGTGTTGTAATAACTGAGATCGATTGTATTGTTGTTCGTTCTCATTTTTTTCTTCTACAGGATGGTTTCACTCCTTTAGCAGTAGCCTTACAACAAGGACATGATCGTGTTGTGGCACATCTTCTAGAAAGAGATTCACGTAGTCGAGGTGGCATGCCAGCTCTACATATTGCAGCACGAAAAGATGATGCAAATGCTGTGAGTTTGTTATTGAACAATGCAGAAGTTAATGTGAATCATCAATCTCAAGTGAGTTTTACTGTTTTCTTTTCAGAATTTAATTAAAAATGCACGTACAAGAGCTGGAAGAGCTTGATTTCTAATCTTGGTTTTGATACTGTTAAGATGCAACCTGAAGTAAATGAGCTACATGTAGCTTACATTTTATAACTTCCACATACATCCTAATAAGTATTCGAGTACATATAGCGAATAACTCTTCACGAACTCCCCCAACTTTATTGATTATAATGTGGTCACTAGTGGCCAACTTAATAATAGAACCAGAAAGTTCTCCAGATAAGCTATGACATGTGGAGTTTAACAATGTAATGTGTGATGCAGCTACTTACTGATGATTATCATGCTACATCGCGAATTGAACTTCAAAATAATATAGGCCTTTTGCTTTCGAGTCAGTACTGTAAGGTCATCACGTTAGCCACGAGGCTTTGCGACCTTGGATTTAATCACTGATTGGGCTGGATGCCCGACTTTTGGTTAGTTTTAAGTTAGGTCTTAACGACTGTCCGGCATATCACAGTCTTTGACGTGAACTATCTTTATGTTGTCTTGCACACTTATCAAATAGTCTAATGTGGACAACACAGTTTTCTGTCCATTAAAAAAATTAACTTCAATTAAAAAAAGGAATTTCTTTACCATTGTGATTTTTTTGCTAAATATGTAAACTCAGTGGTAATGTAAAGCAAATAAAATAATTTCTTACATATATTATTGGCTTACAATAATAAACTCAGTTTCAGAGACTGTTAGCTGATTGAACTAGCTATTTTTCTGTGTCTGTGATTATCTAGACAATGCATGCACAATTCCACTTTACTAAATTTTGACAGATGGATTTTTAATGATACGAAATGCTTTTTGTAAACAGTTTTGTTGTCCAGTATCGATTGATATTCTTACTGTGTAATAATTATTAAAAAAGTGTCTTCTGTGTAGAAACTTTTTCTGACCAAGTTCTCGTGTAAAATTCATTCTGTCTGTATATTTCACTTTTAATGTAAAACTATACAATCGATAACATTGAAAATAACTACATCAAAAATAAAGCCATACCTTAATGGGTATAAATCACTAGATGGAAAATTAAAATCCGACTCTGTTTACTTTCACTCTAGACAATAGCATTATTCATACACGGAACGCATAACTCAAAGCTGGTTACACATTATATTACATTGAAATTTATATGAGGAATATCCGGTGAATTATGGTTAATGTGATTATTATCATTTGTCCCTATCTACTATAAAACTGTTTGGTTTGAGAGTCACGTCTATGATACATTTCTAATTGTATTGAAATTACTTTTAATTTCTGGCTTTCTTTTGCAAAGTGATTACTTTACTTTTTGGATTTACGTTTGGTGTTATTACATAATCGTTTACTAATGTTTTTGTTCGATTTGGTGGTGTATTAAAGAATTTGATTCATTTCATGACGTGTAGTCTTTTCAAGGAATTTCTAGATCGATATACTGGCTGGTGCATAATCAGCTCTCAGGTTTAACCTCCGTTTCTGTCTAATTTGCTGTAGGTGAACCAAGATAGTGTGTCAGTTGACCTGAGAGGAATTTTATGACTTAAATCTGAGCAAATAAACTTATACTCTTGGCTATTAAGTTGAATTAAAAATCGAATTTTTCTAAAGTTGGTTGGCAACTAGGTGTGGAATATTGAAAATACTTTTCGTCCTATTCAGGACTCGTCAGCTGGATGCACCTATGTCTCGGTGTGTGGCATCAATAACAGGAAAATATCAAGTTGTGTCAAATTAAATAAATGATAGAGCAGGAACCAGTTATATGGCTGAAATTGGTTGCTGTGTTAACTTTATCGTTTCTAGTCTCAATCACCTTCTATAAGCGTTTTTTCTTCATATTGCTTCCTTCTATTCCTAAGATTTTTTAGGTTATTCTTCCTCACTACCTCTTGTTATATTGTCCCTATTGTTTCTCTCAATATTATAAGATATAGTTTCGTTTGGAATAGGTTCATGACATTAAAATCGTATTAAGCAACTAGTTTATACGAGTAGAAATGGTCTACACCACAGTATTTAGATTTTAATTAAGGTAATCAGTTACGTTTCTTTTTCTCAACAGAACTATTATTTGCGACTGCAAAAACATCATTGTTATGAAGTTAAGTTTTTTTATGATTTGATGATCGGGTTTTCGGTTGTTTGAATGAATGAATCCAATGATAAGACCGATAGATGGGATGCAGTAATACCATATGACATAATGATAACTGCTCGGGCGACCGAATCATTGATATAAAGCTCCCAACTGAACTGATATGAGATAACAAGGTGATCGTCCAGGAAAATAGGTTATTTCGTGTAAAAAGATAACACGCTAATGTGAAAAAGGTTAATGGATGTAAAGGTAAACTGATTCGAAGTCATTTTACAGATCGATGGTGGGAGGACTCATATCATTCATTTGCATTAGAATTAATGCTTTGCTTCTTCATACCAGCTATTCGATCATTAGATTAGTTGCTAATAATCCACACTTCTATCTTATTCATTACATCATAATAATGATCTGTTCTTAGTATTAAAATAATTATGAGGAATGTATGGCACACGTCAAGACTAATAATGAAAACAGTAAGTATATGAATAGTGAATGGTAGTTTAACAATTCCATGTTCAAATCTCACTATGTTCAGAGAAATTATCACTAAAGCTCACAAAATGTAACTTGAAGTTAGATTACGTAAATCTAAACTTGCACATTGTGTTACATCAAGTTTGCTAGTGAAGTGTAAAATCAAAATTACACCAAGTATAAAATATCTAATTAAGCCTTATAGAGGAATGTTTAAAATGGATTTTTAAAAGAAATACAAATGTGATTTCAGAAAGTCCTCTCTCTGACTAATATTTTAATACCATTTTAAATTTATGATTTGACTGAAGAAAACCTAGCAGAAACAACAAAAATATAGTCGTTTTATTGATTGATCACTTAATAGTAACCAGTGTCATGTATGTAGTGCTGATCAAGTTGCAGTTTGACTACTAGTCTTAGTGATTCGATGTTAAAAGTTTGAAAATAGTCACCTGAACCGCCTAAACATAGATGTCGTGTTATTTGTTACTGTGTAATGTTGGTTCGAACGCCGCGCAAACCATTCGTTCCATCATGATTGCAGGTACGCTTTGTCGATAAATCTCGACCGACAATCAACTTGGGTTTGGGGTTTATTACCAGACTGGAATCTTGAATAATTTCTTCAAACACGTTGAACGTGCTGGAGTAGAACTAAGCTAACAGAAAGTTAGGCAGAGCCAAAACACGTCATTGGTCCATGTAGTTGTTGACCGTTGATCTGGACCATACAAACTATCTAGTTTTAGTGATGTTTGTACGGCAATCATAATCAACGATTGAAGACCTTAAGTAATGTGGTTCCAAATCAGTCTGTGGCACAATCTCACTTGTTATTATCTTTAAAATTATTCTGTATATTCATTTTTATTACCACTAGTACTATATGTATTATTATTTTTCTCTTTGCCATTTGTCTTGGTAATATATTATAGCAATTGAAGCGGTAGTAACCTTGTACCAGATTTAACAATGACTAGGTTTTATAAAAGCATTAAATTTTATGAGATTTTCTTCAGTGATAAATTTGACTAAACTAAGAACAGTAAATGTAGGAGAATAAAATGATTTTATTTACTTAGTATGGTTTCTTTTCAGCTACTTACAAACTAGAAACAATAGTAGTAATAATTATGTACAGTGTGTGTACTTTATATCATTTTATGAAGTTGAAAGAATTGTAAAGTGGATGAATATTTATATTTTACCATATGTGAGAATCCCGGAAGACATAGAGACACGTTTCTAGAGAATGAAAATCGATGTCGAATTTACATGATAGCAACCGTAACATGGGATAGATTATAAGCGAAAGGTGATTAAAGTTTAGAAAAGATGCGAGAATAGAAGGAATAAATTTATTATGGAAACTAAAATAATTTATCACGTAATCGAATGATGAAAAGTAACAATTTTTATTCAGTTCTTAAAAGAATTTCATGAACTATAGTCATTTGGCCAAGTTTACTGTCAATCCTGCATACTTTCTACATTCCCTAAGTTCTTAATAGAACAAAATAATCCTTTTTAGCGATTTCATTTTTCCATAGTTGTCTTCCATATTATTTTCCTATTTAGATTTCTTGATTATCAGTATGTGATTTTTACTTTGAGTTTTTGGTTTAATGACATTCATGGTTATTCGCTTGAAACTGGTTTAATATTCTTACAAACACAATTTTTATGTGATATTCGTCGTTAGATGACCTTATGTTACCATTGAAAAAGTCGAGGGGCATACTTTTGAGAGTCCTACATTAGGGCGGAACCGCTATTCAGTGCTTCTGTAGCGAATATAACTAACAAACTAAACAAGATCCCATAAAATCAACTCTTAAACTTCTAGCTTGTTGTTCGGGTCTTAATTTGTTACATGTATATGCGATTGTAATATTTAAGTTCTTGTATGGATTTCCAAACTAATTGTTCTTTGACCTAATGGGTGTATTCGACTTAATGGAAAGCTTTTATGACTATTGTTCATTGTAACTTGATGTTATGTATTTACCTACGACTATCACCATATTTTTGGGCTTTGTTTTTCCTTTAAAAAAATATAACCTATGTTTATATATACGTACGGACACCTGCTTGAATATCTGGGTTACTTTTTTCTGCCATCTAATTGTTTCAACAACTTATCTGTTTTTTTCATTTTGTTTTTAACGTCTCATTATGTCCATTAATCGCATAACCTATACAGGCGCGTTTATGAAAAGCCTACGACCTTTCGCTGCACAAGTTACAAAGAAGTACTATAAAAGACATCGTGGTGGTTGGCAATATGGGTTAAAGAGAATGACCATTAATCATATGTCGATTCCCGAGCTGCTAAATTCTAACTGCCGATCACTAATCAACAAAGTGGACTATCTTCATTTCCTACTAATTCAAAATATGTATCGTAATTGTGGTGTCATCACTATTCAAGAATCTTGGTTCGTTGATTTACAGGACGACTGTCTAGTATCATTTTTATAAGTTTTGATCGACTCACATCTTCACAACTAAAACGACTACGGAGGTTGAAAGAAAGAATGTAAAAGGAGAAAAACTCTAATGAAGCTCGTAAGCTAAATGGTCTGATAAACCTAGAGATTAGGCGTCTCAACTCTATGTTTACTCAAAAACTCTCCAAGTATGTGGAAACTTTAAAGAAATTACAGGTGACAGACAGATTAGGAATGATAACCAACTGAATGTTTGTGACTTAAATAAGTCTTTCGTACGTCAGTCATCTTATTTAATGCTCCATTCATCCACAGGTTTAAAGAATAGCTGTGTTAATAGTTTCACTGAAACTGATGTCCGAAAATGTCTCCAGTCTCTTAATTCATCCCGATGTTTAGGACCTGATGGTATCCCAAACCTTTTGAAAAAATGTGCTGATGTCCTATGTTATCCATTCACGACTATCTTTAACAGATCTTTCTCATCTAATCTCATACCGAAAATGTGGAGAAAGATGAAGATAATCCCTGTACCCAAGAAAGTATCTGGTGATAATAATGTGCAATTTAGACCTATTGCAATAACTCCACCCTTCCTCAAAACAATGGAAAAATTATTAATACTTCCACTTCAACCTGCGATAAAAGAGCATATTTGATCCGTATCAGTTTGTCTACAGATGCAAAAGAAGCACCTTAGATGCTGTTGCTGTTCTGCATCACAATATCGTGTTCAACTTAGAAAAGGGTCAGAAGTATGTTCGATGCGCTTTTCTGGACTATACTTCAGTTTTTGATTCTGTACCAAGACAACGTTTACTTAACAAGTTAATCAGCGTCAACACTGACAGCTGGATAACAAATTGGCTATGTTCCTACCTCTTTGTAAGGGACCAGTACACTGTATTTAGAGGAAAGTGTTCAGAGTCTCTACTGTCTCATGAATGTGTACCGCAAGGATCTGTTCTTTCACCATTTCTTTTCTCTTTTTTTCTGCATGATCTGCTATCTTCCACAGAAAACACTTTTTTGAAATATGCGGATGATCTCACTGTATGTATGCCTATTTCTTCCTCTTTACATCCCATAGAAATGAATGAGTTCTTGTCTCGTATTGATTGTTGGTCTGTTGTTAATGGTCTCAAACTTAATCTGTCTAAATGTCAAGCTGTTGACTTTAGCATGAGACATGAACGGCATCTAAACACCATTTTGAGATCCCATAATGCTTGTGTCATTGGAGACTCTTTGATAAACACAGTGTCGAAGATCAAATATCTTGGTGTTACCTTTTCCTCTGATCTCTGTTGGTCTTCTCACGTTTTATTGTTATCGAAGAAGGTTTCCCGTCCGACTTATTACATAAAGAGGTTGCATGCTCTTGGGATTACTCGTTATTTACTCTTACAATTTTTCAATTCTTGCATATTAGCTACTATTCTTTACTGTTCTCCATTATTCTTTCCCGGGCTTTTGAGAAAAGACTTTACTGCTGTATTGCGGAGAGTGCTGAAGGTAGTTAACAAGGTGTGTGGTGAATCTTTCGAGGTCATAATTAATATGGTTGTGGATAGACATCTAAAGTCATGCAAACTCTTGACAGGTGTTATTTTATCAGATGCTAACCGTCCCCTTCACTCTTATCTTTCTCCTCGTATATCTTCTGATAGAACGAGACGTAATTACATTAAAATCCAAGCACTCAAGCAAAAGTATAAAAGTTCTATAACACCTTACCTAGCAAATATACTCTGTGACGAACAGGTTGTTAGAGTTAATCTAGTCAATAACCTGCATTCTTAACATGTCTCTAATTTGAAAAGTTGTACAGTCTTTCAGATTGTTTTAAAACACTTTTTGTCTTTGTTTCTGTTTTTTGTTTGTAAGAAACTTGTTGAAATAACCTATACTGAGAATTCTATATTTTACCAAAAATATAATATTGAATAAAGCCAATAATAATAATAATATAAAGTCGTCTAAGGTCACATAATTTTTGTTTATTTTGGCTTTTGCCCTATGCTCGATAATTCTGTACATGACCTTAGTAAACTATGTGACCTTTGGATTTCATAGGTGTTTTACCTGGTCCAAACAAATGCATATAGATTTAGTTCACTAATAAAGTTTTCGTAATCTTTCTGTAAATTCGAGACTGCTGTAACGGGAGAAAATTGTATTAATTATTTACACCCACTGTCGATCGCCCAAGTTGATATAAGTAGATAATGACTAACCAGGAAAACTGTATTGCTATAACATAACTCCCTAGTGAACGGACACAAAAATGACAACTGATTGAGGAAAGTTTTTAGTGAACGCAAATTTTTGTAGGTCTAAAGTTTATCAGGTAATTCACCAACCAATGGAAACTGAAACTTGTCTATCTGGAGCTCAGTTTCTATCTATCATTTCAGACTTTTTAAAGAAATCGTTCATGTTTTTTATATGAATATCACTCATATTTAATGTAACTTACAATAACTGATATTTGTTGGTTTGTTAAACGAATCACTTGCTACCGGATTTTGGTTTTGTCACTTTGTTATAAATTGTGACCGCCGATTAGAGAGCAGTGACTTATCGATCGGATCAAAGACGCGTAAAACACGTGCGAGCAGTCTAGAGTTCTGATTGGTCCTGCTTCCTGTCTAGCCCAGCCATTTAAGCCCAGAACACAAGTCTCAGCCTCTGCGATATGAATTATGTATTTCAAACATACTCTGTTTATATACCAATCAAGCAGACCACAACGTATCAATAAAATATGAAACAACAGTTGTACAGGAATTAGCCAGGTGTGGCTGTGAATAAGGGAGGCAGTAATTAATATACTGGGTATAACTCACGAATGGTAAAACGTATAATAATAGTTTATGGGTCAAAATAAAGCTTATAATAAGAGAAACATGAATATGAATAGTTTAGTTGTTTAACAATTATACGAAAAAAATATACGTTTAGTATTGGCCCATAAAAGGATCCCAAAGTTACCATTCATTATGTTTCTCGGATCCTAACACACTTAAATCATAGTTTCCGATAGTCACATTTCGGTTTTATTTCGAACTATGATAGGTGTTTTTTTTAAATTTCAAGTCAAGAAATTCGGTCGGTTATTTATGCCTTAACGTTCTATCTTCTCACTGAAAGATCATTCCTTTTTGTATATAACTTATCTTTGTGGGAAGTAATATGTTTTTAAATGTAGTACCTTAGGTGGAAAAAATACCATTGTCTCCGATCGTGGATCGCATGTAACTTGGTTTTCAGTTTTCAATAGAAAAAGCTTTCGTTCATTCCATATAAGATCAGCGAAGCATAGCAAACTTAAGAAATTTTATTATTTTACTGCTATCTATGTGATAATGATCAGATAAGCTTTTCTGGTTATTTCATAATGTGTTAATCAACTGAAAAGTTTGTGTTATCCTTGTAAACCGAAATTGTATTGATAATCATTTTAACTAATAAATGTGTTATTAAAGCCCATAATTTATACTTTACACTGATTCATAAGTTGAAATACTGACTTTTCGGCTTCGTTACAAATATAGCAACAATAATGTTTTGTATTATTCTCTAGTTATGTGTTGAATTATTCACTTGTTTAGCACCTTACTGAGCCATTTGTATCAGTCCACATGATTTATTTCAAGTTTGAACTGTTTCCTTTCTTCAGACAGTGTTTGTAAATAATTGTCCACTTCTTTGCCAACACACGTATCATATCGTTGAGAACAGTACTATATTTTGATATTATGGTGAAATAAATTATCTTTATCTTCAGATTATTTTTTTTCTACCCTCTTCAAGCCTGGTTTCACTCCACTACATATTGCTGCTCATTATGGTAACGTGACTGTAGCACGTGTACTTATTGAACGTGGGGCAGATGTAAACTTTCAAGCCAAGGTAGATTATTGTTTTTATATTCATTTCTACAAATTGGTGTTGCTAATAATTTGAACATTTATAATATCCTGACGTTTTAATTTGTCATTATCTCTGACTAACCTTTCGTAAAATTTGTTTCTGATGAAGATTATTAACTTTCCTCAATTTATTCATTGTTTTGTACATGATATTTCATTTCATTAAAAAAATCCTACTTTTAGATTTGTTTATTGTTTGTCAGTGTTGTGAGATAATTATATTTCCTTTTTTAACTACATACAACAAGACACGTACAGTGATGATGAAAATACATTTGTTCAAACATCATCTATCTTGATTTTCCCCCCTCTGCCTCTGTATAATCCATTTCAAATTCTACCAATGCATATAAATTATTTTTTAGTTTTCTTTGTTTCAACAATAGAAAGAGGAAGTCTTAACGTTACGCGTACAAACTTATTTATTAGTAGTTTTTACACTTATAATAATGCATCCACTGTTAATGAATCCCTACTCACTGCCATTTTGCGGTGAGGGTGTTGTTTACGAAATAGAGGGGACGAAAAGTTAACGTTCGGCGCTTTAACCGGGTTGGTAGACATGGAGAATCCACCTAGAGGAGTTGGAAAACCGTAATTCCAACCCAATGATGCACATGAGCTCCAGGATCCTGATAGAAGAAATGGCGTATGAACCTACTATTGGTCACCGGCTACCATAAAACTGTAGTCACTCAGTCAGTCATCTACAACACAGGACCAAGCACATATATGCATCGGTCCAAGTTGCTATACCTCATTAGCACAACAAGATGAACACCGGATTCATAGAAGTAGTTAATTCAATGGTGTTAATATATAAAAGAAAGATTGCATATAAGGATATAGTAGAGGAAGAAAGAATTAGTTCGTAGAAAGAAAGATATGAAGCGATTTTAATCTCGTTATTTGAGAGAAGACAGAGAGTGTATACACCTACGCCATTGTGATCGATTATGAGACATGTCACCCACAGTCTCCAACCATTGGTTACGATAGTCGCACGGACCCCAACCAAGTAGTCTCCATCTACCAAAATGGTTCAGACCAGAAGTTGGTGACTTCAATGACTGATGCCACGTTTTCGTTCGACCGCCCCTAACTTACTTCCAACCGTCACCAACACTGGTTTGCATTGTGCGCCGTGATGATCGGTGTTCAGGCATACGTAACACGTTGCCCAACCATCTCTGTCAATGAAGATTCACAACCTCATCAACTGATTTACCATCATTCCCTAATACCCTGTATCAAATACTAGTAACTTACGAATATCTTTTACTCTTATTGGCCGTTTCGCTGCCGTAATTTAGAACAGAACGAAAATAGAACTGTATCTTTTAACGTTGCTTCACTGCCTTGTGGATCAGGCTCAATGTATGGCCCCTAAAGAAACTACCTGCATCAGTTTTTGTGCCCGAATAGTATCTTATCTCTCACACAACATACCTTTCTCTACAGGAGCAGATGAATTCGTAGAAACACATGGATGTGACAAAACTAGGTATCTTATCTTTTAGTTGAGGAATCACCATAGGTCGGCCGGAGCACGGTAGACAGAATTTAGCTGTATCAAACGTTTTATTTGTTGCTCTAAATAGTCTATCTCATAGCACATCTCCATCTATGTCTCCATCAAGTCATAGCTTCAGGAAGAGAGGTTTCTTACTAACTGTTGACGTCACTATCTTCCTGTTGATTATGTGCTGCAAGTGTTTCTTCAGAAAACCTTGTGGATAATTCATGTCAACCAACATTTAAATAAACTCTAGTTCATTTTGTGGTGTCGTTTGACTATAACTTTTTAGCTCTATTTGCAAAACGTCTAACTGGGTTTCTCTTATAACGAAGTGTGTGTATTAGTTTGTGTTCATATTCTGTATATAAGCATTTTATATTATTACACAAAACATCTATTCGCTTGATTACTGTTCTTACCTTTGATTTCTAATCATTCAAAGGCTTAAATCAATAATACGGCCGCATGAGTATCCATCACTCGACCGCATCTTATCAATGCGTTCATCTACCGATTGAAATTCTATTCATCAGTTCAAACAATCGAAGATTTTGTCTCATCAAATCATCAAAAATCTCCACCTCCTCCCTCAACATGGTGATAATTCTCAACTAAAGTTCACTACTTAGATATTACGGCTTCTTTACCCCCAGCTATTTGAATAATAATCTTGCAACAATTGTTTATTGTTAAAAAAACATTATTAGTCATTTAAATATATTCACTCATATACTGATTCAGTTTCATTGATTATGAGTTAAAGAATTTGTCATACTGAAAAAAATTCAATCAAAATGATACAATCGCATATTGAAGTGAATATATGAGAAATCACATTTTTTGTTGATACTCAGTCAATATAACTTTATGTTTTTCGTTTTTCTTCATATCTATCAAACGGACAGTTATCTTTACTAATCCTGATTCGTAAATTCTTTTCATCCTTCTATTCTTCTGTAACCCCTTGATTATTACGTAACCTCATTTGATACAAAGGTATGTTATAGTGAGTGAAAGCCACATTAAATCAGTACATAATTTCACACAATGTTTATTCCTCCCTAATAATTTAATACTCGATAGCCGTGTCGTGAATTGACTGATTTCGGAAATAAAGTTTCGTATCGAACTTTGAACCAAACTAATTGTGATAATACTTACGGATTAGGGATCATTATTGAATGGAACTCGTCATCATACATCAAAGTCCTTGACTATAAAAAACGTTTGACAGCGTAGACAGGAGGACTTTATTAAATCCTCTCCGACACCATGGTGCACCTGAGAAGATCGACACCATCATGCGGAATTCTTACGATGGACTACACTGTAAAGTCATGCACGAAGGACAGATTGCAGATGCATTTCAATTGAGGATCAGTGTCAGACAAGGCTGTTAAAACTCGTATTTTCACTTATGGTGATTGACTGGATTATGAAGACCTCGACATCTAAGGTGAAGCATGGAATACAATGGACAACTTGGATGCAACTAGACGATTTGAACTTCACTGATGACCTAGCTCCTCTATCTCATACACAGCAACAAAAGCATGTGAACACACTGAGTGTAGCAGCAACCTATTCAGCAGTAGGTCTTAACATTCACAAGGGAAAAGCAGGATGATGAAATACAACACAATGAGCACCAACGAAAGCACAATTGATGGAAAAGCTGTAGAAGTGTAAACTTCCGAGTACCTTGTCAGCATCATCGATAAACAAGAGGATCTGATGCAGTTTTGAATTGAAGTACCGGAGAGTGGAGGACAAAGTACGTTGGAGAAGCCTGGTCGGCGGCTTTTGTTACTCAACGTGGGTTAATAGGCGTATATAAAAGTGAAGTGAATTATAGTACTTAAAATGGAGTTTAAACCCGTTACTTAGTGTTGAATCTAGAGTAACGTATCCTCTAGAGTATTAGTGTAGAAAAGCATTTGCTAGTTTTGTCTGTACGTGGACGCTATAAAAAAATACACTTCCTTTTACTGTGTGTTTGTATTCAGTTGAAAATCTTTACAGTAAATATGAAAACCTAAAATTGTGATAACTGACTTTTTGGAAAGTTTTTCTCACGTTCAAACTCGTCATCGGTTTTTTATATCTTTTTGTTATTGATAGAATAATATCACACCATTACATGTGGCTGCTAAATGGGGTCGTGGTGGAATGGTCCAACTACTTTTGAATTCGAATGCCTTAGTTGATTGTCGTACACGTGATGGTTTAACACCATTACATTGTGCAGCTAGATCTGGTCATGCAGAATTAGCTTCACTGTTGATGGGTGCTGGTGCAAATCCTTCAGCTAAAACAAGGGTATGTTATCATTACCTTCATAAACATTTGGTGTGAAACAAGTCGTCGAACTATTTATGTCGGCCATCTGAGTTCGCCCTTACTGGTGACAGAAACATGGAATCACACAACCATTTTATTTCGGCCTATCCGTAATGTATATTAAGTATTAATTCTACTGAAGAGTTGGTGATTCGACTCAGTCTACGTTATTTTATTGGTCATTGCTGTGACATGATCAATTGATTCAGAAAATAATTTACTTATAACGTTGTCTGAAAGGGCCACTTCTAATCTCCAATGTCTTCAATCACTGCATTACGCTGAAGAATAGAAAAAAGAAAATACTGATTGATGATGACTCAATTGCTAGAGTCTGTAAAACGAAAATACTTTTTTGCTTGTGTTATGTTACGCGATAGGCATTCTATCAAATTAAATCTTATTTACTGTGAATTATTACATCTGTAGAAACTGTGGTGTGATTAAAAACTATGGATGACCTTAGGGCGGCGCCAAAGTAATCTTGAGAATGTCCATCTATTCTATTTTATCAACGCGTTAAACTTGATTTTTCTCCGTCAGTCTTCGTGAATAGATATTGGCTTTTATTTGGAGTAGTTATCTTGAATTGTTTCAGTTTTTACTTCGTAACCTTGAAAAAAAGTTCAGCTAGTGATTTTTGCAGTTATGTTTTCAGATCAAATCGACTTCCTAATGACTATATAAGTGAATTTTACGTATTATCTACAATTTTCATATTAATCTAAGGCTGTCACTGAATCTAACAAAGTCAGTTTGACAGTGTTACATAATTTTCTTAGGTATTGATTATACAATAAACAATTTCCATGAAATTATCAGATCAAATCTCTCGACTTACTTTGTTTTAAATCACTTGTGTAATCATTCCATTAATATTATTTCATCTATACTAGAATGGATTAACTCCATTGCATATGGCAGCACAAGGTAATAATGAAGAAGTTGCTCGTGTATTGATTCTGCGTGGTGCTAGTGTAGCTGACAGAACAGGAGTAAGTTATTGTTGTTGTTACTGTGTTTGTTATTCTCCTATATAGTTAAAATGTTTATGTCATTAATAACAAGAATGTTAATTATATTTATTGTTCAACATGTCTTTACAAACTATCTATTATGTAAGGCAAGATAGAAATTTCCATTGCAAACTGCAAATGAATGCCAAAAAGAAATATTGTGAAGTGATTTTACCAAGTTATCAATTAAGTGTTTTTGTTAGATTTTTGACTTCATTGAAATGTCAATGCATTGTTTTTGTCTCACACTTTTTTAAATATATCTTTCTGATGCAATGAATTTGAACATTTTTTGTGTATGGGGATATTTAAAAAAGTTATCGTTTCACGTTCAATCGATTTCTTTCTTTGGATTGGTAATAGGTCAGAGAGCAATTAGTGATTATGTCGTGATGTTTATTTAAAAATGTGTTTTTTTAAAGCTCATCTGACAAATGTGGTTTCGTGCACTTGATTTCTAGATACACTTTATTTGTGAAGGCTAGTTTGTCTGGATTAACGATTGTATGAAATACACTTATTCGAAACTCATTCTCGTACTTGACTTATTAAATTTCATTATATACTAACGCGAGTTAAGTCGATGATTATATATGAGAATAGTCAGGATGTATATATCGATATCGCTTATTTGATAGCAATCTGAAACGATCCAAATGGAGTCATATATATGGCTGCTAAAGTGGTGATCCCGTTGACAACATCGCCCCATCTAATTGGTGTCACAATAACAGGTCATTAAAAGGATGTGCCTATGAAGTTTTGGTAATGTTTTATTGATCACCTTTGTACGCACGATAACTTAATGCCAGTTTTATTGTTGCCAAAATGTAAATGTTAATTTTGAGTGATTCCTATGTAACTTTTCAGTGAGTCTTTAATGAAGACGTAGTGGAAGGAGTAAATTTTGTTGCTTCGGTATTGTTTTAAAAAAAAATTATTATTTTTATTGTCAACTAAATGACTGAATCTAGTCCATTATGACTAGTTTTCATATGAAATCAAACCAATTGGTTTGGGGGTACTATACTTTTCAGACTTCACGGATTGACTATTTTTGGCATGGTCTTCACTAACTTTCTTACAACCTAGCCCAATATCAACAAACATTATTTATTAATGTAGGGAGTGGATTAGTATACGCAACGCATGTCTTAACTGCATCGGTTTATGAAGTTACACAACTTCATCAACTGGTTCGCCAGTTTACTCTACATTGATTGTCTATTCGGGACTGCTGCTTGACGATTTTCCTCACTATCACTGCATCATTTTGATTTCTTGTAAAATGAATAAATGCTGAATTTATTTCATACTTAACATCACAACCCCACAGACTATTAAACTCAAGATCTTTAGGCTTCTCAATGAGTGCTTGACCATTAAACAGACATCCAGTCGTTTGGATGTTTAGCTTCAACTCATGATAGTACACAACTCTCTTTCAACGTCATAAGTCACGACTGTGGAATACAGTATGACTTTTGTAGTGATGTAGATTTGTAGCTTGATTGATATGCTTTCAACGGTTATGTATTGTGTTAGCTAAATGGTTCATTCGCTGAGTTTTTCTTTTTCATTTTGAGCTACATCATCAGCGCATAATTCAGATCACTAAAGCTGGTGAAATATTATTTATTTTTTCCTTCAAAATTAACTAAATACACTTTGTGTATGTTGCATATTCTACGTTGATAATGTTTGTATTTTTTTAAGAAAAAAGAGTAATTTATTTACCAAAATTACTTGTAATTAATGACTTCCATAATGATGACTGTCAATTTGTAATTAAATTTTAATTTATAGTTTGTTACGCTTTAAAAAAATACATTACTAAATAGTTTGTTCAGTCTTTTAAATGAACATTTAGCGATTAGACAATGTTTATCAGGAATTAGAATAATTGAACCAGTTTTTTTTGTTTATTTGTAGATGTATTGATCAAATTCTAAGATAGATAATTTTCAAGTTCTTTTGATGCATCTGATTGAATCGAATGCTTACGTGTTTATTAAACTGTTTTGTTTATGGTCAGTTAATGAGGCTTTATGCGTAAATGGGAAATTCTTGTGAACTTACTGTTTAAATTCACCGCGAGTGATAGCCACGTTAGAATATGTAGTCCCATGACAGCGTGTAACCAACAATAGGTTCATATGCCATCTGTTCCTTCATGGGTGTGGAGCCCATGTGTATAATTGTTTCCATCTTCCCTAAATAGGTTCTCCGTACTCACCAACCTGGTTAAAGCCCCGGTCATTCGCTTTTCGTCCTCTTAGTTTTGTGAACAACACCCTCGACACGAGAGTGCAGTGAGCAGGGCTTCCTTGAGTGTGGTTGTGTACGCGTGAACATAGAGAGTATTTCGGGTCGGAGAGTGAACTCTCGGTCATTCCGGGGCATTTGGAGACTGCATATTTTATCGCAAATAATAAGTGCCGACATGTATAATATTTGAGTGTTTTTTCCAGATCAAGTCAAGTAGCTGTAATTTCTTAGTAGAGAGATTATATAGCAACATTTACTTTAACGAAAGGTGACTTACGAATACCATGACCCAGTTGATGAATAAATTTACATAATAGATATATAGATTTTTTTCTTCCAAAAATAGTTCTCTGTTTAATTTTTGCTTCTCTCCGACATAAATTTTTGTCAATACCTACCATGATCTTAACTACAAGTTAAGAACAAACATGTATATTATATCAATCAATACATGAGTCCAGAGATTTTTAAATTTAAGTATATTAGTGTAAAACACACTGAACTGTGTAAATCATCAATTTGGTTTTTAATAAAACTTTTTCTGTTTATTTTCACCTCATGATTTTTCCTTTAGGATTCTTTGACCCCACTACATGTGGCTGCTCATTGTGGTAATACAGAAGTGGCACGTGTACTCTTAGACAATGGATGTGATGTGAATGCACGTGCTTTGGTAGGCTTTTCATTTTATGTAACACTGATTTACTACAATTTACTTTCACGCATACTTTTTTCTAGAATGTAAATGGTAGATACGTTTAGTTTTCTTTTGTATATTTTCACTTTCTCTAAATTATGAACAGTAATAAACACTTCGGATCTGTAACCTTATATAATGATCAAGAATTAAACCCGACATATGAATTTATTGCTGTGTGAGTAGTGAATTAGCTGACATTCTTCAATCTTTTATGATATTTGACAATCTTGTTTATTCCTATGTGTAACTCTTTGTATATCAGGATACTATTCTATTTGAATAAAAAACTCCTCTGGCAAATGATCTGGTTTTAGTTACCAGTTCATTTGTACTGTTAAGTCAGTAATCCGGTTTATCGTATCACTGCATTTATCTTTCGTCTAAGATTCTATTTATTTATTTTAGTAATTAACAACAGTAGTCTTTAATTCTAAACTAAATTATAGCTAATGGTAAAAAATTGAGACCTGTTTCATTCTACTCTATTTACGGTATCCTTAATGGTGATGTTTACATCGGCCCTTGAAATCACAGTACGTAAATATCGTTTAAAGCATCAATCAGTTAACCAGTAGTCTAATAGAAATTTGAAATAACTACTAATATTAGTTGAAGAAAGTTTACTCACAAAATAACTGTTCAGTGACCAAGCTCCTTTTTACGTAAAATATTCTGTTGTCTTTGTTTTAAGGTTATTGATTTCATCAAATTTATAGTTTAGGAAGATAAAACATTGAATCAGATTCTAGTTCGTGTGTTCGATTCTCACGTGCGGGGTAGTGGATGCATACTACTGAGGAAACCCATGCTATGACGAGGCAGCTGTCCAATGCTTCTAGGTTTTCAATGGTAGTTTAGCTTAGACCGACTCATGAATTAAACTGTAAAATTACTACAATCTTCACAAATCCCCATACTGATCATATTTATTTGTTTATCACTTTGTACGGGTCTAATTTTCATATCATGTTTACAAGCTTTATATGTATACTTACTTTTTACTTCTATTAAATTGATTTTATTTATTCATTTATATATATTTCCTATTTACAGAATGGTTTTACTCCATTGCATATTGCTTGTAAGAAACAAAAAATTCGAGTTATTGAACTACTTCTTCAGTATGGTGCGCAAATCAATATGACTACTGAAGTAAGTTCTGTTCCATTATCATCATATATTGGATTAATATAAGTTATTCCATTAAATAAGATGATAATGATAATGATTGAACGTTGAAAATATTGTACAAAAGTACAATGAAAAAATGTATACGATGGGATGCTAAATAATCAAGATGAAAAATATGAATACATTTGAGCTAATGTGATTTTAAACCACGTCAATCAACGTATCCAACCATGTTTCGTGTTTATTGCATTAGTCCAACAGTCTATCACTTAATGAATTGATCTCACGTTTTTATTTGGTCACACTTGTCAATCATTTATCATCGTAGATCTTAACGAGTATGTATACTCTATACTTAGTGTAATAATAGTATTGCGTAGTGTTAGCGGGACATAGACTAGACTAAAGCATGCTCAATGCATGATTGCTTTGGTGCACGCTGATTGGCTAATTCTTGTCCAATCAGCGCTAGTCGATAGTTGGAGAATATTCTGGATTCTTCTTATGTAAAAACTATAAATATACCGACGTTTTCCCCTATTGTGCTTCCTACTGGCTTCTGACTTCCATCTAACCTTGTTATTTGGAATATAATCTCTTCCTGTTCAACCGTGTTTTGATTTGGGGACTTGTCGAGTGAATCGGTGTCCGAGAATACTAAGCAATAGGAATAGCCGGGTCATTAACCGTAAGAAAACACAGTTTATAACAGTGGCGACGGGGAAAAACTAAAGAAAAATGGCGATTTCTTTAGAACAGTTGCGGTTAATATTACAGCACCAGCAGAAGTTGTTAGCCTTGCAACAACAACTATTGAACACACTTTTCACTCGACCAGAAAATAAGAAATCTGTTTATGATGCAGTAACAGACATTTCAGAAGCATATCTAGTGGAGGGTTCAAATCCCTTTATACCTGAATCAGAACGTAATATTTGTAACGTGTCCGGCTCACAGCAAGAAAATACTGTGCTGAATGCACATGAAGTTGTGACAATACCAGATGATCAGGAGCCAGATCCTGTAGATGAAGCCCGGAGTCCAGAATCAAATGAAACACTACTGGTACTGTCTAGCTGCGAAAATAAACGTCAGCTTGAACAAAATTGTGGTCCACGTGCTATTAGTCGAGAAAGCTATGGTGACTCGTATTCAGAAAATAACTGGAGCAACACGATGAACCAAATTGTACCAGATGTTACTCAAAATCACCGGAAGACAGAATTTTATATTGAGTCAACTTATCCCATTTCTAATGACAGTGTACCAGATATTGATTCTCAGAATAATGCATATGATTTTGATGAACCTTCTTATAACAATGAGGGAAATATGTCAGCTGAGTCGAATGATGGCCAAAAATCTAATCTAATTCTGTTAGACGTTGACTTTCTTAATGACTCGTTATCAGCTAACGAGATTCATAATGAATTTGAAAATAATGAACTCAGATCAAAGGTTGTTCATCATCATCTAGTCATTTTTAGTGGATTCTCCAGTCAATACGAGAAACATGGTTTAAATAAAGTCCTACTAGTTATAATTTGGAGCCATAAGGACCCAACATTATTTCGAGGAGGAGGAGAATGTTGGAGAATTAAAAGTTATGCATACTTTTTTTTAAGAAAAATCAAAACGCCGGGAACAGACATGTCAGTCTCTGTGCAAGGAAAAAGTGATAATTCTTCATTGCCTCGACGATGGACTAATCGAAAGCACAAGCCAGTCACTCAGTTGCAGTTGGACCCTAGCGCCAGATCCTACGAATCTGCTCAGAGGGGAGGTGTTAGCGGGACATAGACTAGACTAAAGCATGCTCAATGCATGATTGCTTTGGTGCACGCTGATTGGCTAATTCTTGTCCAATCAGCGCTAGTCGATAGTTGGAGAATATTCTGGATTCTTCTTATGTAAAAACTATAAATATACCGACGTTTTCCCCTATTGTGCTTCCTACTGGCTTCTGACTTCCATCTAACCTTGTTATTTGGAATATAATCTCTTCCTGTTCAACCGTGTTTTGATTTGGGGACTTGTCGAGTGAATCGGTGTCCGAGAATACTAAGCAATAGGAATAGCCGGGTCATAACCGTAAGAACAGAGATATAACACGTAGAAATAGGAAATCGGCAATCAGTGAGCTTTTCAAATATAAATACACTAAACATCGCTTGTATTCAGTTTATAGATTCATTTTAATCTGTAGACTTCATGACATTTTAAATTGCCATGGTCCAGTAATCTTTAGAATAACTTTCAGTGGTTTGATCGGAATTTGTAGTTTTTCATACAGTGCTTTATTTGCCGATTCTGGGACTAAATAGAAAACGAAAGGTAGTCTGTTTATAATCTTGTGTCTTATGGAATGAAAGGAAACGTCGTTTTATCACGAGTTCGTTATACTCGAATAATCACTTATCTAATATATTATTGCCATCATTCAGTTAGCTAACAATATACGCACTGTTTCTGACGGTTATTCACGTCATCTGGACATTTTAGATACGTGTTCCTGTGAAGTTTTGCAGTCATACTTTACACTTCGATTGTAAGAAGTACGTATTTTCATATACTACATTGATCCCTAACTGATTGACTAGATGGTTGAACAATTTTCTTGTCACTGTAATACACTAAAACAATATCTCTTCATCATTACTGGAATTTGGAAGCAATACACACATATACATGTTGGATTATGTCGACCTTCAACTAAGCAAACACGCATAACACATTTGTAAGTCAGTGAATCGAAATATAATGGTTTACATTTACTGACTTTATTCAGTTCTCAATATAACACACATTTCCTCACCTAATATTATCTACCAGATTGCCCAACCAAACTCAATGATTCCTGTGTCTACTTCAATTTTGTTTAAAAAAGTAAATAATTTCAACTGCTCTTGTGTGATTGTTTACCTTACATTTCATAGTCGTCGAGTAATAACTTTAAAATTTAATGTTCAACCAGACATCATTTCATGAATGGCCTTTCTCGGAACTCAATAAAATACTATGAATGTTGATTGTACCGTATGGTAATATATATAATGTGTATCCATCATTATTTTTTACTCTAGTGATTTTTGTATTGAATCTGAGGAAAAAAAGTTGTGAATGGAACAGAAATTAGTAATAAACCGAATATGATTTAAATGTTTTCATTTAAAAATATATATATCCGTTGTCTGTATACTATTTTTTCTTTAAATGATTCATTTTATTGATGTGTTCACAGTTAATAAAAGCTTCACTTCTTTACATTCAAACTCATCTATCATGGTTAATCAGGAGATCGAAGACTCTTAACAGGCAGTCCTGAACATAAACTGTTATTCACTTTAATATGCATAACCGGGGTAGCCGTTCTGTACTGCAGTTTGTACTAATATTCTATACGGCTGTGAAACTTCATGGCCACTTTATAACAGGGGATTTATAGGTTACTAGGTTTTGGTTGTAGATGATGGCATAATATCATTCCTTGACGTTATTAACTGCGGGATCGCTCTGTGTTGATAAGTAGGTCATATACTGAGGATCGGTCACAATGGCACAAACGCATTCACTTTTTTGTATTCCGTTAAATCTTGACTTTAGAAACTACTTAAGTGTTTATGTTACAAGTTCATTCTTCTTGAGTCTTATTATCCTATATCTAATGTATTCTACTACTATTGATACTGCTTCTACATCTAATGCACTGGGATTTGCCTTGATATTTTCATCTCGTTTTACCTATATATTATTGTGTGGCAACTTAATCCGATACATGTATATAGTAGGTTCTATGTTACTTATGACTGACTCTTTGATCAACTCTGCTTACAAGTCGCTTATACGTAATTCCTTTTCTGAACAAGAACATATTACCTTTGCTGATTAATCTAGTTAAATGTTGCATTAAAGGTCATAATAAATTATGAATCTGTTGATTTGTTTATAACACTAACTCTATTGATTTTTTAAAAAAGTAAATTGTTTTTTGAATTACTTTACGATGATTCACATAGTCTGGCCTATCTCCATTACATGTGGCAGCATTTATTGGTGGTCCAGAGATTGTTCAGTTATTAATACAACATGGTGCACAAGTGAATCAAGCTACAATGCGTTGTGAAACAGCATTACATTTAGCTGTACGTAATCGACAAGTTAGTGTTGCTGAAACACTTATCTATCATGGTGCATCGGTAAATGCTAAAGCTAGAGTAAGTCACGCCAACACATTTTTATATTAGGTTTGGTTATTATAAACTTGTGTTACATTATCTTTATTAGGATATTACTAGTTATTTTGTTTTTGATGCTAGTTGTTTGGCGAAATTTAACAAAAAAGTGTGAACTTAAGTTTTGTGCTGTTTGGTACGCTTGAACAATATATGTCTATAATGTTACAGGGACTGCTTTTCCCTCGTGGATTCGAACTCAGGTTACCATACTTGATAATATGAAACGTTAGCATTCAGCTACGACTGACTTCTTGTAGAACTGTGATATTTATAATTGATTAATAACTGTGGTGATCAATATCATTTTTACCTGGTCTTTTAGTGTTAGTCGGATCCCGTTGACCAAGTTGTTATGTAGTTGCTAGTCTAAATAAATCGACATGACATGCACTATTTTGGAATGTTTGTTGGTTTGAGGTAGTCGGAAGAAACCTTGGATGTGATCTGATTAGTGTCTTCATCTGCAAAGTAGCGAAGTAATGTTTTTCAAATTTCGCATTTTTACTGCTTCTATATTGTAAAGTAATGCTTTGGCGAGAACTATTTTCGATAACCTCTTTGGTTGTTACGTTAGGAACATTATCATTTAGCATTGTTATATATATATATATATATATATATATATATATATATATATATATATATATATATATATATATATATATATATATATATATATATATATATATATACGTTTAATCATCTGAATAATTCATGGATGGATGTTTTTTTGTTAATTATTTAAGCGTGTGTTTTGCGTGTATCTCTGGTTTATGATAGGGCTGTCAACGGACCACTCTTTTTTTCCCTTTTAAGTCAAGATACGTGAAGAACTCATCAATGTTATATTTAATTTTAATTTGTTTCCAAAAAATAAACCCATGATATTAACTATCAATGCCAAGGTTAGACATGATAGTTTAGAAAAAGCTGAACAGTGTTAGAAAGTTGATAGTAAATATATTTTTTGTTATATCCCAATGAGTAAAAAATTGTATTTCTGACGTTTCGTGACTTAATGTAAGCCAGTTCATCAGAGTAAATGAAAAACCTCTCTTTACTTTCTTTAATTTTTACTTATGATCTTCCTCAGAAAACAATTTCGTTAGGTTTGCGGTTGGTCTCACCGTATGCACATAGATTTCTACCGCTTTACTCCACCCTTTTAAAATAAATGAACGACACTCTGTGTTAATGATCTCACACTTATTTCTTCTGAATATCAAACTATTAATTTTAGCTTGGGACATTAACAGCACTTGAACACACTATCGGGTTCCCACAATTTTATACTATTGGAGGTTTTTGTAATAAAAGCGGTTTCAGAGGTCATTTATCTTGGTGTAAATTTGTCCTCTGATCTCTCTTGGTCTTCTCATGTTTTATTGATATCTAAGAAAGTTTCCCGTCTGACTTACTATGAAAATAGACCATATGATTTTGGCATTACTCGACATTTACTCTCACGATTTGTAAATTCCTGGATATTACCCATTATTCTTTCTCGGGCTTTTCAGAAAAGATTTCTCTGTATTACGGAGAGTGCTAAAGTCAGTTGGCATGGTGTGTGTTAACTCTTTTAATGTTGTTATAAATATAGTTGTGTATATACATTTAAAATCTTGCAAATTTCTAGCAGGTGTTATCTTATCAGATACTAATGTTCCACCTCATTCACATCTTTCTCGTTTTATATCTTCTGGTTGGAAGAGTCGTCAATACATTAAAATCCATGCACGCAAGCAAAGGTATAAATATTCTACCATGCCTTATCTAGCAAATATACTGTTTGACGATCAAGTTGTTAGAGTTGACCTAGTCAATAACTTGTCTTCTTAAATATGTTGCTAATTGAAAATTGTATAGATTCAAATCTTCCTAAAACCTTTTTCGTTTAAACCCAGGTAGTTTATTAACTTAATTTATGTGTATGTGTGCAGTTATCTTATCTTTTTCGTTTTGCAAAAGAAACTTGTTGAAATACTCTGTTCTGAGAATTCTATACTGTACTAAGTATATCATATTGAAGTAAGCCAATAATAATGCTTTTAATCTTAGTCTTAATATGACATAAATAAATTTGTGTGATCTCTGGAAATTTATCCTATCTGAATTAGATTAATTGTCCTAATCCTTAGATTTCTTCTGCTCATGTTGTGGTATTAAATTAATTACAAGTTGTGTTATAACCCTCTGTCAATCAGTTCCATTTATGTCAATTATGTATATCTAGAAACTGTGGGTCGGCAAATTAATGGTTGTCAGTAATTTTATTTTTTAGGTAAATACAAAAGAACTATATGCAATGCAATAGGTTTTCTGACTAGTAATATTGCTTAGCACTACCCAAATACACCACAAGCACACCCTAATCTCTATTGCTTGGTCAGCAAATTTTTGCTAAAGTTCATTTCCTTATCTTTATTACTGTGTCTTATTGTTTTTCAACTCAAAAAGTGTCAATAGGTTTCATTAATTAAATCCAATTTCGTTATTCAGGACAATGTATTCCATAACCTTAGAATAACTGAATTAACTTCATTTTTACAGTGACATCATTTTCTAAAATTCAGTATTTTGATTATTATGATATTTCTATATTATGCATCATGGGCTGAGGTTAGTTAGAAATGTTGATGCCCTGGTACGGCCGAGAGTGGGGAGAGTCCGCTCTCCCTCGAAATGCTCTCACATGGACACTCGTATATAGCCTTTGTCAGGGAAGTTCAACTCACTGGCTTCTCGTGGCAGTACTGTTGTTTACGAAATTGAGAGGACGAAAACGAATGTCCGGCTCTTTAACCGGGCTGGTGGATACGCAGAGTCCACCTATGGAAGTTGGAAAACTCTGATTCCAGAACAAGTGGTGTACATGGGCTCCAGTATTCTGAGGGAACGAATGGCGTATGAACCAATCGTTGGTCACCGACTACCATGGGACTGCATCTCCCAACGTTGCTCCACTGCCTTGTGGATTAGATTTTTAGGTTGAAGGCTCCGTTTGTGACCCCCCAAGAAAACCACCTGCTTTACTTTTAGCACCCGGGCAGTATCACGGCCCTCATACATATCAAATGAGATCTGTGTGGCGCATATGTATTTGGTGCCTCTTTGTACCAATATCTATGTGTTAAAATAAAATAAAAAACCGCTATTAAGTGGTCCAAAGTTCAAACCCTAGCGTAGAAACCTGAAGGGTTGGGTATATTGTTTGCTTTGTCTGAAAAGTCTCACTCTGAAACTAAACAGCTGTTCGGTACATATTGGGTTACAGAGTTTGGTAAGGATCAGTCCGCGATTTTGAGCATGAAAATCAAAGTAATCTATTGAATGATATTCTCTAAAAACGTTCTAATATAGGTTGATAACGTATCTCTTCTTTGTGGAATATTAACGTTTAATACTGTTATCTCTGTAGTTCATTATAGCTAACATCTAGTGTTACCATTTTTAAAAATCTGTTTATGGATTATAAAGTTGAACATGATAACTGAATTACTCTTTCTCCCTCCATTAATGTAGTGATGGTTTAGTGCTTAAAGTAGTCAGCTTCCAACCACTGAGCTGCACTTTCAAGTATCATACGATTGCAAGTTTCTTTCATTTTTCCATCCATAATATAAATGGAATAACTATTAACGTTAGGATATGTATCTGTACGACTATTATTAACTTCAGATTATGCAAATAAACTATTACAAATCCTCATGATATATTGTCCTTTCTTTTGGGTATTGTTATTGTAAAAATCACTCGTAAGTTTTTTCTTCACTTCTACATTGTCATTATATATTCCTTTTCACGTGATCTACAATGAAATAATTAATCTTACTGTTAATACATTATCGACTATCTGCACACATTCTCAACTCACCATGTTTATACATCTGTCAATAACCGTGATCTATCAGCTGGTGAATTAAACCTGAGTCATGGGTAAATGAAAAAACGAGTACCTTTAATGTTCACAAAAACCTTAAAACTGTTACACTGGAAAATGGCTAATCGCAATACTTCCAAAGATGATGCCAACTGAAATCGATTTCACGAAGAGATGAATAAGTTATAACAGTCTTTGTTTATCAAGTGTTATTCAGTGTTTTTTTTCGTTAAAACATACAGGAATTAGTCAGATACAATCGGGCGACATTTAATACACCACAGAAAATCCATTGACGATATGAAGGTACCGGAAGTCAAAGCAATTACTGCAACAACATGGTTCTAATTATAAATAGTCGAGAAAAATTAGCTCAAACGAATAGAAGAGTAATTAAGGTTTTCTGTCTATCCAACTGCTCATAAAGAGTCACTTAGTCCGGTAATAACAGGCAAAACTTGATCGATGGAATTCCATCATCACTAAATACTAGACAAATATGATGTCAGTTACTACGCAATCACCAATCGATGCAAAAATCTCAGCACTGTAGAAAGGTAGTCACTATCTGAATGACTCTTTGACAACATCTCTTACCCTGAAGCCGGGTGATGCAGGTTCGAATCCTACAGAAAGCACCAATTCCTCTAGGATCCCGATTATTCTTTATTTACAAGTCTCAACTAGAACGAAACCTAGAGCTACATTGTGAGCGTAATGATTTTAGAATTCTATGCATGGATATTACACTCTCTGTATAAGCGTCACAATTATTTTGACAACGCGTAATCGACTCAAGGTTAACAAAGGCATTTGTTTGGTGGTTTTCGCAGTACTTCAACAATGCTAGTTGTAAACTATCCATGGGATAAAACATTGCAAAGTACTTGCTTATGAGATGGAGTCGATAATACATCAGTTAAATTGTTGGAATTTTTTGGTAGATTTACTTTCGACAAACAAAAAATCATACTCCTATTACCAAGAAAGCAACCAATTTAAATGTAGACAGTCATGCACGATAAATCATTGTTTCTTTAACGAAGACTTTGATAAATGAATGATGTAAAATCCGAGACAAACAAGGAAACATTGTACATTTGAAGTAGTAATAATAATCTCATTTGTATCAAATATACATTTGATGCACATGATTAAGATGATTCAGATCAATAGGGTTTCATATAATAGGTATCATTATCAGGGTTAAACTTGATAATTTGAACAAATTGAGCATTGGGTAGGTTGCTATAAATAAAATAATATATTTGTCATATCCCAATTAGTAGAAAATCTAATTTTTCTACTCACTGGGATAGTAAAAATATATTAGTTTATGTATAAGGTTTCATATAGTTTGAAACGAATGATCATTGCTGTACAACATACACTCTAAGGATTTCTCAACTCACCCCAAAGATATAATACTGTATCCAGAATTTCCTACTTTCCGCCTCTAACCAGTTGCCTCGCATTTAAACCCACTATATGATTGTCGCTACCTTCATTTCCGATCCATTTTTAATATTCTTGTAAATTCATACTATTAGATAATTCTTCTACTTTAATCTCATGATTTGCTGACATGAGATGTTTATAGTCAGATTAATTATTCCTCAATCCACACACTGATTTTAACTCACTGTTAAACATGATCCCTTAAGCACACTTATGATCTTATGAGCATATTTTAGCTTCACTAGTTTGTCTTTGACGTGACTTACAATCTTTGATTTGTCGAATTACTATTCTCATTGTAATATACTACGTACATATATACAGTATATATGTATCCACTTTTGATCCCAAATGTTTTATTTAATTGGGAAATTGTTTTTTTCAAATCCTGATCGACATCTTGACTCTTTTGATGCTTTGACAGAAAAAGTTTCCTTGGTTTATATGCAGGAATTTTTGAAAAATTTAGCTATATATTCTTTCTTTGAACCCAATTATAAATTTATACCAAGGCAGATTATACTTGTCGTGATCAGTATTGTTATTGTTAAAGTGGTCATTCAATGTTTCATTCACAAAAAACTACAGTATACATTGATTAAAAGATATGATTGGAAGTTATAGGCTTCTCTCATCACCCGAAGATGGCTTCAAATTACAATGAATAATAACGTGCTATAATTTACATATACCTTAGTCAATGAACTCGATTCTGAAAAAGAACTACAGCAAGCAGACATAAACTGTTCAGTATGATGTTTAACATTGCTGCGTATGTGTGTGTTGAAATAGAGATAGTATAAAGAAGGGGCTGATATCATAAATTCTGGTTGTAAAGCGAAATGGGAAAAAAATAACAAATGAGTGATTGTGTAATCATATTGCCTAGTCTTTCATGTCATTACTGTTATCAAAATATAAGCGATCGATTGCAAAGTAGATAACATCAAGGTAAATGGTTATAAAACGCTCTTCAGGATGAAATCACTTATCTCACACCTTATCCCGTATTCATGATGATGTAGATGAAAATGTTTTATTCCGAATAAATTAGTCTGTTTGTATTTATATTATGTGCGTTTGTGTATTGTTTTTCTTAATAATTATGCCTTAGTTTGAATAATTCTATGTGATACCATGGAGTAATCGAGTTGCATAATTTGGCTGATTGAATTGGGGATTACAAACACAGCTTTGGGCCTTGTTGACATTCTTAAGGGAGCTGATGGTCCTTATGGAATTATAGTTCTCCTAGTATTGCAGTCATGGGTGTTGTTATGAAATTTGGGCTGCGACAGATACCTTCTAGCTGTAGGTGGAAATCGATAAAGTGCTTATTCAATTCCAAACAAATGTCTCTGACTGTGGCACTGCGGGAATCTAACAAGAAGCATCAGCTGTCTAAGAATTTTATGTCCATCTAAAGAGATACAATCTTCTCATTTTTAGTAGTAATAAGAATAACTCCATTTGTAAACCGTTTGTCTCATTGGTCTTTTTTGTTTTAGGATGAACAAACACCGTTGCATGTGGCGTGTTTAACTGGGACACCAGAATTAATCAATGTATTGTTATCATGTAAAGCTAATCCGAATCTACCAGCTCGTGATGGTTATACAGCTTTGCATATTGCATCTAAAGAAGGTCGTCATGATTTGTTAGGTCAATTGTTAGAAGCTGGTGCTGATTTAAACGCTCGTACGAAGGTTAGTAGTCTTTTTTGATATGAATAATTTTTTCTGGTCAGCGTTTTTTTGCGATTTAGTCTTCTACGGGATGGGGTCGCTAACCCCATGCCCAGCCCTCCTTCTTTATCCGGGTGTTGGGGATCGGCAATAGCCACAAAGGGGCTCGATATTCTTATTTTTCTATTTTATTTCGCATTGGTTACCACTAACTTTTGTAAATTCGATTATGAATTTTGATATACATTTTCATCATTGTGCTCTTAATTCTGGTTTTAACTGTTCATTCCTTCTCCTGTCATTCACATTCAGTTAACTAACTAATTGATTTTAAAAGACTCTTCTCAGGAATTCAGTAAAAATCCATGAAATATGTCAATAGAAACTTTGAAAATTATTACTAGTTAGTATTGTTCATTTGTCTGAAGTACACTTTTTCTACACTTTTTTTAAGTTTAAGGCCTAGTATATTACTGTTGCCGAAAACCTAAACTCAAATTAAAAGAAATGGGATTTAATCCTGTATAACCAAGTAATCATAAATGGAGTACATTGATCTTCTTATCACCTCTACACTTTTGATTCTAATTACCACAAGTGCTTTTTGTATTTCTGAAAATAATTTGAAATCCTGTTATGGGTTTGTAATTTTGTATTGTGATATTTATGAGTGCACTTTCCCAATCTCTATTGCCTATGTTATTTTTAAGTAGAGTGCATAGATATATCTTTATGTCTTACTATTTATTTATTTATATATTCGTACAAGGAGGCATCAAATATATATGCATCACACAAATCAGTGAGTATCTATGTGGGCTGGGATATTATTACCCAGTCGCCCAAACCGAAGCAGGTGGTTTTCTTATTGGGTTACTCCTCGATCCTTTAATCTGAAGGTGTAATCGACAATGTAGTGGATCAAGGTTAGGAAATGTGAATCCATGGTGACTGGTGACTAATAATTGGTTCTCTCAGGATCATGGAGCACATGTGCACCATTGATTTGAAACCTGGATTTTCCAACCACCGTAAATGGATCCTGCGTATCTACCAAACCAGTCAAAGCACCGATCATTCACTATTCGTCCTCTCAATTTCGTATATATATATATATATATATATATATATATATATATATACAAATTTGAAGTTCTTTTCACATTGCTTGTTTTGTTCCTTACTATTTTTATTTTCTTTTTCTGTTTTGCTTTACTCCATGTATGTGTACAAAAACACACAGAAAGGTTTCACCGCTCTTCATCTAGCCGCTAAGCGTGGTCAAGTCAAAGTAGCTAAACAATTAATTCAAGCACAACCGAAAAGTGTTAACGCTATCGGTCAGAACGATTTAACTCCTTTGCATATTGCTACACATTATAATCGTTTACCTGTCGTACAGTTATTATTGGATAATAATGCACAAGTAGATTGTCGAGTAAGTTTAATAAATTAATGTTTATTATTATTGATAAGTCTTCTAAATGAATAATCAATCCCATTTCCTAGCTGCTTCTAATAACATCAGGCTAATTTTACACAGCAACTTGAATACAATGAGATAATGGGAGGGAATTGTTAGAAGAACGCTTTGCTCCGTGATTAGTTTATCTACAGAAAATCAGGGCATTTATGTAGTTTTAGGAGACCTTGGTCTTCTGGAAGTTTCTTGAAACGTACTACATATAGTAACAACATAGGGATGTATTCAATCGGAAACGTCGCTTGGGAGTCTTCACTTTCTATTTGTTCCTTGGAAGCTTCTTTGCACCGTTGATTAAATTTCTCAGCGTTTTCTGGTCCGCTTGGACTTTTTTTGAGGATCCTTTTAGTGTACCCCAACAACCACTAATAATAATAATAATATTACTATTGTTATTTTTATTTGTGGGATATCAGTCCTATAAATTTTTTTAACCAAACATTTGTATATATTACCAAGGTTTTAGTGAGAAATTCAGAGTGTTATATCAACAGCTTTTCGTATAATATATTTGTTGTGTCATCATGTTGTATAAATTACTCAGCCCAAGCATATGAATATCATGTAACTTCTACTTGGTGCTCTAATGGAAATTTGTTCTGGAAACGTAAATCAGCAAGTACAGGTTTCTATAAAATCAACTGTTGTGACTAAGTTCGGCTAGTTATCGCGCAATTTATTCATCAATCAAAATATGACTTATTCACTGTCGTACTGTACTAAACCAATGATGTTCGACCGGTCTGATCAGCCTAGTGTCCTTATTGGTCCCTTGCTCGTGTAGTTCGTCCAGTTGAGTCCAGAACATCAATAGCAGCCTCCACTATGCGAATCGTTTATTTCTGACATACTTGGTTTATATACCAGCCAAACAGAACTCATCGCACCATAAAATAGGAAATAACATACGTAATGAAGCCAAAAAGTGGCTGTGAACGTAGGAGACAGTAATTAGTAAACTGAGTATAATTTAAGAACAGTAAATCGTTTGATAACAAATTACAGGCCAAAATGAAGCTTATAATAAGAGGAATATAAATATACACAATCTAGTTACTAAACAATTTTACAATAGGAATATATGTATAATATTAGTCCATTAATAGATCTCAGAAGTTACTCGTAATTTGATCTTCGCTAGGAATAACATCAAATATTAGCGAATTATTTTTTCTTGATATTATATTGATTAACAGGGATTCCTGTAGCAAATAGATCCCTAAACAAAATAAAAATCGATACGTACGGTCTCCTAATTTTTGTGTCGCTCATTTTACTCGTTCGCATATAAAAAAAATTATTTATCTGGTCAATAATAGGTTTCGCTTCTAATATAAAACACCCTAAGTTGAAAAATTCGAAATCCTTATTGGTTTATTTCTGTACATTGAAAACTTAAAAGACTTATAAACCTTCGTGATTTAAAGTGTAAACTGCTGTTAATTATGTAGATTAAATTGAAACTATAATAGTACGCAGCTACTTTTTTCAATATGCTATTTATTCAACTGCAAACATATTTCAACTAGTAACACTATCAATGTATTTAAACCATACAAAGTGGATAACGAATCAAACCTGCAACCTAATAATGAAACTCTTGCGACTTCAATTTACAGATTATCGTTTCATTCTGATTATCGTATCCATCTCATTATAGTTTGAGTAGTGACTTGTTATTATAGTAGGGTAACCAACTGTGCCGTAATAAATGATGGCAAATAGAGTTTATACGAAATAGCTAAACGAATAATTTCACTAGGCCAAATACCCACTAAGTTATTTAACCAAGTCTGTATGATTAAATTTGGAATCCATCAAGTAGATAAACTTCTTAAGTACATTCTCAAGTAGTTACTTATCAAAGAAGGAGCGTATTCATGAAAAACAACAGATGCCGTTCTTTCTGTTAAGGATGAAGTAGTTCAATCGTTCACACACACAACCAGTAAATGGTACAACTAAACTTTTAAGAGTATGATGTAATTACTTTACGAGGTAAAAATATGCCCTCATCAATCTAGGAAACTAATGCTAACGTTATACTGCAACCCACTTCTAACAGCAATAATCCAAATAAGTATTATGGCAGTTGCCAGGTTCCTAAATCTTTTGGTACAAAATTATACTCGAAGAAAATCAATGTTGCTAGTAAAACGACTAATAACAGTCTTATCTGGTGTCAGAAAATAAACAGAATCTGAAAATTAAGGTATCGAAAATAATAAAAATCCTCATTTAAGGGCACGACAGAGTTATTGTTTCATTAAATGTATCCTTGCAAGAATTTCCACAAAATAAGCAGACAAAAAGAATCTTACAGTGTATGATATCCGATGCTGCTGTGAATAATGACGACTATTGATAGATCGACAAACTTATAGTAAAGTCTTTCAGGTAATTTCATATTTGATGATGGAATAAAAATAACAGATAATGTCTTTTCCTACTACTAGTCAACTATCCCAATCCCCTCTTTTTAAACACAATTTAATGACATTTCATTGAAAAAAGCAATCATAATTCTTTTTCCAGTTTATTATCATCAAATTCATATTCTGTTCTTGTTTTGTGTGTTTACTTACTGCCTTGTTTAAAATGCATGTACACACACTCACACACACTAGTAACCTACAATGCATTCTATGCTGTTTTCTTATTTCTCTTGAAAAGGAATTTTTTATTTACAAATAGGTAGAGCATACATGTTAGGGATCATAGTTTAATCGGTATTTATATCTATATTATCAATTCTTTTATTGCTCTGTTGGGCGTCATTTGTTCACTCAATTGATTTTATTCATTACATAACGTGTGCTATTATTATTATTTTTACTAGTCATGTGTTCTGTGTTCATCCACGTGATAATATCTTAGTTAAGCCACCATATATTTCATTTGAGTTAGTTATATATATTATAATAGAAAAATTACAGTTATGCTTTGTAGGTGTTCGTACATGCATGTGCGTGTAATTAACTCAGTTTAATACACTTTGATTAATGAATTGGCTTGTGAAACAATGTAGGAACTAAAAATGCTTTGGTCAAAATTGTCGAATGTTCGAAACAGGAAAACAATAATAGGCTAATGTTATGCTTTTTTCTTTAATATTGATTTATTCAAAAAGATTCCTATTAGAAAACAAACAGACAAAATAATCATTGGTTTTTTTCTTTATACCTTATTTTATTTATTAACTAATTTAACAAGTTCGGATTCATGTACCTGACTTCGAATCACACTAACTGTGAAAGCTAATGATATACTATCCTATTGATCAACTCGAAACAGATTTAGCCAGATTCTAATATGTGACTTAATGGCTGTAAGTCACACTCCCTAATCACTGAACAATCGCTCAAAAACATTTGACATTTGAAACTATCTATTCTTCAGTTCGTGTTTGTAAACTGTTCATTTTTACTACTACATCTTTTCACTTAATGCTGCTATCGCTTCACTTATCATTGCTCATCAACGTCTACAACATGCGTGAACCGCATGCCCACACATTTAAGTTCAAAATAATTTTATAATCTCATCCTTATGAATAATTTACTGGAATAAATCAATTTATTGCTTTATATGTGAGCACTAGAATAATTCTGTTAGTCTACTATTATCAGCCACTCAAATATTAATTCCCTGTTTTATGCTAAATATATTATACAATTCGGATCAGTCAGATGATGCTCCAAATATTCACACCTTAGAAAACGAGTCAAAATTATCTGAATTCAAAAATTAGTCTTATAAATGTTAACAACCCTTTATTAGTCGTATTGTAGCCACATACACTTGACATATCTTAATCTACAGCTTCATCATTGGGAAAGTTAAGTAGATGATGTATTTCCTCGACGTTTATTTTTTCGATTTAACGTGGATGAAACAACTTTGATTATTGGATGTTATTCATCTTCAGGTGAAATATAGCTGGTAATGTGTGTACTTGAATAGAAAAATCAATCAAATTTATAAATGAGCGAAGTTGTTGTTTCATTTCTTTTTTGATCATATATCCTTAATCTTCGATGAAGTTTTCGGATTTGTAGTTTTGAAATTACGTCTCTTTTTCTCTTAAGCATATGATCCACTTTTATGAATGGGTGGCAGTTAAAACCACTTCAGCATATCGGCACTTCACATTGTCCAAATCTTTTTGTCAGAGTAGCGACAATAAAAAGCTTCAATCAGTAAAGATGCCAACTGATCCATGTGATATACTTAGTGTTTATATAAACTTGATAAATTTATCTCAGTTGCTAAATAAACTACTCGATTTTGCTGAATATTACTGAAAAAATAAATACCAAAATACTTCTGTTTTGGTTTCGTTAATTTTCAGACAATGATTACAGTGCTTTTTGCCACTTAGCAATGACTAAGCAATAATCTATAATATCATACCCTCATATATTGGGTAAATCGATTTGATTGTTATTGTCTTTCTTTATCGATAATTTTTTTAAGGGACTGTTGAACTTTGAATCTAATAATTTATTTTACCGCTAGGTATTAATGCTGTTATAAATTATGTGTTTACACCTGTTGTTTTTGCTTTAAGGCTGGCAATGGTTATACGTCGTTACATATGGCAGCTAAACAAAATCATTTAGATATTGCTACACTTTTATTGGCTCATGAATCTGACCAAATTCAAATCGCAAATTCATCATCACGTAGTGGGTTTACACCATTACATTTAGCTGCACAAGAAGGTCATACTGATATGGTTTCATTACTACTACAACATGGAGCTGATCCAAATCATCAGTCGAAAGTATGCTGAGTTAAATATTCTTTTAAATTATAAAATTTATTTAGGCTTCACTATTGACACATTACTGAATAAGAAAAGATTAATTAATTTAATCAATATTTAGTCAGCTAGTTGTAATCAATAAATAAATAAGCTTTAGCTCATATTGTCACGCCATATTAACAAAACGAAGCGAATTTCATGGTCACTAATCAATCGCTGAAGATTTAGATGTAGGAATTGTGTTTTCTGAGAGTATATTTATGATAAAATTAAGTAAAAGAGGCAATGCTGTGCAACATTGACGAAAGACTTTTAATGTTATCAATTCAGACAACTGTTCATCATAAGCTTGGACTTAACCAGCAGTGTCTGATTAGAGGGTCGTCACATAGTTTACTAACTTTATTATTGTTATGCCCCGATATATATATATATATATATATATATATATATATATATATATATATATATATATAATGATGATTGTAGCAGCTGAATTGTTGGAAAACTTTGGTGATTCAAGATCGCTGGCAGATACTAACTATCAAAAACATTCGTAAAATATATTTCCAAATGATTACAGCCTAAATGTATGCTAAGTAGGATTTTCTTGCAATATTGAGAAATTTTTGTAATGAATAAATTTATTATTATTCTTAAAAAAAAGTATTTGTTTCTCTCACAGAATGGTCTTGCACCACTACATTTAGCTGCTCAAGAAGATCACGTGTCAGTGGCACAAATTTTAAAATCCGCTGGTGCTAAAGTTAGCCCTCTAACTAGAGCTGGTTACAGTCCGTTACATACAGCATGCCATTTTGGACAAATTAACATGGTACGCTACTTATTAGATTTACCCGATGCACCAGATATTAATCAACGAACGCAAATGGGTTTTACTCCGTTACATTTAGCTGCACAACAATGTCATTCACAAGTGGTTCGTTTACTTCTAGAAATGGGTGCTGACAGTAATGTTAGAAATCAGGTAGGTGATAAATTCTTTTATTCTTTTAATACTTTGACAGTACCATCAAGACATTGTATGAGTTTCATTTCACAAAAATTTAAGTGTAAACAATAGTTTCGCACTATTTCCAGAATTGTTTTGAGATGGATCGATAGATGTTAGTAGTTCATTGACTAATTACGAGTACTGAATGGTATGTTTGGATAGTCCTTATTAATGTTCGTGTCCTATTGATCAGGTTACAATGGAGTCACCAGTTTTAACGACTTACTATTGCGCGGACTGTGTTTTAATATTTGATAGTTTGAGTTAACCAAAAAGTAATCCTTGACTTGGATTTATTGCTAGTTGCCACTCGTCAAGTAATACTTTTCAAGTGGTTCGGAACCAAGAACTTCTTACAGTAAACATCAGTTCGATTCTCTTAGGACTACATATATGAACTAGGTAACCATCTCCAGGGTTTCTGACCAATTACATTCAATCACTTAACTGTTTTCAGTATAAAAATGCACACACCTTGGAGAATAATAGATTAATTACTAGATCATATGTTTTGTACATTTTTGAAATATTTTCTAATGTTAATTGCTGATTTACCATAATTTATGCCAAGTTGTCAATGATTATCAGGGAATAGAACTTATGTAATACTTTCTAACCAAATTTCTCTGTATGTTTGCTAGTAAATCAAATCGGAAATCCAATTCTAATATATCTTTCACTTTTAATCGATAGCACATTTTAGACGTTTTTCTCTGAAATCATTAACTGAACACTGTTAGACTACCATTGAAAACTTGAAAACACTGGACGGCCGTTTCATTAATTTTTCTATTTTCATCGAAGCATATATATATATATATATATATATAAACAGTCGAATGCTATAATTCAAATGATTTCAGTTGACTCTATGTACTTACTGTGTTTGCAACAATGAATATATCACAACGACTCTGGAAATATCCTTGACTAGTGCATGACTTTACGTATTATTTTGAAAATTATTTGCAAGTTGTTTATTAATGCTTGTCTCTTGACAAGTAAAATCGATCAGTTGCGTTATCAAAGCCGAAATATAAATAGGCTTACCAGTATTCATAAATTCTGATACAAAAGCCATCCGTTTATTTTCGCTTCTCAACCATTCCGAGTTAGAGAATAGTGATATTTCTATGATCTTGTGATAGTACTCTAGGTAGTGCGTTCGTGGGTTCTGCCAGTTCATTTTTAAGTACAGCGTCTCAGGTTTGAATTTCTCATCCATCTTGTTCAGTTTAGAAATTTGAGTTGAATTTCTAGTCACACCATATTAGCAGTGATGAAGTTGAACAGTATTTGTTTGGCCACATCGACAATAATTCCGTTTTTGTCACCATCTTGAAACACTGGCTGTTTTACTTCGAGTGTGTTTTACAAATGTCATCCCAGCGGCCTCCACTTCATGCATTATTTGTCATCCTTATAACTAGTTTTAATATGTGAGCTGGTATTCAGTTTATGGTATGGTATGCATTCATATTGTTCATCTTAACATTCTATTCGTTTCTAGATTTAATTTATTGGTCGTATCACAATATCACAGATTCGTAACTGGTACTATTTTGTATTGTAAACTTCCTTAAAATTTTTATCAAAATAACCTAAAATCTACATTCTGTTGAAAATAGTTTCGTTATAATGATTGTTGGATAGGAATAAAGAGGATTTCCTCTGAATTGTCGTTATATATACTGAGACGTGAAAATATAGTCTTTGGAAATTAATAATAATGATACTTATCATTGTGGTTATTATTATTATTATCGTTATTGTTATATTGGTTTAAATGATATGTATATAATCCACGCTTCTGTGTGTTTCTTTTGCTCTTCATTTCACATTTCATTCTATACGTCGGACTCTAATGGATATTGCCATATCATGATCATCACTATTCACTAAACACCTCTTTATAGCAAGGTCTGACACCAGCACATATAGCACGTAAACAGCATTATGTCACAATATTTGATATTTTAAAAACTGTCACTACAATTGTTGTCAGTTGGGAGGAGGAACATGAAGAACTTGATCAAACGCTAATGTTAGAACATCCAGATTTTATGCGTGAACATCCATTTACAGAATTAGATGAAGATGGTGTTGGTATGTTATTTAACAATTTTTAATATTCATATGTTAGTTTTTGATGAAAATTTGCAGTATTTGTCTAATTATTTATTATCCACTTGTTATTCATCGACACTGCTTTCCTATTTCACGCCGTAATTCTCGCTATATATGTGTTTTTCACTCAGTATATTGTGATGGGTTTCACAAATTTGTTCATCATACCAAACGGTTTGAGATATGTTCAGACACATAATAATGTTCATATAAATTATTGTTAATTTTGAGTGATATAAGTAAGTTGCTTTAAGGAAGAACTCTTTTTTTATTTAATTCATTTACAGTGGTGGGCAATTGTTTCGATACGTGTTAAGTTATAAAACTAAAAATAATTTGTATATTTGTTAGCATACCAATGCAGAGTGAATTGTGATATGAAAATCAACAGCTTAATATTTTGTAATTCAGTGGTTATGGGAGAGAAAAGCATATATTCATCACGGCAAGAGAAGTAACTTAATAGTTGAAACGGAGGACAATTATTCTATTAAGTTGATAATAAATTAATAATTACTATGATAATATCGAAAACAGAGACATCTTTTAACAATTAAATTCATGAGTCCATCTAAGCTAGACCACCGTTAAAAACCTGGAAGCGCTGGACGGCCGTTTTCTCCTAGTGTGGGACAGCTCAGCAGTTCACATCCATGATCCTGCACACGGGATTCGAACTTAGAACCTTCGGTCTCGCGTACGAACTCTTAACCTCTAGAACACTGAGCCAGGACTAGCCAGATTAGCTTCAAAATAGATTTCCTGGAGTTCTACTGAGAAACCGCGTCCAGTGTAGTACAACCCGTGTCCTGTTTGAGACAATTATCCACCTCAGACAATGGATGAAGGATTGAACATGATCATGGATCAATTGAAGTTAGACAACAATACCGGTTAATTATCATCGCCATTTACTAAACTATGAATAACAAACCTATGGTATGTTATATTTAAGATTCACTGTATGAAACATTTTACAAATTGACTCCTCCGGTCGATTTCTAGGTATCATCAATATCACGAGTGTGTTTAATTTTTTATTTGTTCACAACTGTTAATGTTTTCATTATCTTGATAGTCATGTTAACCTGGTATTCTGAGGAAATGGCCTAACTGATGTGTATAGATATTTGAAAATATTTTATTCGTATGGTCTTTAGAATATGTTTATATAACTAAGTGTATATAGAAATGAACTTTGATTATTTTAATTCATTTCATGTTACATGTTGTTTTTGGTAATTTTATTAGTATTGAATAAATAGGTAGTTTGTACCACTTCTCTATGTCCTGAATAATTAAATTTGAATGTAGGAACTCGCTACTGGAACAATGTTCATAATATACTTTCTAAGCTGAGATTTGGTAATTTCTTTATATTTTAGCATTACGCTACATCATAATATTACCATGTCATTTGTTTCCTTGAAAGTAGAACTATAATTCGGCTGTTCAGTCATTTTATTTCTCAGTTATTTATTCACGACTCTTATTCATTAACTCATTTGCCTTTTGCAAATGGCGTAGAGAAGATCTTTGTCTGTTAACGGCACAGCAGTTCACTCTTTATTGCTCTTCAGGTGTGAAATATTGTCTGTGAAGGTAAAAAGCTTGCTTAGAGTGCATTTATTTAGTCATAAGTTTCTTATGCATCGTGAGATGATCGAGTGAACAATGTTGAGAGTAGGCATATGGTACTAGATTAATATAGGAAATCTGTTGATGACCTTGTTAAACTCCTGAATGAGATAGCTGTAGTATGTATTACATATTGCTAACCACCACTTACCTTAAAACGCAATGCTGGCTCGAGAAAATATAGATCAAAAGAATGTTGATCCCAACCGACTCAAGACGTAGCATCGTTCAGTTAAATAATTGACTGTTTAGCATGTCCTAAAGTACAGCCATGATGTCTAAAAGCTTCACCGTACTTTTAGTTTATGCGTATTATATACGTGTTTCACAAAACTATATATGTACATATTTCCTAATGTTTAGTCAAATTATACAGTGAATACAAATCTTTTGACGTCATTGTCACTAGAAGGATTTTTGTTATGATTGTTAAGACTAGATACTACTTTTTATGCTTGGTTGGCGCCAGTATGTAAGACCTACGTCACTTGAAGCAATTGCGTTGTTTTGTTTGGAAGAAATAAAGGAATTGTTTAACTTACCAAAAATATTCTCTTTGTGTACTGTTTATTTTTTCACCAGACCACAAATACACTAGTCCTTTCGAGAAGAAAAATAGACGAATTATACAAACTGTGTAGATACAGAAGATAAGTGTGAAATAGTAGACATTTGATAAATTATCCTAAGCAGCTTTTGTTAAGATTTTTAAAATGGAAGACAGATTTTTGACTACTGAATAATTTTAAATATAAAATCATTGAGAACCAAGAAAGATTTGGAACATTAATATTTTTTCCTGATAGGGATTCCACTACTCCTCTCCGTCATTTTTCTCAAAATAATTGTACCGTTATTGTGAACATGCGACTTAAATACATCCCGTAAACTTGAATGCTTCTATTCTTGTATGGTACAAGCTTGAAGGCGGAATGCAAATATCATCAAAAAAAAAGAATATTAAAGTAAAAGTTTTAAAAAAAGTTACCGTTTAATTTATTAGAAGACATAAAGACTTTAAATGAACTACTTGTAAACGTTCAGTCAAATATATTTCGTTCAAACAACTTGGTCTAGAGAGCTATTGTACACATAGAGAAGACAGGGGATGAAATATGAATTTTCATAAGGTATTGAATTGCAGTGAAAATAAACATAATACAATAAGATAAACATTGAAAATAGATGAAGTGAAACGGAGATAATTGATGATTCATACGTAGTTTCTCCAGGTTAACTAGGTCAAAGGAAATCAAAATGTAAATGATCACATTAATTAAGTTACTGAATATTCACACATGTATATGATTAGCAATTTGATCATGATGAATGCAATAGTGTCTGTTGTATATTTTAAATTTGACCTTTCTGAACAAAGAAAATGTGTAGTCTCAACACACATTTAATATTCAATTCACATTTAACAATATACTCTAATTTGTGAATACACTGTTACTTAAACATTTTTATGTGTGTATATGTATATAGATTTTCTCATAGGCTTGGTAGGTTGGATTTCAGTCATTTCATTTTGAAATGATGTTTTTCGAGAAAAAAAGAGCCCAGATAAGTTCGAATGTGTGCTACTCACCAAAAAACTGTATGTTGCAATCCAACAGTTAAGTAAAATTGGAAAGAATTAGTTATTTACTGAATTCGTCACAAAGTAAATAAGTCTGATGATGTAATAAAATGCTGATATACCATGCACTATATATATAATATACCAGAGTATTGAATAGCTCTATTTCCTCATGAACGCGTATTCGTTTATAGTCGTTTATATGAAACTCATCGGCAACCTTAGGTTCATGCATACTTGATTTGTTGCATTACACATTTTTGTGTTCTTTATAATAACCAGCTACATAAACCTGGAGATGTCGGAATTTAGATTTTATGTGCAATAGCTGAATGGTTGAAAACCGAATCTTAGAAGTCATCACTTCATCATGGTTTTTATTTGGCAATGTTTTTCGATGCAGTAGAATGAGAGTCATTGTTTAGTTTTTGTTTCCATTGATATGTATGTTCGATACACCAACTTTATTTAAGGATTATTTCTGTAAGTCCAAATCAATCTTATTTAGTTGGAATACCCTGTTTATATAATTCACACTGAAATCAATTATGAAAATGTAATGGCAGAGACGTTGTATCATCGTTTTTGATGATGAAGTAATCAATTGTCTGATATTATAATATGGTTGAGTGTTGATTACCCTCTACGTAGCTACAGAACAAAAATGAAATGAAGTATGTGTTCGTGTCAAAAGTGGAACAGTTTTCACCAGTCGCATTAAATGACGTCTAATACATTGGAAACTGACGGAAATTAAACTCGTACCGTTGAAAACTGATTCATTTCCTGTGAGGCTTCATGTTCCTGCGTTCTATCTCTTGGGTTGTTGGTTCGCACTGTTGAGGGGTGCCATACTAGGACTAAACCGCTATTCAGTTCTCCCTGGTTTCAGGTATACCTCGACTGAGATCAGTTAGTATTCATCATCACCATTCTAAACAATAATATTTCATTGTTTGGATTTCTTAGATTTGAGGAATTATATTTTTGTTTTGTTTCTATCTGTTTCTCCTTTACTACTGTTTCGATAATCAATACTCAATATTAATAAAACAATTCAACAATTTTCAGCACCTTCACCATCAATTTCACATCGGTTGTCATCATCTAATAAGAAACTAAAATCAAATGAAGATGATAATTATTATTCATCTGATGTTACTGAACAAAAGAGTGAGTAATTTGTGATTTAACATCTTTTTTCCTTTATTTGTTAATAATATTTTAACGAAGTGAATTTCAAGGAAGTGTTATCTTACCGATAACTATAATATGTATTTTTTTATTGTATGTTTAAGTTATTAACTGAAGTTATAACTAACTGCTCACTAGTAGAAACTTGGTTTATGTATCTGTAAAGGATAAAATTCTTCGTCTGTTTACCTCTGTGTTCATTTACCTGTTCACTTGCTCCTTTTGAGCATAGCACATAGACTTTGTTCAGCGCTTCCTTTCAACTCGCGTACAAGAACATATCACTGGGGAATTCTACACCGGTGAGAGGAAAGCAGTTAGAAATTCCATACTAGAATATTTTATCGATCCCTCTCTCTCTCTACCAATCCACAGGTTAATTCTAACGTTGTTTATACAAGAAGTCTAAGTCTATTTAGATTTCTTTGTATCCAACTCCTTAAAATAGCAAAAACGCGATCAACTCAGGACTGTGCGTACAAAAGAAGTTCGCCTTATTCATATTTTTACCATGGCCTTGACCTATTATTATTATTATATTTCTTATTCGAAAATATCCCCCTCTCTCTAATTATTACTCATGTCCCTATGATTTCATTTGTAAGTGTTTCTGATATCCCTTCATTTCAGTTTACGCATTACCTTTAATTATTTTAAGGAAACCACTTTGATTATCTTATCCCATTCACGTTATTATCCGTCGTTATACTTGGTATTCACATTCCTCCAACTTAGAAGTGATCTAGATTAGAATAACCACACATATATTGAAACTCGTCAGTTAATCGCATTTGATTGTAGATATCAAATTAAATTTACGTGGATGGACTTGGGGTCAGAAACCATATACTGTAGAAAACAACTTTGCTAAGAAACTGCTAACTAAAAAAACTTTTGACCACTCAAACGTTTTCCTGGCAGTTGAGGGACCTTTGTTTACGGAGTTATGACTCTTCATGGTGAAAACTGAAATTCTTCGGAATTCATGAGGCCTATGCCTTTTCTAACAACCAGAGCAACAATCAGCAAAGGTACACAATCAAGGGTGACTGATAGGACCATTCAAGTAGCTGCATTAATGAAAAAAAAAGCTATCGGTGCTTCGAATAAATGAAAGCAATTTAACAGAGACTGAACAGAAGAGACCATTTCTGGGAGAGGTTCTGTTGTACTCTGGTCATGAAAAGGATGATGCTTTGCACACAGAAGTTTCACTGACACTTTCCAAAGAAGCACGAAAAGCACTTATAAGATTGGAGTCTCATGAATCTGGGATCATAAAAGCATCTTTCAAAACAACGAAGGAGGGGATTACAATGAATATCATCTAATGTGATGTACTCACCGATAACAACAATCAAGGTGATTAAGATAAGTTTTGTATGAGGCTGTTGTCGATTGTAGAGAATTCAATCACCAACACACGAAGTACGGCAATGACTTAAATAAGTCGTTTGAAGTTAATAATAAGCGGGTCCGACTCCGTGTTATTTAAATTGACAGACGTCAAATCTATCAGAAGGCTTTAACCTGATCTTTTTATTTAAAAACAGTCGGTTGTCAGCCATCACTACCTTGGTAACATCTTGACCCTTTTTTCAACTTATTGTAATCATAATTTAATGAATTGAGCTCACTTGTTTAATTTCCCTTTTTAAGCTTTAACATTTTGTTTGATCAAATTAAGAAATCGTTTTAGTATACTGGTGGAACCATTAGTTCAATCAATAATAAAAAGAATCCACCTTATTAAAACTTAAATTTTTAACTTTTTTCATATTACCCATTAGTTTATTCGTTATTGATTGTCAATTCATTTTTAACATTATATCATCAATTGGAAATAATTAAACATATTAGCTTTTATGCAATTTATCAATATGGTTCTTACTGTTTAAATAATATTCTGTTCTAAAAACTAGTACAGTTTCCATAGGCTTTTTTAATCTAGCGATTGTGCAAATCATGTAGATATGCAAGGGGATGGCATTTACGCTGTTATCTCCGGTTATTCTCTTCCAACAAATGGAGCATTCGTGTCACATATGTCATAAGAAATATTGTCAATCAAATCATGGGGAATGGCCTAATCAACTTCACCTCTCACCTTTCAAGCTGCTGCTTATTCCTTTTATTCATAGTGCATGAAACCCTTGTGTTAAACTATGATGGTGCATTATTACATATTTGAAAAATTAAGACCAAATAACTTACTATTGGACATTCAGTTGCATTTTAGTTTTATCCATTACAGCTTTAAATAAGTCCACAATATATTTCAATTTACGTTTTTGCCGCTCTTATTAATAAAACTGAACACATTTAATGGTATGTATATACTTAATTGAAATTTGTTTCTGTTTTATCTAACGCTCCCTCCATAACACTTGTTTGAAAATAGAAAATTTTCCACCTTTCTCCGTATTGATATTACGTAGCGTCGTTAGAATAATTTACTTGCTCCTCCACTGTTTTTACTCAGATTGTCACTTTCTTTTAGTGATTTCACCACATAAATATTTATATACTTTATTTGTTCTGATGATATCTTTCAGTGAAATATTGTAATTATTAAAATTAATGAGAAGTCTATGTCAGTATTTATCTCTTTCTATTACTGTCTTCTTCGTTTCCAGGTCATACTGGTCTGTTCAATTCAGCTTTTGATAGTACAATATTAGCTGAAACGGAGAATGATGATATTTGGGGGCAATTAGAGTATATGCATTCCACTTTGAGTAAGAATTTTCTTTTCTTTTAAAATTGATCATCCATGCTCTTTTGTTGTTAGCTGTGATAGAAACAGTCCATTTCTTTGAATTGAATTTTGTGATCGACATTTCAATAAAAATTAATTTTTTTAAAATAAAAAAAATCAAGGTTTGTTTTTTAAAAACCGTAATTCTGTTATAAATATGATTGTGTATTGTACGGTAATTGTTAAGTTTATATTTGTTTCATTTTACTGTATAGTCACCTTAGAGTATGTACCAAACATTTCTATTCTATTAAAAGATTAGTTCAGATAAACAATCTTCATATGTTCAATTGGGTTTTTTTTGTTGAAAGCAATTCTCTATGCGACGAATACCATATACGAAATTCAATAAGTCGTAATTTATGAGTTCTTTTTCTGATAACTTAAAAAATATTTGTAGAGATTGTTGAATTCTACAGAAATCATGAACAGATCGATGTCAAACACAATAAAAAAAAAGCTGGAAGCACTGGATGAGCGTTTCATCCTAGTCTAGGACTACTCATGAGTGTTTATCCACAATACCGCACATTGGACTCGAACCCAGTACCGTTCAGTGCTTCCAGGTTTTCAATGTTCATCTAACATTGATCGGTTCATGATTTCTATTTATAACTGTATTTCCAATCTCTTATTTATTGTGATTGCTATCTGTTGATTAGCTAGTTTTTCTCCAGCATACTCTGTTTACATATACAACTGATGAATTAATTACAGGTAATTCGTCATATGAATCATAAGTCTCTGGATTTTTTCTATGCTGCTTGATTCCATTTTTATTGCATGAGCACTGTTGTGATTATATTGAATAAAATTGGTAATCCACCTCAATTATTTTTAATAACGTGCAGTTAGAAATAATAGATGGTGTAATTGGGATAAGTTAAAATATGAGAAGGGAAAACAAATTAGGATTAGGCTTGATATGAGGATTTCGAGTGGGGGAGTGGACTCTCAACACCCACGGTCGTTACAAGGCATTTGTGTGCTAACTAACTAGATGGTATGACGATGAACATATAATTAGTTAAAAATATGTAACACAACTGTTCAAACTGTATCAGAAGAATTTACTGGGACTGACTGTTAATGTATATTTAAATTTTAAATATCAAAAGCTGTGCCTAAGTATTGTAAGAGCAGTATTTTTACTGATGAAACACTTTTATTCCAGTTTCGATTTCATTCTCAATTTGACTAATATGATGTATATCTTCATTGTATTATATATATATAGTTATGTTAGCAAGTTGGCACGACTACATACAACGAACGCCATAATCTATTGATTTATTATAGAAAAAAGTATGGATGACCTTGTGAATACCCACAACTGTGTTAATATTTGCTTAAACTTAATTGGTACATATGATCACTGATACATTCACATATTTTCTTTCTTGTGTGTATATTATTGTGTCACAAGTTTATCAGTATATATAGGTCACGTAAAGCAGAGTTATTGTGTTTGACTGTACAATGTTAACTACACATTTCATGTTTCTAATACGAAATTAATTATCAAATGTATTTTATTGTGATGCAAGATTTATATAAATAGTTGTAAAAAATAAGCACATTTAAAGAGTTAAGAACGGTTACATTGTGCGATGTTTTAATTATTACTTAAGTTTATTTAACTATTGTTCATCTTTTGCTTCTAATAATATGTACGTTAACACGTACTACTACAGATATGCCATGATGATATTAGTGATTTAAGGTTGAAGAATTCAGTTTTCAATGTTCGAACTCTGCTTGACTTATTACAATTTTTTGGACAATATAGTTCTGTTATTGGCGCCCACATAAACTTGATATGATTCGAAAACTGGGATTCACAGTGTATTGTATTTGATAAATGAATTATACCTGTTAGCCTTTTATTTTACAGATATTTATGTTGAACAGTGAACAGTTGTTTAAATTACAAATTGAGTACATAACTAAACTCATTTTACTTGCGTATATTTCAGTACTATATTTGAATAATTTATTAGGAAAGCTCCATAATGTAACAAGTAAATGGTTAACTTAATCGCTTAAATGCTTTACTTCAATGCTCAATACTAAGACATTTTGTTTTTAAGTTATCAATTTTTATGCCCTTTTTTCCCTTCTTTTACAAAATAAATAATTGATTCTGGATAAAACAAAATAAATCGAATTTTTCTAATCGCTGTGGTTATTTTCAATTTATTAACTTTATTTAATTAGCATAAATACAGATGAATTCAACTGTGTAGAATTGACATTTCATCTGGTAAATGTTTTCCTTTTCATGTCAATATGAAGTTAGTAATCCTTTTTTTCCATTTTGAAGAAACTAAATACTTTGTTATTCAATCTTACCTCGTACGACTATATATGAATTCGCTACTGTTTTCTCGTTGTTATGATATCTCTTTACTCATTCTGAATAGATTAACGGTTTTTTCTCATAAGTTCTAGTCATCTTATATCTTTCGAAACAATGCACCATGTTCTTTTATTATTGATATTATTGTTATTTTTCAAAATATTTCAACCAAATTTAATAAGAATAGGGATAAACACCACAAACAGATTACTAATTTTTTTATTTTTAGTTTAGCAAATTACGCTAGTTTCCTGGAGTTCATAAAGTCTCAAAATTCTAAAATATTTTGTCAATTTTCAATGTATTCCTAGTTCAACGATTTGTAGTGATTGCTCATTTTTTAAAAACCTGACTATGATTATTGATATAAAGGAGTTGAATTCTTCAAATTAAGAATTTTTACTGGATTCTATAGCAACACGTCTCTTTCTATATTTTGTAAAATGCCATATGTTTATTGCTTTTTAGCCTTCCATAAAGTTTATATTTGATGCGTTTAGCGAATTGAATCAATAAATATTGTTCACAAATTACAAGACTGCCAACTAGCTACCAAATATAGATCGATAACCACTTACTAAATACCTCCAGCCGATTATTATTATAACTCATTTCATGAAATGTCATATCACTTGCACTAGTGTCCACATTCCAACTTAAGTAAATCATGATAATGTTATTTACAATTTTGTTGTCTTATTCTTTTACACAACTTAAATTACAACGATAATTTATTCAATATGACATTTTAGAATTTCATTCACTAAATTATTGTGGGACGCCAGTTAACATAGGACTGCATCTCCTAACGTTATTCTACCGCATATGGATTACACCTCTAGGTTAACGACTCGAGGAGTGTCCCCATAAGAAACCTACTTGCTTCGGTTTGAGCACGCGGGTAGTATTTCGGCCCTTACATAAATTGAATGATTTGTGTGACGCACATATATTTCGTTCCTCCTTGTAACAATGTTTATGTGTTTAAATAAATAAAATAACTTTAAAAACAGTTCTTCCATTTCTTATCAGGTTTTTTTCTTCATCTTCTAGTCCACTATCAACCCTCCCATCTTCCACTGATCAAATGATTTTCCATCCTTTTCCTAAAATAATATTGAGAACATATTTTCTTAATGAAAATAATTCTAGTTAAGTTTGTTACAGGTCAATGACTACATTTTATTCTTGTTTACCCTGTATCAAACATTTTTACTATAACATATAACGAATAAGTTATTTTTCTCACTTATCCTTGGGCATTATAATATTTTATAGCATGAATTAATGTGGATTAATGAATTGTGAATAGATAATTTTCTATTGTGTAAAGTGGAGTTATCATTTTGCAAGAGATTAACCTAACCTATTTGAGATTTTTTTTTAAAGCGTTGAAAGGCCAAATGAAAATCAATGACATTGTACTATAATATATTGTAATGTTTTTGTCTTAAAACCGGAACATCTGAAGAATACCTTTCTAAATTGAAGTTGAATATTTTTAAAATCTTTCAACCAGCAATGGATTTTTTCCCACCAATAGTTTATTTATATATATTGTATATTCAGAAATAAACATTTTTAATTGTTATTTAACTTGAAACTGTATACACAAATCTAGGTCCTCAAGGTACACTTTCGGATCGTATGACTAGTCAAAAGGGTATGATTTATTGCACTATATTGCGATCTACCGCTTTCAGTGTTAATCCTATTGTAAAATTTTCGTTGTTTCTTTTCGTGTAATATATATATATATATATATATATATATATATATATATATATAGTGCTTGGTGTAAATTCATTTGATATACATGGATATTTATGTATTTTTGTATGTGCTGTATCTAACCACATATTGTTCCATTTGAATGTTATAACGATTCTAAATGTATGCATGAAAAACATGATTTCTCGTGTTTATCTCTAATGTTAGTGATTTATATACTGAGCTTTTTATCATGTCTTTATTGTGAGTGTTGTTCAATGGTGCTGTTAATTACTTGTTGAATGATTGTCTGCTGAGCATGGCATTAATCTTTCAATCATCTAATCAGTTGTTTCAACTCAGTTTTACATACATAAGTTCAGTTGATCAGGTATTAATACAACTCATACATAAAATTCCAATCATGTTATATTCATTATAAAAAGTTGTGTTTCTTAAAGTTTTTGTAATTTCTTGATTATATGAAATCATTTTCTCGAAAGAATAGTATATTAAACTTTTCAGGAGCGTCGAGTTTTTCAAACTTATAGTATCGTATATTATGTTAGTGATGTGCAAATAATGATAAACAGCTTTTGCATATATATTTTACAAAATATTGGCCTTACGTTTCATGTAAATGAAACTTTTATTGATAGCTTTATTATCAGAATAGGAGTTTGGGAAGATTGTAGTTATTTAATAGTTGGATGCATGAGTTGATTTAAGCTAGAACACCATTGAAAACCTGGAAGTATTGGATGGCCGTTTCTTCCAAGTATGGAACTCCTCAGCGATGTGCGTCCACCAATAGTCTCATGAATTCAACTATCAAATGATCGTTTTATCTTGTAATGTAGTGCTTGTTGTAAACAATATTCTTGAAGGCTAATGCGTGAAATTTCTTCAGCAATGGTTCTGTTTCTTAAAAATTTCATCATACTATAAACATGCATCAACAGACTGTTTTTACACAAGAAATTTACTTCAGTCCAAATTTTTGTGAATGTGATTATTTGTAGAATCATTAAAAAATTGTTTCTGTCACTATAGGCAACAGTTTTTTTTCATGACTCTACGTATTATTTCAAGGTGCCATTTCATTAGGACATCTTTATGCTTGCTTTTATTCTGTATCTATAATTATTGGGGATTTTGTATTTTGTTGTATTTCTGCACATATACATGATTTGATTAGTGATCATTATCAGTATATATGTTAACATACTATAGGATTTAATACAGTGGTGTGAATTTTGCAAAGGTGAATAAGATTGTTTTGCACTGATTTTTCTGTTGTCCGTTTAATACTGCTGTGTTCTTGTTTCGCTGAAATTTGCAACTTAAAATGAGGAACGGGTTTAAGTGAATGGTGACTCTAGTTTCCAGTTTTTAGAAATCCTTTTCTAAAAGATTAGCATTATGTACAACAGTTCACTCTCTTTTATTTCACGACTATAGGCTATACTTGATAAAAATGAAAAAAAGTTATTCTATCAATAACTTTCTTTGATACATTGATCAAATGTTTTTTGAGACTCAATATGACGTTTTTGATTAAGAGTAATAATTTGATGAGCCTGCTTGCCTACTTTAGCTTGGTTTCAAGCGACCAACTCTTCATCATCATCTGATTTAGTTGATTTTTTTGCATTTAAAAACATCTCATCGTGACTCAGCCAAAAATTAAAGTGGATCAATTCTATTTTTTATACAAAATGTAACACATCCAAGAATTTTAGGTTTAGATAATTTGCTTGACTTCATTTACGAGATTTAGTCAAGTAATCTGACAGATATACATACAAGCGTGCCTTATATTGTAGAAGCTTTAACCATTCTCGAGTTAACGCCACAGTTTTTATGTGCTTAACGGTATGACCCTAATTTTACTATACTTGATATTGTTTACAAAAATGCCTTGGTACAGCCGAGTCCTCTCTCCCTCCCGAAATACTCTCACATGACCACTCGTATACACTCACTGCCAGGGAAGTCCTACTCATTGCCTTCTCGCGGCGAGGGTGTTGTTTACATAATTGAGAGTACGAAAAGCAAATGTCCGGTGCTTTAACCAGGTTGGTGGATCTTCCAGATCCACCTAAAGGAGTTTTAAAACCCTGTTTCCAAACCAATGGTACACATGAGCTCCTGGATCCAGAGGGAACAAATGACGTATAAAGCAATTATTGGTCACTGGCTACCATGGGATTGCATCTCCTGACTTTGCTACACTGCCTCGTGGATCAGCCGTTTAGGTCGAAGGCTCCAATTGTTGCCCCATCTGTTTCGGTCTGGGCACCCTGGCAGTATCACTGCTCACACACAAACCAAGTGAATTTTGGGCGCATATGTATTCTGTGCACCTTTGTACCGATAGTATTAAAATATCTTAGCAGTTCCTTCTTTATATATCTAGTTAACTATCATCAAAAACGTAAAAGAAACTAACCGGTTCGCCCGTAACCTCGGTTATACTTCCATGTTGTTTTTATTCAACAGTATATGCAGACCAAGTGGGTGTCTAAATATTGTCTACAGTTACATGTTTTAGTAAAATGTTTTCGATTTTTTCTTAGTAGTTAAGTCTGACACTCATGATTTGTTCTATTTGAAACTAGTCAACTGTTTTGTTTCAGTGGGAATATAATAAAATAACGTAATTTTTACTAGTTCTTAATGAGATGAAATGTCCAACTAATATTCCACTACACTGATTGCAATCTAAACATCATCTACAAACATAGTTAAACTCATTTAATGAACTGATTATTATTTTGAAAATGTTTATTATTATTACTTACTCACTCCTGTTACCCCCCCCCCTCCATGGAGAAACATAGACCGCCCACCATCATGCTTCATCGAACTCTGTCCTGGACAATCCTTTCCATTTTCTGTTCATCCTTTTGATGTCTGCTTCCAATTCTTGGCACAGTGTGTTCTGTGTTCTTCCTCTTTTTCGTTTCCTTTCAGGATTCTAAGTTAGCGCTTGCTTCGTGATGTTATTACTATTATATAAAAAATGTATTAGCATGTTTTTTCTTGATTAATTATCCATTTATGTTTCAGTTCGTTCTTTTTTTTCTCTATTAAGTGCTTGTATAATAATTTCTTTAATATTTATAACAATTTTAATGTACCAAATAACAATGTTGGTGCATTTCATGTAAGAGTTTATGGTGATTTTGAACGGATAAACATTGCATCGAATTAACTTTTCTGTTTATTTATTTTTGTATCTGCATATGACATTTCTAGTCCTTTTATTATTATTATTATTATTATTATTATTATTATTATTATTATTATTATTATTATTATTATTAATGATTGTGTGCCAAAACAGAAAAATTGATTTAATGACTCTTATAGTTGTGTTTAACAACAGGATATTAATAATCTGTTTCTCTTGAAATCTCTTTTCTTTGTTTATTGTTCATTTATTTATTTATGTATTGATTGGTAGTTGTTACTGAGTGAATAGTAAACAGCATTTCACACGATAGAGTACACATCAAAGAAGCGTTTATGTTTGTATGTCAACTAGCATATATGTGTGTACATGGTTTTTCACTTTGATTCTTGAGTGAAATTAATCTCGTTAGTCAGCGGCGGTTTCTTTTTTCATGCTTTAAATGGTTTGTAATCAATAAACACCATTATTATTTTTATTAGTTACAGTTTTGACCTGTCCATTATCCAATTTCTAATTTTCCATCAAATAGGAAACAATTAAAATTTTATTATTCTGTGTGTCATCACTAAAAATGTTTGTATACAGTATGATGATTGTTTAGTGTTTTATGAGAATGTAGTACTTTACTATGATTCCATGAAATATTAATTACAATTTTGTTCTCGTTTAAATGCAATCTAAAACCAAATGAATTAATTACACTGTTTAAAGTAATTCAAAAATAACTTTCATATTAAACTATTTAACACATTTTGTACTACAAGCAAAATGGATGGTAGCTTGCAGTGAAATCAATCCAAGACGCGTTTTTCGTCCTATTTGGGACTCGTCTTTAGCTAGATGTACCTGCATCCTACTTCACTTCGAGACTCGAACCCAGCCTGTACAATGGGGTGACAAGAGACTGATCAATTGCAGTCCTAAACATCAATGAGTAAGACTTAGAAAAAAAACAATACAAAAATGAACATTTTGTACTGTTCAAATGGTTTTCTATTCAATGATTTAAACTACGAATGAAGCTTACGTTTTGACTCTCATCAACATCGACTAAACTAACAAAATTTTTTGTATGATTTGTTGATAAGTCCAGGTGGAATGACCTACTTACTTCCAGTAACCTCTATTTATTCCATGTATGTATTCATGTACACTGTGCAATCTGTGATGATGATTCATTAATGTATGTTGTTTTTGTGTGTTTTTTCCATTCCAAAAGACTACAATAACCTGAAATACAATTAGATTTTTAGTTTTGTGTCTCTTTTATGTCATATGATTATTACAAATATATTATTTCTACCATTGTATAATCGTTGTTTCCACTAACCAAGTAATAGCTGTTTTTTTTCAACTAAGCTCGTCAAAGATTTGGACGCTTCATTCGACTCTTTTGTGGATAAAGACTATCAGATAATATCTTTAATAGCATCCATACTACAGCTAATGCATGAGGCGTAATAGCTGTGTGTACGTATGATTTGGATTATTCTAACTCTTTTGCTATTAATAAACATACGTGGGTTTTCATTACTGGATAGTTATAAACTACAAAATGATATCAGTTAGACTTTTTTTCAGCATATATGTATGTATGCATATAAACTGTCGTTCAACATAACTTATATTTATGTATTTCATGTCAGTTTATCAATGTATAACTATTGATAAGTGAATTATACATTTTTAAATTACAAATTTTTGTACTTGTTGGTCCGTTTATATACCTATTAAGCTAGCATGATCGTATACTGATTTGTTTTTTTAATTATCTAATACAAGTATTGTATATCTTATTGAATTCAGTACTTGAATTGTTCATACCGTATCAATATTTCCTTCTATTTGCTGCTGGGACCACCCCAATTTTCAGGTGATGAGAATACAAATGAATTTATCGCTACTCAAACTAGTTCTGTCTTGGAAACTATCTCCCCAAAATCTGTGCAAAATGTAAGTATGTAAATGTTAATTTCGGTTTAATGTCTTTTCACTTTATTTAATAGTCCGTCTGTTAATCAAGCAACGAATAAAATACTCAACTGTTTACTCTGTATTACTCCTTGCATGTGGAACTATGAGACGTGCATGTATTTACTTACAGTTGTCTTTAAAACACTACTCGATTGAAGGGAACAATTGAGTAAACAATGATGTGTTTGAAATGAGGTTCTAAGAAAGATTAGCGACCAGTTGCTGAGGTTGTAAATCTTCTCTGACTGAGTTGTCTGAGATATACATTACATATGTTCGACCATTGCTTACCGCGATGCGCAGTTATTCATGGAGTAAGAGAGCTAAACCTGGCTAAACCAAAACAAAGCATCAGTCAGTAAGAGCTCTCTGATTGAGCCATATTAGTAGTTGATAGCTGGCCTGACTAGGATCCACACGATAACTTCGACCTGTAGTTGGAAATGTCCGGTGACAGAGCTCTAAATTGACTGCCGAGGCATTCTCACTTTATCTTCACCTTTTCTTGAGTTTCTCTATTCTTTTCTACAAATGTTTTCATTGTTTCTTGAGTCATATGTTCAATATTTAATCTTTTTCACTGTCAATTGACTTCTTTGATACTCGTCGTTTTTTAATTGGATTACTGTGTTGATGTAATAAAAGAACTTGAAGCATTGCCCATTATTGTTAGTCTTTACGCTAATTATAACTGACTGATTGTTTGTGCGTAATTCGACTTTTCTGTGAATTCTATCTCTATTTTTGTAGTATAATCTCAGTGTTGTTTTCTTAAATAATTAAAATATTATCTACTTAGTTGTTTTGTTTCAATGCTTTTTTTTCCTACACGTGAAAACAATGCTGAAAATATATCGATATAATCATTTAGATAAAGTTTATTTCCGTTCTCATACAATAAATATTTGTATGTAAAGGATTTGTTTGTGTCCGTCCATAATATACTATTCTATACTAATTGATAATGATAGTATCTCATTATTAAGAGAATAATAGTAATATTTTTTTATCCTATGAATGATTTCATGATTAATTGGACTATTGATGATAAACATAACATAATAGAACTAGTTATTTTCAGTCTTATGATTAATATCATGAAAATTCATCAATTTTCTGTCATATGCTTAAAATAAAAGTTGATTATTGTCATTTGTACATCAAAATATTCCATAGTACTCTGATTAGTATTTCATACTAACACTTCTCAGTTATAGATTCGTGAAGGTTGTTGAGTTTTATTTGAAATCATGAACCGATCAATATTCAACCACCATTTAAAAACTAGAAGCACTGGATAACCGTTAACACCGTTGGATGCCAAGTTATTGGTTTAAAGGTTAAGCGTTCGCGCGCGAGGTTGAATGCCTTGGGTTCGAATAGCGCGTGCAGGATCATTGATATAGACTGCTAAGTAGTCTCATACTAGGACTATACGAGCGTCCAGTGCTTCCAGGTTTTTAATGGTGGTCTAACATTGATCAGTTCATGATTTAAATTAAAACAGATACTCCTGTTCAACTCTATTCATTCATTCAGGACAAAATATTTATGTATATATAACAGTTATGAATTCTTTATAATATTTTTATTTCACTAATTTATATTTTCTTGAATGGTATCTTCCAAATCTAATCTTTTCTGTTACCACTCTTATTTTCCTTCCTTTATTATTCTGGGATTTCCCCTTACAGTCCCATCTAATGAGATATGACAACTTGAACCTATGTCTATACGTACCAGATTATACGTTGCGACTGACTAAGGTTTACTTTTCTAAATTTACCTAAGCTTACTAACAATTTTATCACAGATATAAAATTTAATATCCATCCAACAAAGTATATTTTTCATTTGAAAATAATATCATTATCGTTTGTCTAACATGTAGATTGTTTACAGAAAAATTAAAGTTGTATATGAATTTGTAGAGTTTACTTTCATTCATTCTTCCGTATTAACCGTTGAGGATATCATGATATTCAATTAATTTTTCACCATATATAATTTTATTTGTTAAATAAAACCGTAAAGTAGAGTAAATGAAGAGGAGCTTCGTGATATTTGTATCTTTTTCTAGACTGAAGTTCAAATGTTCGGAGAAAGTGGTCAACCTGATGGTGATTGGGATTTGGAAGTAGACAATATGGCTGTTAATAAGAAGCCAATTAATACAGGGTAGATTTTCAAATGTTTAGTTATATATAATGTAGATGTCTAAAATTTTTTTAATATACTCTACTTTTTTGTCGTTTATATATTGCGTAACTGTCGAGTCAGTCAAATGACATAAGTATATCCCGTGCTTGAACATTCGATACTGACTTTTTAAGCGCTTCCTAGTTCCTTTACAAATCTTCATTTTAGTTTGGAATACAGGACATAAGGCGAAAATTATATGAGGTTTATTTCTAAGGTTAGTTTAGATGCAGAACGCCAAGATATTTACGGGTTGATATGTGACATTGGTATTCTGAGAAATCAATAACTAAATCAGCAATCATCCAATAAGAATATGATACATAGTCCGTTGGTCTTAGATATCTCGAGGAAGTTTCTACCGAACGTTAATTTTACTAAATATCTTCAGTCTTTTCCAAGCTTCTGAAGAATTTTCTGATGAATTCCTTCCGAGTCCTAGTAAACCATATACACTACGAACAGCAGTATTTGTTTCGCTAGTAGTCTGAAAGAATTCTTTCCAAAAATTTCTTTGAATTATAGTTTAACTTGAAAGAATTCACCAGAATTATACTAAGACATTTAACTATGCCTAAATTGAGTCTGTGATCGTCCAATCTGATGTCATTTGGATCCGTTAAAGTAAATTCTAAGCAGTTATTGTGTAATGTTTACAAAGTTTAAATATGTTCTTCGCAGTTCTTATTAGAGAGAGAGAGAGAAATGTACAGTATGTAATTCAGCTGACAGTTTCATACTCGGATGTGTGTAGTTCGAGAAGTTTGTTGATTCTATTACAAGTTAATTTTAAATCATTATCAAAGAGAATAAAACCTGTCCAATAAATGAGTTGAACTGTATTTGTCTGTCCGTTAAACTACAATACTTGTTAAGATTTACTTGAGATTTATGTGAAGTATTCATTCGAACTCTTAAATTGGACATCTTTGATCTGTTTACTATGTTCAACATGATCATTATTTGTTTCATATTTACATTTTTTTAACTGCTTTACATTAAAAACGACAAATAGATTTTTAGTTTCATTCATTGCGGATGCTCGCGGAGGTCTAATTCAAGCAAGACGTTATCCTGATCTTAGGATATTTATTCCTCCAAATGTTATCAATGGTCCACTTCGTATTGTTTGTCGTCTAGTTCATCCTGATCGCATGAATTCACCACCAATTATGAATGATGGTGATGGTTTAGCCTGTCGGTGAGTTTTATTCTTTAGTAGAAATAAAGCAGTGTTCACATAAACAAGTTACTTATCAATTACTTGGATATAAGAATGAATAATTTCACAATTAAGGTTTTTTTGGATCAAATAGTTTATTGTTATTGATTGACAAGTTTTACTACATTGTGAAAATTTTCAGTTCCACTGAAATACTAATCCTTCTTCAAATAATATTCATTACAGTTATTTGAAGATAGCTAACGTAAGAAATGTTGTTTGTTTGATCTGTCTAAATCCTTAACATCATAGTTACTTTGTGTATGTTGCCATTCTTTGTCTAAATATGTCGATGTTACTGACTTTAACCTTTTGATATTTAATACTTGAATTATATTTCTGATATTTAGATCTCCATTTTGTCTTCTTGTAATTCGCCCTCTTTTTCTTATGTTGTTAATTTCCTCTCTCGTTATTCTGATATGTGGACGTTAAGATATGTTCGCACTAGTTTGTACTTCATTTAAAATCGATTAACTTCTCCGATAACACAGTTATGTTCTGTGAGTCAGTTTCAACTTTTTAGGATGTCTTTTTACAGCACAACTAAACAGTTCCAGTCAGTTTCATAATTTTCGGAGTGCAGTTGTGTGCCTATCATAGCGCGAAAATCATTTTATTTTGAAAAATTATTCGAATCGCGCGTCCAGAGTCATGGATGTGCACTGCCGAGGTGTCCCATACTAGGACGAAACGGTCGTTCACTGCTTCCAGGTTTCCAATGATGGTTTAGCTTATATCGACCCATTAATTCAACTATCAAAATTACTACAACCACAACTCCTTAATCTGCTTAGAAAGGTATATGTGCATACTGCGCGTATTGCCTCGATATTGTCTTAATTCACAATTAATATAAGCAAAGATGGACAGCTGCTAGCAGTGGAATCCAAGATGAAGGTTTCGTCATATTTGAGACTCGTCAGCCAGATGCATCTGCTTCTCAAATTTGATGTTCACTCCGAGACTCTAATTTAGTACCGTTTGCTTCAAATGCCATCACACTATCCACTTAGCTACTGAGTCCTGATAACCACTTGCTTGTTCTTAAACGGGATTTAGACTCAGTGAAAACATTTTAGGAAATCATATATACTTAGCTGTTGCATTGTGTATTTTAGCGTTACATCATTAGTACTTCTGATTGTTTCAGACATCACTACTAAAGTGTTAAAAAATTTATGTTTTGTAACCTCATTTATTAATCTATTTCGTGCAGGTTACTTGAAATCGGACCAGCTGGTATACGATTCGCTTCACCTATTCTCTTTGAAATACCACATTATGCTTTTTTAAATGGGAAAAATCGTGAGATTGTTATCCTCCGTTCAGATAATGGTGAAACATGGAAAGAGCATCCATTGGATGCTACAGACCAAGCTGTTCAAGACACTTTGAATGGACATTTTGGTAAACTCTTTCGTTAGGTTATTTTTTTGTTCAAAAATTCGTTACATGTAATTGGTACAGCAAATCAATTCTGAAATCATTAAATCTATATCTACTAAAGTGACTTTGGCACATTTTATACTTGCCTATTGTATCAATCATGTTTAAGTATTAACTGAATTGGAACATGATCTCAGTCTTATATCCTTCATTCCTCTTTATATATCCACTTAGTTGGATCACAAAATTATGAAGGTCACGAATTATTGGTTCGTTTATACCTTTATGACCTAAAATATGAATCTTTGATCCTACTGGTTTAAACACCGCTTTCTCTGTCTCCCCAATCGTTAATCAGAAGTTAAATACAACAAACCTTTTTTTATTATTAATGTATTACTATGCACAACTTAAAGCCAACTAGATTACGTGCATTAATTGAGTCATCTCAGTTAAGAAATCAGAACTTGTACTTAACCAAGTCATAAGTAAAACACAGTATAACAGTAAGTGAATAATATTTCTCAAATATACTTTCTGATTCAACAGTTAGACTATGTACGTGATATCCTTAACTGTTTCAAACTGTCATACTACATATCAATTAGAGTTAATGTTGCAGCAGAAAATTCGTTATTATACTTCAAACGTGTTAGCTCAATTCAGTTGTACTTTCCTTCAAGTATTGTAATATGTGTTATTCATTACACTCATTTGTTTATCTTGTCTAATCTTATCGTTTCATTGTAATTTAGTCGACGTTACTTTGTATCACGGTCTTACTTTTCTTTTTTTCATGTGACATCATGATCCCAATAATACACTAATACTTCATATTTTACTTGGTTAAAACTAATCCGAACTTTTCTCCACATTTTATTTATGATACAATTAAATTTGATTTTAGATTACGCTGGATCATTTGAAGAATTACGTGCTAAGTCAATACATCGTATTTTAACATATGATCTACCACAATATTTTGCACTTATTACACGTATCAAGCAAGAATTAATTTTAATTGGTCCAGAAGGTGGTACATTAACATCTACAGTTGTACCAGACGTACATGTTCGTTTTCCTCAAGGTGCTTTACAAAAACGTATACGTGTTGGTTTACAAGTACATCCAGTTGATCATGAACTTGTAACAAGAATGCTTGGTCCACGTGTCTCTGTATCACCGATTGTAACAATTGAACCACGCAGACGTAAATTTCATAAACCAATTACCTTGACTATACCATTACCAAAAACAGCTATGTCATCCTCTAGCGGTGTTGCCGACACTAAATCTCGTTCAACTATCGATTCACCTAGTCTTCGATTACTGTGCTCGATTACGGGTGGAACATCACCTGCTGTTTGGGAAGATATTACTGGCAGTTCTCCGTTATCTGCACACGATCTTTCTGTTTCATTTACATCTACAGTATCTGCAAGGTAACTGACTTTATTTAATAAATTAATGGATATGTACATAAATTCATCTACTCAATACATTATTGAATATTATACAATATATAACCTTGCCTCATTGGTTTCCCAAATATTCGTAATCCAATATAACAGTGCATATTACCATGATTTTGTACTGTCCAGTAAAAGTTGTAAACTAATTGTCTAGGTTTTTCTGCCACATTCCATTTTGAGATGTGGTGACTTGATAGTTTGAACACTTGTGTTTCCAATCATATTCGGTATATTCAACCTTACGAACAACATTATTACAACTAACATTCACGATGTGTACACATTATTTAAACCATGGAGGTAAGTTTTATTATTAATAATAGTGGTAGTGTAGTGAACGAAGACTTGGTAGGGACTACCCATTTATTATTTGGTACAAAATTACAGAGTTCTTTCTCCTATCAGTTGTCTCAAACTCCATCGTTCCTTCATTACTATTGCAATTACTCTCTGTTTACATTCCCGTCCCCTTCAATTTGATCTTCTCATCCATCTGCTACCAGGCATCCCACTTCTGATTGGTGTTACATACTACTTATGCTTGTCGACATAACTAGCATACACCGCATTAGTAGTATAGCCAATCACCTTGGAATTAGCAAGATTACAATTTTTGAAATTTTCCTTTTTGATCTCGTTCGAGTACTCACGGTAGTGTTGCTAGCTTCGGTCAACTGACATATATGACTTTTAACAACTCATGTGTATTCACCGTCTTGATAACTTTTTTCAGGGAACAATTGATTGATCATCACTACATTTCTAATCGATTTCTAAAATAAATTAATTAGAGTTTTACAAGCCTACTTTGTCATCCATAACTATAATTATTAACATATTTTTTTCAAAGATAGATTTTTATGATTTATTCATATTGTGTTACTGGAAGCATTGTGTGATCTCATCTACTAAATGTTTCTTTTTTTAATAAAAAAAACTATAGATTGTGGCTCGTAGATTGTCCTAATATTACTGAAGTTGTTGAATTAGCCAGTCGTGTTTATCATGAATCATTGGCAGTGCCTTATATTGGGCAGTTTATAGTGTATGCCCGTAGATTTCATCCTGAAGAAGCTCAATTACGTTGTCTTTGCCTTACTGATGATTCGGCAGAGAAAACGCTTGAACTACAAGAAGGATTTCAACTAATAGCCACTGGACCATGTATTGAGGTAAATGACTGAATGAATTTTGATATCTAAATAAACTTTTGTTATGTATTTGAATGTTTTGACTTCTTATTAGTTGATTAATTGTTTGGTTATTATTACTACTTTTTATTTTTTGACATTGTTCTTTATAATAGGTTCTTGATGATCATCCACACTGGATTGAAACAGCTGGTAACTTAGTGCCTGTTGCTAAAACTGAGGAACAATTACAATTAGGAATGCATGCGTTCCGTGAGAATCGTTTGAATATGATTGTACGTGTGAAAGATTTATCACAGCCGGCTGTTGGAAAATTAGCGTTTATGCGTCATCCTCGAGCTGTACTACAATCTGCTGGGTAAATGAATTGTTGTTTATTCTCGTTTATTGCATAAATTAGTATTTCTCACTGGAAATTGCCATGTTTTTAACCCGTCATTTTATTGCTTTGCAAATTAGACATCTTTATAGTTTCGTGCATTAATATATAACTTATCCTCTTCAATTCATTGACATAAGTAAAACACATTTACCATGTGCTCCATGGTTGATTAATTAGTTAGTAATGAATACTGTAAGCAAGATTTAAATGAAATTTAGAAATTTCTGTGTTGTATTCATACATTCTCGTATATTTTCCAGTAATATGACATATCATAAAAGATGATAACTATGCTCAGAGATGAACTAATCAAAACTTGTTGTTCAGTGATTCCTGCGAAAATTATTTTATTTTTATCTATTTTTGATACTACAAATAACACACGATGAGTCATGGCGATGGAAATTGGGTTTTAGAAATTATAAATAGCAACAGACCTTAACTTCATTCTGAACTGTTACATAAGTATTATTGATATCAAGTTACCACTACCAAATTATTTCTATGAATGTAGTTTTCATAACCAGATATGTTTTTTGGATAGTGATGATAGCACACCTAAAAATATTTGTTAATTTTAAGTTAATAGAAATAAAGAATTCAGCGAAGAATTTTTTCTCGACTGAATCACTTGCTCAAGCTGTACATTCGTATTTGTACTTGTATGGGAAATATCTGTTTATAGAAGGACAGAAAAGATTGCATCATGACGTAGTTCTAGACTTCATATATCAGACGAGATTGCGTAATAATCAGAGGGTTTTAGAAATATGAAAATAATTTAAGGGTCTAAATTATGAAAGATAATTGTGGCCGCCTAAGAAAATCATCTTTTTCGGTTTGGATACCCTGAGAGTATTCCATCCCTTACATAAACCAAATGATTTGTGCCGTGCATATATTATTTCGTGTCTCCTTGTACCAATGTTTATGTGTGTAAATAAATAAATAACCCACTCAGCTACTGAGAAGTTAACGCTGGTTCTATATTCCTTTGTTAGCCACCATCCATCTTTGCTCATAGTCATGAATAATTGTTGAAGGATAACAATAATCGATTACGGTTTGAAATTATAAGATATTAATTAATTAATTAATGAAGAAATAAGACCAAGACATACTGCAGAACGAAATTAGAGCCAAGGAAGGATGATAGGTTGAACGTATCGCTTTTGCACGCTAAATTTCTAGCTTAAATTGGTAGATCGCCAACACCTCATCAGTTCTCACGTTTTTGATTCGACCTCCGTTCTATCCAGTTCCTTTGATTGGTAGACTATTTTATATTACAAAATATAAAATAATTCACTTGTGAATTTTCAGAGAATCATCTTGACTATTTTTTAAAAAAAGGATTTTCCAGTCGTACCACATTCTCATTGTTTATTATTTGTCATTATCATTTCTGCTACTATTATTTTGACCTCTTTTGCTATTTTATCTTGTTAATCTTATCTCGTACTATTGTGATATGGAGACTTGGATCAACGCATATCTATGTCATTCTTTACGTTGTCTACGAGTAACTATGATTGAGCATAAGAGTCGCTTTTTATCGTCATTTCTCTTCAAAATTAATATCATTTATGAACATATTTTCTTCTAGTCTATGTGTTTATTCTAACTAACTAGTTGTGTCTAGTTTCGATGGGATTCATGTATTTTCCCCCTTTCTTTGTATGCATGTGCGTATGTGATTCGATGGCTTCGTTTTGTAGACTTTTAAGCATTTGATTATATGAATACTTGATCAATGTCATTGTTTACCATAGAAAAGTGGTTTGATATTTTCTATATATCAAGTTAACTGTAATTTCTTAACTTCATTCTTGTATATTTCTGATCAATTTTCTTTTTATTATCTACTAATTAAAATGTTTTAGGTTACAGTTTTCATAAACTTAGGTGTAATTTGAATAGAATGTGATAGTAGATCATAAGTTCTGTATGACGTTTTGTTACAACGAGTAATAAATTTAGTCTGAGCACTAATATGGTAATTTCTGTGTCAACTTAATGTAATACACATATACTTGTAAAGTGATGTATCAGTAATCAAGGAGTTCGATTCTCAGCCACCAAGTAACGAGTTTGAGCTCCGCTCCACCTACTTTGGTTTAGACGACTGGATGGTATCACTAACTCTTACACTTATAGTGAGGCTTTAAGCCGAGTACACGAGTCTACCTGATAAATTCATAAATGATAATTTGAAACTGTTTCGACGGTCGATTAATTTCATCGTTCATTTGTTCATAGTTTGTCCACACTTGTGTACTTATTCATACAAATGTTTTATTTTTTTCTGTTAATTTATTATTTTACACATCTGTATTTAAATTTGTTTTATTCATACATAGGTCACCTGTAAAACCGGCAACAGTTCTAGAGGCTAAATTACCAGACGAATTTACTGATTACATGACTGATGGTGTATTAAAAACAACTGATATTGATGATATGCCACCTTATATTCCAGAATATAATCAAAATGGTGGTCAATACACCACATACAATGAATCGTTGCCGCAAACATGGTCAAAACAAGGTGAGTACTAATGTAAAGTGTTTTTTTATTTCCTGGTCGTATTATCTTATTATTGTTTCAAGACTATCCTAGAAATAACATATTGGTGTTGAGTAATACGTTATTGATTATATTTGATAAGTCGTGTAGGTTGAACGCTATATACGATTCCTAAGCTATTCCCGTAACCCGCAGACTAGAACTACACAGCGACCTGAACTCCAGAGAGAAGACACTAGTATGAGAGAAAACACTTTATCCCAAGGTTCATTTTAGTACAGAAAACCAAGGGTATTTATAGATGTTGGCGTCTGTTAAATCAACATCATATTTCAGCCAATCCGTTAACGTCATATTATGCTACCGATCAATGGTAGCACGCCACGCTGGAATTCTCGAACGTTCCATCATACTCTGATTGACTGGGGCCCTTCGGCTCCTTTTTGGGCCTCTGAAGGCTCCGTTGAAGTTCTCCGGAAGCCGACCTAACAGTATTATTACTACCATTATTTTGACATATTCGCTATATATCTCGTTAATTTAATTCATTGTACTGATTTGATACAACAGCTTGTGGCAATCTATATTTATGCTGATCGATGAAAACTAATTTACCAACTCATCCGCGTTTCTGTAACAGTGTTCGGTTTAATTATCTTAAATTAGGGGGATTTATGTTGACTTCCATAATCATGGTTGATCAAATGTATTTGGTGTTTTTTAAGCATATCAGAAAGTATAAAGAATTTTAAGCAATTCAAAATAAGATCTTTTATATTTATAACCAATTATTGTTATTTCTAGCTGTTATAAGTGATTTAACTGTCTATAAAATTGAAATTAGTACTTCTGGACTAAATAACATTGTAAATATGGTAACTAAATATCTGACAGTCACATTTCAAAGCTGCAGGGTATCCGCAATTGACTATTATAATCATTATTGGTTAATATTCACTGAGATTTACATTAAAAATGAGCACAACAAATTAACAGTATATTATGTACTAAACTTTAAAGTTCTTGGAATATAATTCACTTTGTGCATTGCTTGGATTATTTTTTTATATTCCCAAACTTAATGAATTTTGATTCAGGCAATATCGAGGCAGTCTACACAGGATGCATACATGCCAATATGGACTGATCAATCCCAGTCCTAAACATCGATGAGGAGATTCAAACAGCCGAAAAAACAGTATATTAAAGAGTAGTTTCGGACCACTCACTAAGATCTTTATTTATCTTAATTTAAAAGTTGAAAAATGAGTGAGTGAGTGGTATAAAATTAATTACCAATTACAGGATAGACCATTCTCATTTTCTACTACACAAAGTGTGTAAGCTTATAGATATTCTTGATAATAATGTAAATGTGTATATTATAGTAAATTTCTTATGATTTATGGCGCGGCAGTCTAGTGTTAGAGCCACTTAGTTTCTGAATGCTCAGACTCCGCCCTACACATTTCAGGATGAACAGTCGAGTGATATCAACCAAGCATTACACATTACAAGATTATAATTCAAAGCTATGTACACAAATTTGTATTCGTTTTACATTAAATCAGCTTTTACTCATCTCTTGCTTTAAATAAGTAGATCATTACGATGAGCCATTAGCTAAATCTGAGCTTGATTTACGACAAGTTGCTTATCATTTAAAATCAGATTGGAGAATATTAGCTCAATGTTTAGGCTTGTCTGATGAAGATCAGTATAATATTACTTCTTTGCCTAATCGTCCTGATGAAGAATATGCATATACTAGTTTATTGTTGTGGCAAGAACGTAATGGGAATGAATTAACTTCGGGTAAGCAATTAAACAAAATATGTATTTTTTTAATGATATACGTTAATATAAGTAGAACTGTATTTTAATGACTAACATACTTTACTTTCATCTAGAAAATCGCAAATTAAGAGCCCACTCTCCATGTGATTCACTTCGAGTCACTAGTTCCCATGGTTGGTTGAAGTATAACACAACTTATCGACAAAATACTTAGCATAACAATAAACATGATTAAGGATCACTATCAAAGCATCACTAATGGTTGTAAGACATGTATTTTATAGACCATTTATCCATTGATGAAATTAAGATATCTAATTTTTCATCAGACATAAATTATTGTCCATCATATCACAAATCCAATATATATATATAACATCAATTGGATTAACGTACATTCAATTATAAGGAATACAGAATAGGATGAAATGCACGCCCTGGATACCATTACTAATAACAATATAAAAATAGAATTGTTCTTACTTTCACAACAAAACTGTTATACGATAATAATATTCAGCTTATTTTGTGAATGTATGTAAAGTTAGAATAAACTGTTATCCGTTAAATGTTACTGTGATATATGAATGGGTTATTCGATATAGTAATTTAAATTTTCTGTTATTATCACCCAAATAACTAATTATCATGAGTAATTTCGAGACAAATTGCACACAGGTTTTGTGGAATGTGTGTTATGGCTTGTGTATTTAACCAGATCGATCGTGAATAAGCCTATTACCGAAGAGGTATTAAGAGCATCACGTTACATCGTGGTTTGACTCGGGTAGAAAGCGTGTCCCACTGGATTTAAAGTCAACAATAATATGGAAGCATTGCACTGATCGTAAGATCTTGAGGGTGTACATTAGATTCCATACGAGGATGTGAGTAGTCAATATTGATGATTATTGTTGACAAGTGTTACAAGTGTATGTCTAGCTTGAGTTGGATTTCATGTTTTCTGTTGAATTTATAAGCAAGTAATATTATTATTATTTAAACACATAAATATTGGAACAAGGAAGCACCAAATAGATATGCCCCACATAAATCATTCGATTTGTGTGAGGACTGGGATTCTGCCAGGGTTCCCAAATCGAAACAGGTGGCTTTCTTATCGGCCCATATCCCGAGCGTCTGACCTAAAAGTCTAATTCACAAGGCAGTGGAGAAACGTCAGGAGGTGCATTCCCATGGTAGCCGGTGACCAACAATAGGTTCATACACCATTGGTTCCTTCAGGATCCCGAAGCCCATGTGCACCATTGGTTTGAAATCAGGGTTTCCAACTCCCCTAGGTGGATCCTTTGTATTCACCAACCTGGTTAAGGTGCTAGATATTTGCTTTTTTCCTCGCAATTTCGTAAACAACAGTAATGCCACGAGAAGGCAATAAATAGGACCTCCCTGGCAGTTTTTGTATGCACGTAGCCATGTGAGAGCATTTCGAGAGGAAGAGCTGATTCTCCCCACTCTCAGTCGTATCAAGCCATTCGGGTTCTAACTTATATACATATCATTGTAAATAAATTTCTACTATTTTATCTTTTCCTAGGTACGCAACTTGCCGAAGCACTACAAGCTATCGGTCGTAAGGATATATTGGAATATTGTATGACTAACATTTCGCCTGTAATAACAGCTGATGAACGGGTTACTGCTTTACGTTCATTGAATGGTAATTTGTTGCATTTTTAGGTTATTTTCTTTGACATATTTTAGTTGAGGCAAGAAATAATTTCAGTCCCTTGGTATATTTTTTATTATTTAAAATAATAACTGATTTAAACAGTTGTTGCAAAAACTAAAGACGAATTGTCGAAGCATTCAAGCGAAATTCTGTGATTTCAACCAACAGGTCGGTGTCCTAGATCAGATTTTCTAAGAAGGCTTTTGTCTCATACGTGACAGTTGACGCGGAGTTATTGAAAGATGTTTGCTTTTTGATGGAGTTTGTGGAGAAATTCGAACGTCTCACTTCTGTCTGAAGTGCGTGCTGATGATGTCGTTCAGAAGAACGGTGAAAGCTCCACGACGAACCATCCAGTTCAGAGATCATAGTTATCCACCCGAGCTACAAATCTTCTCCTCCATCTCAAAGATGATTGCTATATAGACCCTTAGTTTACACCTATTCTTATCTCAAAGATTATCTACCTAAAGTGTGTTTGACAACAAAATAAATTGAAGAGCGATTTTATTTGGTGGAGTTTCATCCTGTGAACTGAATAGTTTTGTCGGCGAACGAAATCCTACTAAAAAAATCATCTATCTGGGTTATTAATCTTTACTTCTTTTTATAAGTTATAAGAGCAACTGCTTATTGTGAAATTTCATTCTTTAATAATAAAAAAAATAAGGTAAATGGTTCAATCATACTGCAAATCATATATTTAGTCCAACAAGCACCCATATGAATAAATAAAAAAAATGTTTCATTTAGAACTAATAGTGACATGAATACTCCTTAATTTACATGTTTCAGACTAAAGATTGTTTTCTTTGGGGAGTGTCACTTTTGATAATTAATAGCAGTCAAGTCCAAGTATATTTTAAAAGTTTTGTCAGATATTTGTACGAACATTTGCGAAGTGCTCTGTTGCCATTGTTACATTCTTAGTGATTTGACGATATCAATAATTTTCTGTATTTTATATGAAAATATGCAGCTCATGTCAGACGGATAATGAATATAATTTGTATAGATTTTGCTGCGAAACAGTTCCTATTTACTGAAAAAAATGTATCAACTTCTTAAAATACAGAAACTGAGAAAATCGAGTCCAAATGACGTTGAATAAAAATTGAAATGATACTAATGAATTTCCTCATATAAATCTGAAGTGCATCAACTTGTATACGAGCATTACTAATTCTAAGGGATTAGATACACTATGGGTGACCGTGAAATGGGTCATGCTGTGTTCAGTTTAAAGGCGCGTCGGTATGTACTCTTCAGAAATTCTGAGTATTATTGATGAAACGAAATATAGTATCAGCTAGTAATGTCTATACATAGTTTTAGCTATTACAATTTGTTTTTTGTTGCTATTTTCGCTTTTATTTTGAATAGCCGTTTCGCCCAATTTAAATATTAATCGTGAAAATCGATCTCATTCAAAAGATGGCAGTGGTGGTTTAAGTGAATCAGTTGATACGGGTTATGGCACACAAACCGGATCTACCACACTAATACCAACAACACCAGTGATTACAAAGACAATTTCATCAACAATTCATACACTACCCACTTCAAGCAATGTAGATAATTCTAAACAATCTGAGCAAGAAGTGGAGCAAGAAATTATACAACCAGTTACTGTGACCACTGGTCGAATTTATTCAGGGTCACTACCATATGTGGGAAAATCTATTACTGATGTTCCCGAAGACAAATATGATGTATTAAAAGGAGTTGAAAATATTCTGGTTGATAGTCAACATTCATCGACCATAGAAGATGATAAAATAAATTCCACTTCTACTGGACGTGAGTTATTGTTATTCATTACAGAGTATCTATATTTGTTAGTGATAGAGTTTAGCGCATCGTTTCTCTTTTTCATTTGTAAATTATAATATAATTATTTTTTCGCCATGACTGGCTATTATCATTCGTGGAAATATTTCAACTAGGAAGCAGTCAATGATGTGCAAATAATGTGTTTAATGTATGTTTTTCATATTTTACTAAGCTACTGTGTGATTTTTTGTTAAAACAATAAATTGGTTTGTACCCACTAGACTGCTTTATTCACAACACCAGTAGTGATAAGAATAATAAAATATGAAAAGTTACAATCAATAGTTCAACTGAGGAAGTAGGTCAAATTCATATATCATGTACTACGAGTTATTGTTTCGATTTCGACTAATTTATTTACACCAGCCACTAATTCAATTTCTCACCTATTTAACAATAACTACTTTTTACATGAATGCACTGATTCTTCATTAATCAGTAATTGGCTTATTTTAATGTCCTTCAGTTTCTACACTTTAGATTTTATATTAAGCAATCGGAGATAGTCGACCGGAACTTCGAACTTATTATAGGGTATACGTATGATATGATTTGCAAAGTTGAAACGGTAAACATTTTCCTAAGTCCATCATTGATCATCGGTATTCTCAAGATTTTACGTATGCTTTACCAACAAATGCCAACTTTCATGAAGGTACCGACTATCTTCAATCACTTAACATCAAAATATAGTGGATTTGATGTCAAGTTACTTAGATTGATGGACACTGCAATTTGATCGATGGGATCCAATCAACACTAAAGGACTGTATTGGCCACTACTCATTGATCGATCAATTGTAAATATATCGGTTTTAAAGAATTTAATTCCCTCAGGGTTACAAATACAGCTTTCTGATGATTGCCAACTCACACAAAACCTAAATCCAGGTTTACCTGTCGATTACCTCTGACTACAACGTCTGAAGACAGTTATCATTGTTCATTGACTTTATCCAGTTCAAGAACAGTTGATAATCAGGCAGCAGTGGATAAACTTTCCTTTCTGGTTTTAGATTAGAGATGAAAAATGTAGATTATTGAGTGTCAGTCCAATGATTTGAATACTTCTCCCAAGCTACGATAAAACACTTTGATACTGTTACTCAGTTTCAGCCGAAGTTACACAACATAATTACTTACAGTTAGATTGTTTGCAGCCCAAAAAAGGTTGTACAGTAAACGTTTGTGATGATAATGGCAGTACATTTGATAATAATTGAAATCTCAGTTTAGTTCTAGATGAAAAGTGATTGAAAACCGTAGATAAGAGAGTTCACTGGAGGCAATTGTTCCGTTTATTTCTGTTGTTCACTTTTCTTATTAACGCGTCAAATGCTTTTAGCTTCTTCTTCCTCATCCGAATATACTTTATATTTCTAAAATTTTGTTTTATTTTCATTATAGCTCCAGTCGATGAAGAAATAGTCGTCCCTACTCAAATTAATCGCACTGTTCAATTAAATCGTACAGACGATACGACTAATAATAGTAATAATATTCATAAACAAATTGAAAAAGATAGTAATTTATCAAACATTTATCCAGATGGTAAGTAACCCTTTGAATAGATATAGGCACACCGGCATTGATGGTTTATCATGTTCATCATTCATAATGATGTGAGGTCTGTAGTTATAATTGTTTTATATCTTTTATGATTGAGTGTAGTCTTATCAATTGCTATTTTTGCCGTTTTGTTCTTTTTTTTCTTTATTTATTGGTGTCCCATTAAGTCTAAGAGTTTTACTGTTAATCTGAAACGCGATAGTTTAATTTAATCGTTGCAAATTTCGACTTATAACTTACTATCCGACCGCGCTTTTAAACTCTAATCTATCTGTTTCAGTTTGAACATCTTAATGACCTTGACAAGTACAAAGCTTTTATATATACATTGAGATTACAGTTGTCAAATAAATGAATTACAATAATTTGTAGCTCATATTTTGATCAGCTAATAATGCGTCCATAAATAATGATAATATTTCAATTACGTCCGATAAAAACAGTTAATAATCTATTATAAAACTTTATGTGGTACTAAACAAATGTCTCTGTAAATAGTTGTAACTCATTCACTAAGGAGGTATTCATGTACACTCGGCTTTGAACGATGTTTTGTGTGCATTTGTGTGTGAACTAGTGATGTTTCATGGCTGTTCAAATCCAAGTAGGTGGAGCAGTGTTTGGACGTTTTGTTGCTCTTTGAGCCATTAAGTCAACAATTTGTAAACATATTATCATAAACCTTTTTATTGATATGTACATGATCATTTTACACTTAATTATTCATTATTATTTGCTCACTACTAAACACAGATTCGTGTAATTGGCTTAAAGTCACGCTTTAAGCTTAAGAGCTAGAGTAAACCGAAATTCGAATCTGCGATTTAAGAATAGCCTAAAATCGAACATCTTCATCACTAAGCCACAGCTCTACTTTTATACATTCGATAGGTTAATTCTTCGATCAGCACTCAATGGATTAGACAAACATGACACTTGTCACTACTAATTGATCAGTCATTTTAAGCATTTCAATTCTGTAGAGAAGGTGGTCAGTTATAACCTACATAGATCATTGATAACACCTCTCTCTTTCTCTCTGATTGCGATAACTTAGTTTACGATACGCTTAACTGTATGACTAGTGTCAACTTAAGTGCAAGTCAGCTTCTTATAGATAATTAACTCCAAACATGTGTAAGAGACTCTCTCTTCTGTCTTTATGTAAAGTTTAAATTTTCGCACATACCCACATATGTTTCATATTTGTAGTAATGTTACATAACAACATTTACATCATTATATGAATCCTACAAACACTCTCAATAGAAATGTATATTTCTTACTCGTGTCTACTGAATAGAGGAAAAAAAATCTAGTTTTTTCCCCGCGAATTATCAACGAAATTGACATTTGAAGAGAAAACATTTTCACAACATCATTTCATATATCAAACTGTTCTTAATTATTATATAAATGCCACAATATATAACTTTATTCTATGTGTATACTCTTCTTTTTATACACATATCATACATTTTGTTCGATTTTATTTCTCTAATAAATATGAATCAAAACTGTCAATAAATTAGGTGAGTGGGTTTTTCCGGTTTTCATTTGTTCTATATATTAGATATAATTGTTTGTCTTTACTTTCTGTTCAGTTAATAAGAAGAAAAAAAATACAAATCAAGACATTATTTTTTTATTATTAATTTGAGATTTCATTTGAATCACATATAATAATACCATTATTACAATAAGCGATTTATTTATGTGTATATACACGCATAGTTTTTTCTTTCTTGCTATAAGCAATATTTCAATATTGTAAACAGTTATTTTGTTTAGTTTGTTTGTTTTTCGCTCATTTTTATTTACGATTAGAGATGTTTAGATAAATTAGATTTTTTGGCTAACAAAGTTGTTAATGAATAAAGATTGATCGATAATTTTCTTATATACGTGTACAAGTCGGTTTGTGTTAAACCTTGCTCCATTCACAGCTATATATTAAATATATGGTTTATTCATCATTTTCACAATTTTCTTCATCACCATTATTATTGTCGTCATTGCTCTTCTCATCATCATACTTGTATCATTACAACGGAACAATTGTTTAATTAGTTGAGTGTAAGAAAATATTTTGGATCTCATCTACATGTTGTCAATTGGTTTGTGAATATTTTCTTGTATGGGTGTGTTTGCCCACATGTTTGTTTGTAATCATATTACACTGTTAAATTATTTATATATTTCCAGTTTTGCACATATACTCCTATACGTGCATATATATCCATCTATCTATTTATATGTGTATATACCTTTATACTCATAAATACATCGTCCGGCCATGGTGTCTATTCGCTATGGATTCATATTCAATACAGTTCAATTGATCAAAGCACTTATATATTCACATATAACATATATATCTACATATATTTCGACTGTTGACCATTGTTCGTGGTGTTGCTAACACGTTTGCTAGGCAAGTTTAATTGTTTTAATTTATTTCTTGTTATAGATTGTTGTAACTTAATTATATATCTCCTTTTTTTCAATGCATGCGTGTATTTGGTGGTATTTTATTTACTATGCAAAATATGTTTTTTGTGCGTGTATTCATTTATTCTAATTATGCAAAACGTAGCACTTAGTATTTTATGCGTACATGTGAGTGGTTGAGTGCGTGGAATATTTAAGTAGCGCTATCTAATTTTTTTTATTGACAAATATTATAATTTGCGCGTTTGTTTATTTACCACAGCCCTGTAGACTGTTTGCTTTATTTTTTTTATCGATAATGCTAATTGATAGGTCAATGAACCTACACCAATAGAATGTTTTCATTTTCATGAAGTTTAAGGGATTTCATTTGAATATTTTGTTAGATCATCAGTAAGTTGAAAAACTATTGAAAACCAAAGCAGAAATTAAGAGATAGTTTTCCAAATCTCAAATGATTACATATCTAGGATTCAGACTTCGAAGATTTGAGTTGCAACCGTCCTTCGCTGTACTATGGTGACTTTCAATCATCAATATAGACTCATTTAAAGTCCTTAGATGAACTCAATAAATAAAGTTAATTGGACTCCTAAAAAATATCAACTTAAATAAAGCGTCGTGTTATGTCTTTTGCCCCCATTAATTATCACGTGATAAAAGCGCCAATCACAATGCCTACTTATTTGACCTTATTCTTGTGCTAAACAAGTGACACGTCTAACTGTTGTGATTCAGTTAGTCAGTCAGTAACAAAGTAGAACTTCGTACATACATACATCAGCTCGCGTTGCGATACCACACCAGCACAGAGATGCAGTTGTCCATTCAAATCTCATAGTAGTGGAGGTAGTAAAAGTATAAGCAGTAATCGGAAACATTAGGGTTTGAAGATGCTATTCAAGGATTATAATTCAGTGAAATAAATTTGGAAACAGAACACAAGGGACATGACAAATTCAGAAGTTTATAATTTGGGAGAACATAAAGAGTTGTTGATGTACCTGCGCCATTGCAAACAATTTTGAGCCATGTCATTCAGGGTCTCTAACCATCAGTTCCTATCATCTCACGGTCCTCAACCAGGTAGTCTACACCTACCAACATGACTCAGACCACTTGTCAGTGACTTCATGGAATTGTGCTATGTTTAGATCTGGCCGCCCCTAGCTTTCTTCCAACCTACTCCTATACCACTGAACATAGCACGTCGAGGCAGTCGGTCGTTGGTCATACGTAACACGTGTCCCAGCCATCTCAACTGATGAAGTTTCACTACTTCATCAATTGATTTGCCATCCTTGCCTAGTACCCGTTTCCTAACAACTGCGTTACTTACTCGATGGTCCCAGGATATACGAGTAATGTTTCGAAGACACCTATGATCGAATACTGGTAACCTACGAATATCCTCTACTCTTACCGGCCATGTTTCACTGCCATAAAGTAGGACAGAACAAACTGCTGCGCAGTAAACTCGTCCTTTGGTTGATAGACGGATATCTCGCCTGTGCCATAAACGATGCAAGTTGGGAAAATCCAGTTTAACCTTCTGTATGTGTGCTGAGACTTCGTCGCACACCAGACCATAAGGGCTGATGAGACTCCCAAGATAAGTTAAGCGGTCGACAATCTCAACTACTTCACTCCCTATCATTGGTTCAGGTGTCAATACAACCCAATCCTGAAGCAACATTTCGAGGGGAAGAATCGCATGCCGAACATGCTTGCGTTGTTGCTTAGAATGGTCATAAAACTTCATTTTGTCAGCGTCTTCACCAAATAGAACTATGTCATCTGCATATTCTAAGTCAACAAGTGAACCTCCCGGTACAAGATCAACCCCTGGAAATTTAGATGAGGAGAGTGTTATCTCTAAAAGTACGTCAATGACAAAGTTGAACAAGAATGGGGAGAGTGGACAGCCCTGACGAACACCACTTGAGGTAATCAATTCTGATGACAGTTCGCCATAAGCTCTCACTCTACCAGTTGTGTTCGAGTAGAGAGCCTTTACAAGGTTAATGCACTTCTTTGGTACTCCTTTCAGTGACAAACACTGCCATAGAACCTCACGATCAACAGAGTCGATGTATTATTGAAGCTAATATTTTAGACATTACATTAGTCAAACTGATTTCACAAGAGGAATTTTGTCCTTTCTTATAGACTGGCACAAGCAGTGATTGAGACCAGTCAGATGGGATTGCGTTCAGTTCACAGATACTACATATGGCCTCAGTCAATCTCACTGCTAATGCTGGACCACTATCCTTAAAAATCTCAGGCATAAACCTGTCAAGGCCTGTTGCTATCCCACGCTTCAGATTTCCTATAGCTTTTCCAACTTTGCAAAGAATTAGAGGACATACATCAACTTGCCATTCAGGTCGACTGGAGATCGTGGGAAATCGAATTGCATTTGAAGGCCAGTTGAACTGATCCTTAAAGTGTTCTGCCCATCGATCCAATCTCCTGAATGTATAATATGTCCATCTTTCTCTGAGAGTGTTTCACTAACAGTCGGTTTCTTAATACCGGTTTCATTAACAAGTCTGAACAATTGTCTGCGGTTACCTATTACCACTGCCTTTTCCATCTCTTGCTTTCGCTACCCACCACTGTTCGTGATCATTGCGTAGGCTTCTTATCAGCAAGCGCTTAAGCTGACTCCGCTCTTTATGTTCAGAGCCAGATGGGATAAGTTTTCGAGCACCTATCAGTGCGATAGATGCTGCTGAGACCCAGTGTTTCTCCCTAACCTTATGGTTTACCTTACTAGCAGATACCATTGCTGCTTCCACAGCTTTTCGGATATCATTCTACGCTGCTTCGGAGTGGGCATCACTTACATGGCTGCCTAACTGTTTTTCTAGTTGTTCCTGAAATATACTCTTAGTTTGATTATCATTAAGTACGACCCTAAGGGGTTTGCTTGCAGCGTCTTTCCTACGTCCAGTAAGACGCAAACAAATACGCACTTGCACTAGAGCATGATCTGAATCTAAGCATGTACTCCAGAACGAGCGACAGTCTTCTATCGAGCCCCTCCATCGATAGTTGATAGCGACGTGATCTATTTGGGTCCAACGTTGGGACGAATTAGGGGGTCGCCATGTCAAAAGATGTTTTTCCTTATGCTTAAAGTTAGTATTTGCAAGGAACAGGAGGTTATCTGAGCATAGCTGCAACAGACCGTCGCCATTATCTGTTCTTTGAGCCACGATGCTATAAGATCCACCTAGGTGTCTTTCCCTATCGCTTAGTTTACCTACTTGAGCATTAAAGTCACCGGCCACTATTACTACATCCAAGCGCCTAGCTTTTCGGAGAAGGCCGGAAAGCGTTCTGTAAAACTCATCTTTTACATCATCTGAGCTGCAGTCAGTCGGGAATTGGCAGAAACGACGAAAAGGCAACGACGAGTGTTGCTATCTTTTCGGATCCTTACTGTTCCGTTTAGTCGAACAGCGCACAAACGACTGTCTACTGGGATCCACTCTAAGAGGGCTAGTTCTGCCCTAGGACTCAATGCTATGCCTACGCCAGCGAGGCCACGGGAAGCAGAATCAGGGCTTCCAGATACACGAAGTGGGAATCGAGTTGGTTCTTTATTTTGACACGGTGATGTCAAATGAATGACGCTACTCGGATCCTGTATGCGCGTTTCGGAGACGTAGCACATATCGATGGCGCGAGATTCCAAAGTCTTAGCTAAGGAAGCCTATTGTCCTATTTGGCACAGTGTTCGGACGTTGAAAGCTCCAACATGAAGTTTAAAGCGTGGTTTCAGGACACCAGGAATGACGTTCGGTGTAGTCGAATCGTTCGCCCTAGCGGTGCGAGTTGATAAAGCGATGTGAGAAGGGTTAGTTAGAGAGATAAGAGAGGTATTAGGAGGTGTAGGAAGGATTTGAATATGACCAACTTGGTCTCGTGTGCTGTCACAGGTATAGGAGCTGGTGTCACTTCTCGGCTGCTCACACCGTGGAAGGGTATTTCTTGAAGAACCTGAAAAGGGAGTTGGATTAATGTTAGCGTTAACGACCTGGGAGTGTGACCGCAGAGCCTAAGGGACAACTGCTTGAGGCCGGTCGTGCACGGCATTTTTGTGGGAGGTTTTTGACGTGTTAGCTCCGTTCTTCAAATGGCCTTATCGCCGGAGACGGAAATCCGTGAGGTAAGGTGGGGTGTGACGTTTTTAGGGTCGATCTTTTCTAACCCCTTCCTTCCTTGTGAGAAGGCAGTAACGCTGCAGATGCTGATTGTCCGAGGGAAATACCTTACTGCTGTCACACCCCTCTGCAGTCAGCAGTACGACTCCGCCCTCAGACCTTGAGTTGCTGCTTTTAGTCTTACCGTTCTCCAATCGACCTGCCTGGCATGGTAGAACCTACGGGAACATATGTTCCAGTCAATATAGCTCGGTTGGGTCATCACGATAGGCAAGCCCGACCATCGCATCAAGGTATCAGCTACGGTCGGGAACTGTTGTGATTGGTCGGTCTATAATTGTTATGTCGGAATCGCTTATCACGTATACTTGTAAAGCGAGGAACCACTGAAATTCCCACGACACAAACGTTAGAACACAAAGACTGATACATGTGAAGATTTGTTAACCCCAAAATACGACGATGACGACGACCCTAGTCGAAAATACACTCATTTATATATTGATTCATACACTTATTTTTTATTAATAATTAGGATAAAATCACATACATGAATAATACTTATAGTTATGGCAAGATCATATGCTACATGTCATGCTGAGTATGGTTCATATCAATTTTTAATACAAGAATATCGTATGTTATTACATAACAGATTATCTTACAGGAAAACAGGAACAGATATTAAATTGAGTAATCATAACATTGAATTAAAACGGAAGTAATCCTAAATAAAAATCATAATGAGTAAATGCATCTAATTTTGACTTTTAATCTCGTAATATGGCAAACAGCACTAGCAACCTTGTGTCAAATCAGAATCCTTATTTGTCCTTCTCGCCTAGCCGTGGCCTTTGAGTTCAGAAAGCAAACTCAGCTTCCACTATATGAATCGTATATTGTAAACATACGTGGTTTATGTACAAGCAAACCAGTCGTCATCACACCATAAAATAAAATAATTATAATTATACAAGATCAGTCCGAAAGTGGCTATAGGTGTGAGAGACTGTAACTTATTGATTGGGAATTACTTAAAATTAGTAAATCGTATTGGAGTAGCCAATATTTCAAATAGCAATATACGTGATCATGGTCCATAAATAATTCCTAACAGTACCATTCATTTATTCATTTGGATGTAACATCTCATGTTAATATTTACATTTAATCGATTAATCACATCAAATATACATTATGTGTTCAATGCATGCGCTAATTTGAGTTACATCAAATTTTCATGAAACTTGCGATAAACTCGAACTGTTCAGGATGATAATACTTTAAAGAAACAACCGTCTTCAAATTAATCAAGCATTTTAGTGTTAGTTATCGAAACTATTAGAATAATAGAAAACAAGGACAGTTGTCCTTAATAAGAATACCAAAAACATGTGGTCTCTTGTTGTTCCTGATCGTATATTCATCATCCAGAAGACTGTTAGTATACCAGATTAGTGGAAGTCTGTGTACATAGTTCTAGCAGGACTAGAAATGATTGTTGAAGAGCCTGAGTTCCGAGGATTCGGAGAGATTTTTCGAATAATGAGAGTAAAGATGTCACAAGTATACTGCCAGAAATAAGGACTATTCCAATCGGGATTAATATTTACGTCCTAGACTTTTCCAATCATTGATTATAATTGTCTCAAATATCTGAATCGATAATAGTTCACAGTATTATCAACTAATTTACCTATCTTACATCTTACATTTGTCAGTTCTAATGCATCTAAGTGGTGTTTTGTTAGATGGCTGTAAATCTAATACTTGTAATTTGGTTTTATTCTTAGTCTTGTTACAGCTCTGCTGCCTACTTATTATAGTCATTTTTTAATCATATCATAGTGAACTGAAATCTTATGTACATCAAGTCAACATGTATTTCACATCATCAATAGTTTGATGAAAGAAATTTAATCCTTAGACTACATATGAATCAAATACTATTCAGAGTTCATTTTTCTTCAAAACTCTACAGTTATTGATTTAATAACTATCGGAAATTAATCATAAATTCATTATCAACATTTCATTTCTACGTATTTTATTTATTTAACTTTTTTGGCACAAGTTAAAAACTTCAATCCATCTTATCGATTTACGGGCCTGTCTGTATTCTTTTTAACTGATTAATTTATTATATCTCTTTATATTTCTTTCTACTGTTAATTTCCTGACTTTTTCTTCTTTTTTCAGTTTCCAGTGATGTGGAGTCAGATTTATCGCAGGCTACAGAAAAACACATTTTCATTAAACAGCACAAACAGTTATTCAGTGATTCATTATCTCATCCTAACTGTGAGAAATCGACTGGCGATGTACAGTCGATAGTAAGTAAATCACTCGTTGATAAAGCAGATAATGAACAAGCTCCAGATGATCATCATTTTGAATCATGTGAACAAGAAATTTGTGCACATCACTATCAAAGATGTGGTGAACTTGAAGCTACATGGGGTAAAGGTGCAGATCAAGATGTTCCACCTTGTGAAACTAGTGGATTTCATGTAGATAAAACACATGAAAAACAAGTTTGTAAAACCGTATTAGATGAATCAAATGAAGAGAAGATTTGTGCATATCACTATCAAAGATGTGGTGAACTTGAAGCTACATGGGGTAGAGCTGCTGATAGTAGTACTAACAAAGTACAAACAAGTAAAAAACATGAAGAAATGTTGTCTAACGCACCGGGTATTGTACCATCTGAGCAGTCAGGGTGCACATATCAGTTGTCTGACGAAACCGAAATTACATCAAGTAAACCTAAACCAGCAAATACATTTTCGATTGAAGATACAATGCAGCAACCATCATCATCGTCACAAGAGAAACTAACAAAAACAATCATCATTTCAAAACACACAAAATCAGATAAAGGTGAAATAAAATAGAAATTACCTTCTGTATGTTTGTGTATGACATCGAAGTACAGTTGTGCAAAGAACTAGTGTAGACTGTATGAATACACCCATTGAGCTTATGTTTGTTTGTCTCTCCGTTTTTTTTTTCATTTAAAAGACTTAATTCTATTCTTTCTAAGTCTAATTAAAAATTTAGCTTCTTTTACTGTTGCTTAGTTGATAGCTCGCTTAACTGCACGAAATGATGATGCACTCACTGATCTTGATCTGTGATATGGAAATTAAAATTCTAATGAGCATTCATATATATACGCTTTTGTGAATAAAACACGTCTAGTTATTAGGGTTTTTATTATTGAAGATCATTGGCTTTTTCTTGTTGAAACGGTATCTGACATAAATAGGTATTTATAGTTTGTTCGTTTCATTTCACACATTTTATTTGAACCTAAGATCTATTATGGGTCTTAGTTTTAAATGTTACTAAACCTACTTCACTTTGGGAAACTAGGCAGAGTATCATTAACCATCATACTTAAATTTCGATCCAAAGCCGAGTGCATCAACACTTGTACTTAGTAAATGGATCAAGTTATATCCTGTTATATTCATGTTATTGGATATTTTGTGTATCTCGATAGAATTACCACTCTCTATCTTTCTTTTATCGTGTATTCTATAGAGTTTGTTTATTTCTGATGTTTCAATAACTAACTGCTGATTGAAAAAAATGTATATTTGATTAGTGACATGAGCTTGTATGATTGTCTTTTTTTGTGTGGTTTCTTTTTCATTTAAGAAATTAGGTTTATTCCAGAACAACTTCAATTATATATAAAAATAAACTGATCATATGATTACACAATAAGTCAGTGTTAGTAGCCTTTATTCATAGTATATGAACTCGACAACACAATAGACCGTTTAACATTTAAATTACGTGAATTGAAGTTCATTATTTGTATAACTATTCTCTTGTAAGCGATTGTGTAATTTTTCGATAGTGTTCATCTCATGAGACAACCTACTATGGGTTTTTTTTAATTTGTGGCGAACTAATTGGAATACCATTGAAAACCAGGTCAAATGTTAAACGTCTGTTCATTATTATTTTGAGACACCTCAGAGGTGCTTATCGTTTTCGATAGAATCTATCATTGTTGTATTGTTATATACCGACTTACTGTGGTCTAAAAGTATCGTTTGATTATTGTGAGACGTGAAGTTGTGGGTTCAACACCGTGTAACATCTCGTATATATATATATATATATATATATATATATATATATATATATATATATGTCAATAGATAGCTCAGAAGTCTTACACTGCAGAATAAAACAACTATCTTCACTTTACAATGGTTCGTTCTCCGGTAGTTGATGATACCATATATTCATAGCTGAACTAAATTTTACCTAGTTTTTTTTAAAGGAAATTCTCAATTGACTCTTGACTAATTGCAAAGATTCTTAAATAATGTTATATATATACAGAATTTAAATTTAAAAACTGTATATTAATGAGACTTTGTTTCTTCAATTTGGTTCATTGAAATTATATTAAATTACGTTTCACATTGAATCGCTTGTTCATATCACTTAAATAAAAGTGATCAATGTAGATGTGATAATTAGATAAACTAACTACAAACTTTTCCCTATTCCACTCAATTTTAATAGAAAATGTCTGATGAGATAAAACTTTAATTAATACAATAATGAATTATTATTTCCCTTTCACCTGTGCAAAGTTTGATGCAAATTGTGGACAATTTTTTTTTGAAAACTCGTGTAGATTTATATCAGCCTGAAAGAAGACTGAATTCTTGCCAGTGTAATACATAACTGTTAACAACAATCTTAGCTGGAAATATGTTTACTAAAAATAGACCATAAGAATTGAGATCCTAATTATATATGAAAGTGGATATATCTGTTCGTTTTGTTTGTTTGTTCTTTTTCTATTCCTAAACTTGGTTCTTCATTAATATTGACATTTCAATGGTAAATGTATGTATGTGTATGTTAGTTTTTTATAATAAAAAAAACACTAACATTACAGATATCCATTTGAATTTGTGTTTTTTTAAGTCCAATAATTGAATACAATCAAATGAAATCACTCTTGAAAACATTTCTTATCTACTCGTATACATTTATCTGAAATCTATTGAATCATTTCAATATATATAATTGTAGCACTGATGTTCAAAATGATTGACTCGACAACTATTCAAATGTTTCATGTGTTTCTAAAATATTTGAACTGTAGTTTTGAACCCCACTGCACATATCAAGGTTTTGGCAGTCATGCTTTAACCCTTGGTTCTTACACAGTAGATATAGTTCATAGACTAGTATAAAAGCTAGTTCTAGCTTGCCAAGTGTCATTTTCATCATAGTTCAGCAAATGATTCTTGAAAGTAAGGAAACAATTTATATTGACTTATATTCGTCTTTTATAGTGACATGGCGTTGTGGTCACATATATAATTGTATGGGGCACTACTTTGTTCAGTAAATACGCTGAGATCACAAGAAATTTATTCCCGCACAATTTTGACCTGTCAATATTTATCCCTTCCAAATTACTTCTCATTTGTCCCATCTTCCAGTTCATTGTTTAAGAATCCCTGGTTATTGTTAGGATCGTCAAGCACTTCCTTATCTCATATTCTTCTTGAATTGCGTACATAGATAACTTTCCTGAATCCAGTTTATAAACAATCGTCCAAATTGTAAATTTTCGACTGGGATCACAAGTAATCATACATCGGATTTTCCACCAAAAACACAGCTGAGCTTGACTTCTATCGTCCTCACATTCTCGATAAGCCATACTGAAATGCTGTGTTCATTTGAAAAGTGTTGTCTTCTTCAAATTGTTACCTTTATGAACATCTTATGAATTTGTTCAGCTGATATCTTAATATGATGATAATGTTTAATTAAATACCAACAACATTCTATCTTCAGTTTAAACTCGCATCAATTATTCAGTATTCTAATCCTTTTTTTATTTTATTAGGGGTAATAGTTAACTTTTTTGACACTTTAACTTTCCTATTTTTATGTTGCTCTTGTCTAAAACTGTTTTTCTTTCTCTTTTCTTTCACCACTTTTTATGTTTGGGTTTGGTTTTTTATACTATTCAAAACAAATACATCTAATCTCCCACCAATCCACAAATTCGCTGCCCACTTCACCTCTACCAAATCGTTTTCGTCCATTCATACTATTGAAATATTTAATAATAACAATAACTAAACTACGACGTTCATAACCCCTAATCTTTTTTTGATTTCGAACTAACAAATAATCTTTCCATGAAATGTGTATGTGTGCTCAATGCATTTATGTGTATCTCTGCGGGCCTTCGTTCATTTGCTACCCGTAACCTATTCGTCTTTACATCTGTCCTATATAATATACACTTTTGTTGTTGCTATGATAACACCTTTTTGTCACACAAATTATGTTTTTTTTAACTCTGTCGTCGCTGTATCTCTGCGTCTATATCTCTCATTTATTCATCTATTTACTATGGGATCTACTTATTCTTTTATTATGTGTGTATATTCTCAACTTTTAACTAATATTTATTAGATGACAATATTATTCAAAATAATATGGAAAAAGTCATGAAATCTAATCAGAATTATTATGATCAATCGCATAAACTAAACGATGACATTTATGAATTTCCTGATAGAGTAATTGCAATACCACAAATGGAACCCGTCGATTCGACAGAAATACTATTTGATGATACTTATTATAATAATATGTTAGGTGATTTACTACAGGGTCGTTCAATATTAGAACCATTGACACCTATACCGGAAACATCTGAATATTCGACAAGATCATCTGTAACTAGTATAAATCCATCGAAAAGTTGGCAAAGTAGTGATTTAAGTCCTTCGGATTCGATTGAAATTCGTCCTGGTGGTGGTGCTGTCACTAATGTATCACGTCGTCTATTGCATCCATTTTCCCATTCAAATCGTACATCACATGAATCATTTAGTGGTCCACAAAAATCATTCAAAAATCCAGCTCTATCTGTACATAGTATATCATCGATTCATTCTGAACCGGATCGTATTCGACGTTCATATGAAGCACATTCTATGGAATCTCCAGGTCAGGATTGTCATATGGATTTGTCTAGTTCATTACGTACACACAGTAGTCGTTCATCATCGTTAGCAGAATTTTTACGTTTGGAAACATCTTGTGATGGTAGTCGTGGTGATCTGTGTATCGATGTTGATAATGACGATGATGATGATAAACGACTTTGTGAACATGATCAAAATTTACACGATCTTATTCAAAGTATACAAGAATTACAAAGACAACATTTAGATGAATCAACGGGTTTAATTACACCACTCAGTGGTGATGAGGATAGCTCTAATAGTCGCTTAGCTATTGGCTCCAATGATATTGATCGTCAAATAGGTGAATCAATTAGGAATGCAGAATTAGAATCATCGGTGTCATTATTATCCGCTTCCTCTTTACCACAAGTTAATACTACATCTAGATCAGAGATGCAACAATTACTACAACCAATATATATGAGTAGTTCTAGTTTAAACTCCTCGGCACCACAGCCATCACCGCCATCCACAACAACAGCAAAATTGCCTGTGGGTATCACCTGTAGAGTTAATCAGTATTTCTAATAATTAGTCTATGACTGTTTATTCATCAATCTGTAAAATGTTTTAACCATAAACTTTATGTGTTAGGCTAACAACGTGCTTGCTATTTATGGTTGTTATAATGTTTGACCTATACATACTAATATATTTAGTAACTTTTCTCTCTATTCATTTTCTTCATCATGTAAGTACAGTAATTATCTATATTGTGGTGTTTTTTACCAATCAGTATACGATTGTTTAAATTGTTCCTTCGATTTCTAATTTTTATTATCACCATTTAGTTCACAGTTGTATTTCGAGGTAGATATGCTGACTAGAATTCAGTGACGAACCCACTGGAACTTCTATCTACACGTGTTAGCTGCTTTATACTGATTCAGGTTTCATTAGCTCATACTGGGAACTTTCAGTTCAACATTAGTAAGCACGTTATTGTTGAATCAATTGGTGAAAATTGACTTCGTGTATAAGAACATTACTATAATATTATCAATATAACGAAGTTAACCGATTATTCAATCCACGAATTTCCACTATTCCGCTTTGAAACTACCCAGTCACTGTTAATACTAGTAAAGTATCATTCAATATGAGAACGTATTAGGTGTTTTAAGATCCGTTAAGTTGTGTAGATCGTTCTTAACTAATTGGAAATATCTATCGACGACTGACTATCATGCATTATTTTATGTACAAATAAGATCTATCTTCGATATAAATTACAAAAATAAACCTGGTTACCGGCTTTGATTTTATTTATCACTATTTGTAGCATATTCTGCTGCTATGATTATTATTTGTCCCAATCTGTTCAGCGTACTTGATACTAACACTATTTTCACAAAACTCTCACTTTCATCAATTCTCTTTCTAGAATAATCATGGTTGCTTTGTCGTGTATTTTACTTTTCATAAAAATGGAGATTATTTCTTTTTTATATTACACGAATCGAGAGTTCTCCGTGTTTGTGATGCTAGGTAATTGAAGATAGTCAACAGAAAACCGTTGACCTAGGTTTCTTGCTGATTGGCACGCATCAGCAAGGTGTACCTTTTTATCCTAATAGAATAGAACCTGCGTCACTCAGCTTCAGTATTTAAAGTTGCCACTGAGTTATTCGGCCAGTGACTGACCTATAAACTGATGTCTATAATGTAACAACGGAATCTGATTAGTGCTGAAGGACTAGAAAAATATAACACTGGTCGTTTCTCTGCAATCAATCAGTTGTTTGCACATTGTCCTTTGCAAAGGTTGAAAAATAGGTTAATCGACTGGCTGAGCCTCATTCGAACTATGATTGGTAATGTTCATTGTGTTTCAATAGTAGATTAAGTGGATTTCATAGTGTTTGTTTTACATACATGGGGGGAAGCTCATCATGAGCAACAGTTCAGGTGTTGTGTAGACTTCAGTCTGAGCCACAAATTGTTCACTAATATTGCTATACTACTGTTATGTTGACTTATTTAACATTTTTAAGTTATTTTACATTTGGAATTTTAGTGTTTAGTATTGATCTGTACTCATATGTGTAGTTGCATGTTATTGTGACAGATATTTATACGAAAGCATACATGTATTTGTTGCAGAAAATAAACTAAACGTGTTTAAGGTTTTATACAGATGTATATAGTTCAGTAAGATTTCTCAACAAAATTGATCTTTTGTATGCAATTCGTTGACACATTTTGTATTAAGACGATTGAGACCTCTTATGTTTGTCTTTTGAACATTCATACTAATCAATAATAACAATGTCTTGGAAACTGTCTTAAAACAGTTAATATACAATATATTCTTCAGCAATCTTTTTTTTAGTCTAAATAATTGACTGCATTTCTTTCGTCTGATGGTTACCTACTTACTCCAGCATACGCCGCCCATCAGAATTCACCATGGAACTCCACATATCTACCTCCTATTCTCGACATCATGTGTTCTTCAGTGTGCCTCATTTCTTCTGGCCTTCAGAACTCGAAGTTTTAACTTACCTCATGATGTAATTTGTTTATTTGCTCAATGTATGTCCTACCCACCTCTAGCGTCTTACCCTAATTTCCTCTTCAAATGAAGGCTGGTTATTTGTCTGTCACAGTAGGTTGTTGCTGATGATATCCGACCAACGGACTTGGATCATCTTGCATGGACAACTGTTTATAAATACTTGCACTTTTTTGATGATAATTGTGATAGTTCTCTAAAATTCAGCTCCATACAATAGAACTGTCTTGATGTTAACTGACAGTTGTTTTGAGTTCCATAATTCATCTATTGTTAGCTAGTTATTAATAGTATACCAATTTCACGGAGATTAGACAATAGTAATTTTTCCTTGTTTAATCTTTATCATTTAGTCACAAGACCTTTTCTTTTACTTTTTTTCATCAACATCTACATAATTTTATAAAGTAATATTGTGTAATAATTCTTTCCCTTGTTTTCTTCATTTTTATCTGAATATATTTAGGTGAGTAAATGACTTGAGGAATATTTATACAAATATGGGTGTGGTACATAGTATAAAACCATCCCGTTAACTGTTCAGTGTGTCGTGGATATATATATACCATATTGTGTCATTGTTTTCCTTTCTACGTTATTTAAACCGTTTTCTTTTTTTCGATTTGAAGTACTTTGTTGAATAACTATAGTTATTACTCGCACTTATAGTGTTACATGATGGGACATTTCGTATTTAGTAGTAATAACCATAGCTTTATTTATATTTAGATATAAAAAAGGTTTTTTGTGTTTACCTTTTCTGTTTCGAATGAATTGTTTTTTTTTCTGAAAGAAAAACACAGCTGAACTTTAAATTAAAACAATATTATGGAAAGGAAATATCGTACATTTGAAATTTACTGTTAAAAAGCAATAAAAACTACGTTTTCATTGTAAACTGTTGATGTTGATGATCCTTTATCAAAGAATTTATTCGTTCAGTTGTTGTGGAATAGTTTTTATATAAATATAGTTTTACAGACGTGAACGCATATCACAGACTTGGACTAAAGACTGTTATTTATAATCTAATTTTTCAACAAGCCTTCCCGTGTATTTTTCTTGTTTGTTTTTCCTGGTTGTGTACTATCTCTGCTTGTTCATAATAATAAAAATACAACAAGTAATTTTTTTTTCAATCCAATCTTACAGTTAGTCGGCTTTTTTTTGTTCTGAGCATGTTTACTTGGGAGCATTCTTTGTTTTTTGTCTGTCACCAAGTGGGGAAAAAACCTTGTAGAAATTACGTAATCCTATGCACTTTCTCTATTGTTTGTTGTTTCTACGTCACTAAAACAAAACAAAAAATAACCAAAAACTGACTCTGTATGTTTTTTTTGTATTAGTTGTATCAGCTACAATTGTTTTGTGTTTTTCTTATTCGTTTGTTTTATAATAACGTTTTTCCGCATGTGTATTTTATTTCCTTTCCTGTGTTTATTTATTATTTGCATGTTGCAAATTCCTCAATAACACACTTGGTATTATTACACAATTATTTTTTAAGAATTTAGCTTTGTGCTTCGTTTAAAAATTAATTAACAATTATTGTCTTTATTTACTTTCAGTCTTTATAAATTGTTCTGTTTGGTAATACTACAGTATATTTGTGTTTAATCCCTCTCCCTCTATGTATGCTACGCGTTATCATCAATTGCTATTGTAGTCATTAATACTATCATAAATTGTAATTTTTCTTACCTTATGTAGTCGTATAATCAGGATGCTTTTCTGTCCTCTTTACATGATGGATTTAACTCCACTGACGTAATTGTTTGTTTGTATCGAGTTAAAAGTCTGAAATTAACTCTTTCCTGGTCGATTTAAAAAGCAATAGTTTATGGTAATGTTATTTTTCGATAGAATTCACCATAGCTCGTCTATGGAAATGAAAACACTACTTTTCATGCGTACCATGAACTAGTGAGTGAGAAGACTGACTAGCACCTTATTTTATTCGTTTCCTGGAGTATACTTGGGTTTTTTAGTTATGTTTTAAATAAAGTAGTTTATATTAGATTAACACTTAAAATTATGGGTTTCAAAAAGTTAGTAGTCGGTAAACGTCTACTCTATCGTTGGATGATTTGTTCCAGACTACCGAAATCGCCTGTTATGTTCTTAGGAATATTCTAACCTGGTTGGTGAGAATACATAAGACTTGTCAGGTGAAAAGTCATTTATAGAATACTGTACGTCAAAAGTAAGTCATATATTTATCTTCAGTAACACAGCAAAGACGCTTAACTTCCAGAGTCACTACTCGTATAGCAAGTCTTCTTGGGGTTATCCGTTTGGTAATTCTAAGGTCCTTTCCAAATATACTTAAGTAATCTTTTAGACCAAGAGTAACAGTCATCCTGACATTCTCCAGCTATGCTATGTGTAAGATGGTTTATATGTTGATCGTAGAAAACGTTGATTTCACAGTTCATGTTGCTCTTAATGTTCAAGCTGAGAAAAAGCCATATTATTATATAGTATTTACTTATAACTTATTGACTTTTGGACCATTCTAGGTTTAAGCTGAGAATATAATTAAATAAAATATTTAGGTCTGGGTATTTATAGATGTTGGCGTCTGTTGAATCAACATCATTATTTCAGCCAATCCGTTAACGACATATTATGCTACTGACTAATAGTAGCACGCCACGTTGGAATTCTAGAACGTTCCACCATACTCTGATTTTCTAGGACCCTTCGACTCCTTTTGGGCCTCTGGAGGCTCCGTTGAAGTTCTCCGAAAGCCGACTCAACACTAACACTAATTCTCAGATTGCTAGTCTTCATTTCGTTTCGTTCAACCAGATTGATAAACTATGCTCAGTAGTTTATCATCCATGAAGCAAATAATCAGTTCATATTGTTATTCCATTCAGCCCCTACTTGATTATTATCTGGTTTCAAATATAAGCTCGGAAAGCTCTTGTTTTTTTTGTCTATCGTTTTAATGTATTATCAAGTCTTATAACACACCGAAAAAGATAAATGGCTACTTGAAATTCTGTTAGTCAAAGCTGTGCGAATTCCTCTTACCAAGGTATGAAGGTTACTTTTGTGAAGTTACATGTGCAACCTCTTAATACCTACCGTTATTAAGTTTTTATGATACCTACGAAACTTCAAAAAATATGGCAATGAAGATTGACTGAAACAAATCCTTTAGTATACTAGAATACAATAAACGGGTAGGGTTTCAATACATATATCATATTCATCTTCTTGGGAATAACTCAGGAAAAAAAAACATCAGTACCATGAAGACGGGGTTTCAAGGTAAATACACCCAATCACTAATATTTCACGTTGGCTTAGGAAATGAAAGAACTGCGTTTTTATTAATCTGTTCCTGGTGTTTGCTCAACACATTTTTATGAGAAGTAGGCCAAATACATGTTATTGATTGAGGATAGGATTAAGCGAGTTGTGACTTCTGTTAAATTAATTAAGAGTCCTTAAAGAAGAGGACAAATATAAAACAACGTACTAAACATCCAGGCGAGCTGCTATTACCGTTCGTGGAACAGCATATGCCGCCCATCAGAATTCACCATGGAACTCTGTCCTGGGACAATCCTTTCATTTGCTGTCATGTACTATTCGTTCTCCGCATATCTACCTCCGATTCTCGACATCATGTGTTCTTTAGTGTGCCTCATTTCTTCTGGCCTTCAGAACTCGAAGTTTTAACTTAACTCATGATGCAATTTGTTTATTTGCTCAATGTATGTCCTACCCACCTCTAGCGTCTTACCCTAATTTCCTCTTCAAATGAAGGCTGGTTATTTGTCTGTCACAGTAGGTTGTTGCTGATGATATCCGACCAACGGACTTGGATCATCTTGCATGGACAACTGTTTATAAATACTTGTACTTTTTTGATGATGGTCGACAAATTTCCCTGGCACTGATTATAGTGTGATATCTCTTTAATTCTCACACTAAAACCTCCCCCTTTGGTATCATTCCCGGTCTGTTGATACGTGTTTTTCCTTCGAAATCTTTCTGGAGAGAGTGTGGAGCATGTTTGTAGTTATCTCTATGTCGGAATTAAGTGCTTCAGCTGGTGTGTTGTCCGGTCCTGTTGCTTTCTCATTCTTGATTTATCTGATGGATACGCTGATTTCTTCGATTATTGGTGGGATAGCATCTCCAGTAAGTTCTATGTAGTATATCGATGTCCAAGGTTTTCAGTCTGGTTTACTATTGTTTCCTGTTAGTTTTTTCGTTGTAATGTTGTTTCATATTTCCTTCTCGTACAGTTTTTACCGCTGTCGTTGTTAAATCTTCCATGGACTTTCACTTCTCAACTCTAATACTCTTCTTCAATCGTTTGTTTGCTCCTGCGTATTCGGCCTTTGCCTTGGTTTTTTTGCTCTTGTTCGATTGCTGTTTATTACTGTCTTTTTATTCTCTTTCGATGTAGATCCATTATTCCAGTGCTTCTTGCAGTTCAACACCTGGCATGTTGAAGTTAATACTTCTTTGAACCCTTCCTCGTTGATCTCCATAGTGGCCTCCTTTTTAAGTATATGTTGTAAGGCTTAAAACTTGTTGCTGAAACCTATGTTGCATTGATTGAGTCTATCAGTATCTGGAAGGAAAACTGTATTAGATATTTGTAATGCTGTTTGTGTAGTTGTCCAGATCTTTTTAAGTTTCAGTTTCAGCTTGGCCACCACCGTGTGGTGATCTGAAGCTATATCAGTTTCTTTCCAGGTTCGTACGTCCTCTATGAAATCCATGTAACTTAGTGTATGCGTTTATACGGGAATATGATGCCATATATAATCATTTTGTCGAAGGCACGTAGATTTGCAAATCTCTCACCATTCTCATTCCTTTCTCCAAACGCATATCGTCTCATGATATCTTCATACTTGATTGTGTCCAATCCAACCTCGGCGTTTAGGTCTTCTATCAGCATGGTCAGGTCATATCTCGTAGTCCTAGCAGTCTTCTAGTAAAATGTCACTGGGTCCTAGCAAAGTCATCCACCAGGCAGGTCATTGAATGGCAAACTACTTATTAATCTTCGACCTGGTCGATGGCCACCAACATGGATCAACCAATGGCAAGCTATAAACTGACCCATGCACCAGTGGTCGCACTCTGTTTTCCAATCATATTTAACGAACTACTGTAAGCTATCTGTCTGAAATTCACATGATTACCACTGTTTCCGTAGATGAAACACATTTCTGATAGCAGTTTGTGTGTGTTGGTAGCATTACTGAATCCTATCACGGTTAAGCAATAACGAGGTCGAGAAAATCGCCCTGTAACTAAATAAACTGAATCAACCATAACAAACTAACCGGAACACTAGTTAGAATTCTTCCTCTCCTCGGCTATACTTTTGTTCTTTCAGTTACTTTACTGATGCAATTTCAAAACATACCGGCATAAAGAATAACTGAATTCCTAACTTGAACCACAGGTAATAACAGTATCAACATTTCCACAATATTTATTTTTCTTGTACTTATAGGCACAAAATACTTATACTGCCCATAAGTTAAGCTGCTAACCAACAGTTATCGATATGCATCTTAGCGTGACTTGTTAAAATATCTCTATATTAAATCATCCTTAATTACTATTATCCCATTTTGCTTAACTCTTAAATAATCTTTACATGGATTTTAATTTTTAGCGGGTTTTAAGAATTAAACCAAACATTTTAAATGATGATACTTATTTCCTGATGAGTCTCTGCCGCTTTCATCTTGATTTATCTTCCAGTTTATCAATACTTGTAAGCTTTTCATTGTTATCGTGCTAATTTCAAGCGCACGACAATCACACTTGTCTTGGTGTCAACCGAGCATTATGTTGATTTTGGTGGGAAAGTGTAGTGTTCTTGGTTCTTAACCACATGATCTTTGAGTCTGAACGTATAGTTACTAACATGACTTAAACTCAACATATAACACAAAGAGGTCAAAAATGGTGAACGCGGGAAACCTAATTGAAATGGCACAACTAGGCTACCCAGGCGTGTCCACTATGCAACGTATTCCTTTTCATATAAAATATATTGCTCTATTCTCAGTTCAAATATGTTCTTCAGAAGTGCCAAACACCATACTGCTTATTGGCACGTGGGCGAGTAAGTATAGACTGTGATATGATTTCTACATAGGATCTTGTAGATTAGGTAGTTACATCATGATAAATCTACATTTTTGGGATCAGGTCTATTATTATAATGGCAAAGATAAATGTGCTAATACGGACTTGGATCATAATTTCACAGGCTTACTGTCGCTATCATACGGCAGTATTAAGGCAGTACTACGGGTTGATGTTAAACCACTCCTGTCCGTGGTTCGAGTACCTTTTCACACAGTGTGAAGAAGATGCCACCAGGGCTAAAAAAGAGAAGCATCAGACCCCGCTGAAAGTAACGTATCAATCCCCATCAATATACTAAATTCACCCAAGACATGCTCAACCAAACGCGTGACGATCGGCGCCACAACATGAGCTCGTATATAAACGAACTTAATAATAATTGCTAGTACCCCAGTATCTGTTAACAGTAAGAAAGAGTGGGTAAGAGTTGGTAAGAGAAAATATTTTCATTATTATTATTCACAAACAGCTCATTGGTAAACAGTTGTTGTAAAGAAGATATTTTTTGTTTCTTCAGAGATGCAGTAATACACAAGTCTCAATAATATTAGCATGATATTTGCCATGTTTAGACAGGTTCTGTGGAATTGAGGAGAACATTCAGTTGGCTCCAAAGAAGGAAACGGGAAAAAACGAAGGACGTAAACGTAAAATGTGAAAGCAATTTAATAAACGAGTTTGTGAAAACGGATTAAGAGTAAGA